AAAATAATAATGTTATTTAAATAGGTAATATAAATTATATTAATTAGCCTAGCTAAGGCATGGTTTACATAAAATTAAAATATTACTAGCATATTTACTAGCCTAAATAGCATAACTTAGTATTTATAAAGTCTAAATCGCGTTTTAAACACTATTTTTTACTTATTTTTCTTGTAAATTTAGAGTCTATGGTACGTGTCTTGTAAATTTAGCTATATAAAAATTTTCCCCATTTTTAAACAGTTAAGGGTCGCGTTAAGTAGTGGTAGTAGGTACATATTTTTAATTATAATAGCATTTAGGCCTTAATAATTTACGTAAAAACATAGGCTATTATTCTTTTTTAGTATAAATAGTACTAAAGCTCCTGCAAGGCTCTTTAATAAATATATCTAGTTTTTTTTAAGGGCTTTTTTAATATATTCACGTAGAACCTTAAGCTTCTTTAAAAATAGTAAGTAAATATACTTACTTAAAGGCTTAGCACTGGGTTATAACTTAATTATATAATTATAAAAATAATAAGATATAAGGATATTTGCTTCCGCTTTAAAAAATATATTTATATATTTATAATATTATTTAAGTAGCAGGATTTCTTTAACCTTTGCCTTATTAAGGTATATTATAACATGGTCTTTTTACTTAAAAATTTATACTAAAAGTACTTTAACTCTTACAGCAATCTCTGCGGTGTATTTTTATGCTATTATTATATATTATAAATATTTAAAATTATACTTTACTTTTTAACTATATATTTAATTACTAGTTTACTAATTTAAAATAGGCATCGCGGCTAGTAGCCATGAAAATCCTAAAATTATATTATAACTATTAATATTAATAGCTTTAAAGTTTTACTAATAATACCATATATTACGCGCAGAATCTCTGGCATAAATTATAAATATATATTTCCTGTAGGACATTACCGTGTGGCTATTAATTATATATATTTTATAGGCTAGTCCTTTACTTTATATTAGGTAGGATTTTGCCTAACACTAGTTTATAAAATTTATTTTTACTTTAAAGTTAATAAGGACCCTTATATATTATTATTTTTTATTTTTTTTTTTTATTTTTACCTAGATTACCCAGGCCCGTGGTGTATTTTTTTATTTTATATAAACCCCTAAAGCTTGCACCGCGCAAAGCTTTAAGATTTTATATTTTTTATATTACTAGATTTACTTAAAAATTACCACTATAAAAACGCTTTTCCTTTTTGCCCTTCGCCCGGTAACTAGTAATATTACTTAAAGTGTCCAGCATGGCCGTAGTTTAGGTATTTGCCTGGGTATAGCTTTTTTATAAATAAGAAATTATTTAAATTATTAGGTTATTTTATACTAGTATTTACTTTTATACTTTTTTTAGTAATAAATAGCGCCCTAACTTTAGTTACTAGTGGTCTTATGTAAGTTTAGTTAAGAAACTTCTTTTTTTTTTTTATAATTATTTTCTTCCGCTTGGGCATGTTATTTTTAACACTTGTTAAGTATAATATATAGTTATTATAGCGCTTTAGTTCTTAATATTTATAAATAAGGAACTTTTTTTATATATTTTCTAGGATCTTTTAGTACAGGTGTCCTTGGCGCTAATTATTATTATACTTATAAGATAGGTATTTCTTAATTTAGTCTAGTAACTATGTAAATTACCTAATAATTTATTATGGTTATTACTTTATATTACCCTATTTAATTAGCAAGTTATTAACCAGCACTATCTTGTTGTTAATTATTTTAACTAGCATGTTAAGAAATTTTTTCTAGGTAAATATAGTTTTTACTTTATAAATATTAAACTATTCCCGCCTGCGGTCCTTTGCTAAAAATCTAATAAATTAAAATATTTTATGGCTATTATTTAGGTAATAAGTTAAAAAGGTTTTAAAGTGCGTTTCCATGTTTAACTTTTAATTATTAAATTTCTTAATATTATTTGCCCGGTATAGTTTTATAAATAGTAACTTTTTTAGAAAGTTCTCCTTGGGTTGCACTATTATTATTATAACCCCTTTAGTAGTCTTTTTTAAAATTACAAGGTTATTAAAGTCTATTTAGCAGGGGACTATTAGTTGCTTAATAAATTAAATAAGTATATTATATATTTATTATTTAGCTTTGGCCCTTGTAATTTATTAATATGCTTTTTTAATTTAGGCATGGATTTATTAGTATTTTTCTTCTTTTTTTTTATAATATTCTTGTTCCTATAATTTTTTTTTTTTTACTAAAATTACTTCTAGTGTTGCTTGCAGTTTTTTAATAATTTTTTTACTATTTTTATTTTCTTACCCCTGGGTGGGTGCTTCGCGTTTTAATATTTCTTGTGTAATTTAGGATTTAATAACAAGGGTGTTCTTGGGATTCTCTAGTTAAAAATTTATAAATTTTTTTTAGGCATGTTAGTTAGTTATTAAGTTAGGGTTTATAATTACTTTTTTAAAGCGTTATCCACCAGCCCCTGGAATTAAGTTTATTACCTAGCTATTATATAAAACAGGTTCTTTCTTAAAAAAAAAAGCAATTAAAACTATAAGTCGCGTTTATATACTATAATAAGCTTAAAAAAATATAAATTACTATAATAAAAAAGGCATTATGTATTTATAATAGGAATTAATTGCTAATTTTTTTAAGTTAGAGTTTAGAGTCAAACTTAGTATTCTGTGCATTATGTAACTGGCCGCCGCCTTGGCACGCGGCCAGTTCGGCGCCAAAGTTCCTCCGCCAGGTGGCCTCAGGCCGCCGGATTGCGTCATTGCAACACTGCGCAGTTGCAACACCATAGCGGTGATAACATTTAAGGTTTATAATACCTTAATAAATCCTTGCTTAAAGCTAGAGCCTGCTCCCAAGGAGTACTTAGCTTTAATAAATATTTTAAAATAATATTAAAGCACTATTAGGTCCCTAATATATTTTATATTAGGGACTTAAGCTAATATTACCTACCCCGTGTTTATTTTAAGCTATTTTTTTACTAAACTTATAAAAAAATATATAGTAGCTATTAAGCACGTGTTTTACTACTTTTAAGGCTTTATAAACTATAAACTAGTATTTTTTAGGGATTTTTAACTACTAACTAGCTATATTAATATTAATTAAGGTAGGGATTTAAAAATATACTATTTTACCTTTAAATATATATTTTATATAAGCTTTATAATTATTAGCTAGTTTTTTAAGTATTAGCCCACCATGGCTTTATTTTTTTATAAAGCTAAGTATATAAGGGAAATATAAGCTATTAAAAAGGTTATTTAGTTTTATTACTTGTTAGGGGAGCTTATAAATACTTAAAAAATAAATTTTATAGTTATTATAATTTATAAAAATAATAAAAATATTATAATATTAGCTAGTAACCCCTAGTTTTATGCCTGGAGTAAGTATATTAATATTTAGTATTATTTTATTTAAAAAAAAAAGGCTAAAGGCGTGGTTAATATTTAGTTTGTCCTTATTAAAAAATAAATAGTAAATAGCCTTACTAAGCCACTAGGGCCTAAGGTATTTAAACACTTTAAAGCCTTACTAGGGATTCTTTTTAAGCTTATATAAATAGGTTTTCTAGTAGTTTTTATACTAGGATTAGCCTTTTTTATACTAGACTTGTAATAACTTGCGTATTATAAAATAATATTTAATAATTTTTATTTTTAGCCTATTATTATTTTATCCCTATTTTTAAGAATTAACCCTATAGTAAAAATAGTATAATATTACCCTGCCTTAAAATCTTACCCTAGTTTTATATAATACCCTAATCATGGCACCAAAAGTTAATATATTTTTAGCCTAATTTAATAAAATTCCTGGCGCTTTTTATATTTACCTACGGGAGATTTTATTCTTAAATATTAAAATATAGGCTTATTAATATTACTAGTTTATTAACTACCCTAATTAAAATTTTTATTTAATATTTTTTTAGGCCTTAAAGCATAGCTATACCATGTGGTTAGCAGCCTTTAGTACCCTAAGACTTTTTTAAATTAGGTAGCTAAATAATATTATTAACTTTTAATATATATAGGCTACTATGGTAATCTTATTTTTTAATAAAAAAAAAAAAATATTATTATTTAAAACTATAATTCCTGCTATAATCTTACTAGCTTACACCTTAAAAACTTTATATTTAAGGCTTAATTATGCTTACTATAGCTACTAGGCTAATGCTATACCCTTTAAAATATATAATATTATACTAGTACTAAATTTTTTGGGGAAAATTAATACCTAAAATATATATTTTAGTAGGTTTAGTATATTACTATACTAGGTAACCTACCATATACTAAAAATTAAGATTTTTAAATAGCTTATTATATACTAGTCCGCTATTATTAGCTAATATATTTTATATAAACTAGGCCTTATTCTTGCCCCTAAAATAGCTTTTACATGTTTTAATATTTATTATTACTTTTCTTGTTATAAAAAAGCTATATAATTTATAAAAAAGCTAGTAAACGCGCTGGTTAGCCCCTAGATTTATAAATTACTTAGCTTATTATTTATTATTTATTATACCTCCGGGCTATTTAGTACCTAAAGCTTTTATTAAAAGTTTATTATTTTATATATTTTATTATTATTTATTTATACTTTTAGGAATTACTTTAGCTTATTAACGCCCGGAGCTTTTATTAATATTTACTATTTTTATTATTTTAATTACTAGCTTTTTAATACTTACTTATAAATTATACTTTTAGGGGAGCCTTCTCCCGGTGCTAATAACTTATAATTTACTAATTTAAAAAAGACTTTTCCTACACTAGTAGCTTATAGCTTATTAATTTAAGAAAGTTCTTGGTATAAATAAGGGGGAGTGCTAAAAGTAAGTGCTTAAGGCCACTAGAGGCCTTAAGGCTCTAGTAAAAAAAGGTTTTTTTAACTTAAATAGCTACTTGTAAAACTTTTTATCTATCCCTAGAATATCTAGCTTAACATACCAAGCAATATAAAAGACTTCTACATACAGTAACTATTTATTTCTTTTAGTAGACCCATGGGGTAATTCACCCAGTTCGGTCCACTGCGCGTAGACAGCGCACTCGCCCACCAATTCCCCTTTCCGTCCTGGAAGAGGTCCGAGTGTCCGACCGTCTGGAAGTACTCGCCTGTACCCTTATTCGTCAGGACCGGGTTATGCGGACACGGCTCCCACGGCCCAGTCCTGTTCTTCGAGCGCGCCATCGTCACAGCGTGGTTCGTCTCCGTCCCGCCCTCTGCGATGAGGAGGTAGTAGTACCCGTCCTTTTTGAACAGATGCGGGCCTTCGGGGTATGCGCCGCCTGTACCGTTCCAGAGGTACGACACATCTCCGATCTCGCCGGTGCTGAGATCGAGGCTGTAGTGGTGGATCATGTTGTTATCGGCGGAGCTCACATAGACTTGGCCATCGTCGTCCCAGAAGATATCCGGGTCGATGCCGTAGACGGGAAAGACGAGGGGTTCACTCCAGGAATCATCGTCGTAGGGGTCCGTCGATGTAAAGACGAGACCTTTGATACTCGGACCGAGATTCGAGACAATGAGGTAGAATGTCCCGTCGCGGTAGCGCAGTGTCGGCGCGTAGATCCCACCCTGTTGGCCTTCGGTGTCGGCGAGGTCGGGGAGCTGACTTGGCCGGTTGAAGATGTTGCTTGCGAGCTCCCAGCTCACGAGGTCTTTGCTGGCGTAAAGGGGGAGACCGGGGAATGCGATGAATGTAGACGCTGCGCAGAAGAATGTTTCTTGCTCGGAGACGTACACGCAGGAAGGGTCCGAGTGCCAGCCGGGGATGATGGGGTTGGTGTAGGTCTTATGGCTTACAGCGAGACTTGTGCTCACCGCGCCCATGCCCAGGGCGAGAATTGAAGCCAAGGAAGTGAGCAACATGGTGGGTTGCTCTCGTAATGCTGAGAGACAATGGCGATGGGGGTTGTTCTGCTCGTACGGGGGCGGTTTATATAGCCTGAAGAACTGCGGGGAAGCTGCATGCATGTCGTAAACATGAGTAGAGCCCAGATGGATAATGTCTTTCCCAGCGGAGACCTGGAGAACTGTGCATTCATCCAGATGAACTTGGCGTTGATCAGGCCGGTTAGGGCTTGTTGCTGGGGACTTCAGCCTAAATGCAAGCGTCAATGCGCAGATCTGCCCACCTCCACCGGAGCTTCTCAGCCAGTGCATGTTCTACTCAGTCCATGGATTCATACTTTGTTCCTTGGACTTTGGTTGTAACAGCTAATGCCTCTAGACCAACAAGGACCATAATGCAGAAGGAATGACTGTAAGTGCATCCATCCGGCCTATCTACAATAGCATGATCCCATAATGTTGTTGGCGCTATGTTCAATAGGGTTTATGAAGATGACCGTAGTTTAGGTAAAAGGCTTACGGCTTTCAAAGCCAATGGAGGTTCAATCTTTTGATAGAAGTGATTGTGGCTCAAATGGACCAAGCAGGGCTCAGTACAGCATTCAAATCACGGCATATTCAATAAGAAAAGCCTCACATCGACGAGAAAGCAGACATAGGGAGAAAGGAACAAAACAAAGGAAATAAATGGCCAGACATCAAGTCTTATCCAAGACATGATAGATCTCAACCGGATAGATGTAGACACATGAAGAAAACATATCCAGAATGAATCATCCAAGACACGGTATGTCAGATCACACAGTAGATCCAGACCGATTCAGAATCTCAGCCCTAAGCCTCAACCCCCTTCCCACGCCAAACCCTCCCCTCACACTTCTCCACCTCCTGCACAATCACAGACCAGTTATCCGGATGCGTCAGATACCCACCCGCAACCTGCTCCCCCTTATACGTATCCAGACACTCAGTAAGCAGAACCGTCGCGCCCTCAACAACATGCTGGACATCCATGCTGCGGGGGCTAACAGGATCCTACACGTCAGAGTCATTAGCCACATCCGCACATCCACCGCCTCTCGATCTTCTGAACAGGGAAGAAAACGGCACGTACCTCATTACACCAGCGCACCTCCGCGCCCCCAATACAAGCAATCTGCTCGCAGGAGTCCGGGGCCAGGGTGTGGACTTTCGTGGCGTGGGTGGCGTCGCCGAGCCAGAGCTTGCCCTCGGCCATCCAGTGCAGGTAGGTGAGTGCGTCGGCGAGGTCGTGTGTATTTGCGGCGAGGGCTTTGCCGGCGCAGTGGACGGTGTGCTGTGATGTTGAATGGTTAGTTGGGGACTTTGAGGGAGAGAAGAGCGGACGTACGGCTGAGACTAGGGCCATGAAGAAGAAGAGGGACACCAGGATGGTGAGACCGTTGTGCTGGAGGCGCATTTTGGTGGGTTTGGGCTTGCGGTGGCTCGAGATATGGGGCTGGTATTTGATTAGGAGGATCTGGACGGTTTGGATGGAAATAGACGGATCGGGAGAGTGAGAGTCGGGACTTGAAACCTGGAAGGCTTGAGAGATGGATGATGATAGTATGGTGTTGAAGGAATAATGAGGAGGGCTCTGGATTGGAAAGATGAAGGCTTATATGTCTCATTCCGAGAAGTTCTGGAGAGGGGTCTGGTAGTATGGTAGTGAACGGAAGGTCTCAGTGAATAACCCTGTGAAAGCTGAATGTTCAGCACTATAGCCAACAGGAATATCCCAATTTTGAAAAAGAAATATCATTCACAGCAGGCCTGACCCAATTAATACACCATAGTCTGGCCGGTCTCTTGTCCGTCATCAGAACCAGAGGGGGTGAAAATTCACGCCCTTGGGCAGTGTGCTAGGGCATGATCTCTGTAGACCATAACATAATCAGAGTGCATCCTTTACTATCTCCTGACTTCCAAGATCAGCCTGTACGTCTCTCATACACATGTATCTGGATACTTGTCCGCCATGTCAACCCCAAACCAAAGCCCATGAACAGCATTGACTAATTCCAGGAGCAGTTAATACAGCCCGAGGAGTTGGAGAGTACCAGATGTCTTCTCGCCTATTTAGCTGCTAAAGTTGCTTGTGGTTGCTGTAGACCGAAGAACGATATTCATGTGGTGAGGTGTGCAGGCTTACGTCTGAGACTCCATGGACACTTAGGGCTAGCTATTATAACATCTGACTGGACGTCACGCATGCTCTAGGAACTCTAGTAAACCGGAAAGGCATGTTGGAGAGCAATTGAGGATTGCAAATTTAATTATAGGGCTGCGCGAAGCGTGGGTCCTAATATATATGACTCGTTTCTGGACAAGGGTACCACATCTATGCCAAGTAATGACCGAACGAAACCAGGGAGTATCATTCGCAGCGGCAGAAGTCTGTCCAAGTGGACCCTATGAGGACTCAACAGCATCTCGCTGGCCCTAACTGCCCCAATGATTATGGTACCGAAAAGAAGCACAGTCGCGCAACAAACTGGTTGGTTCTATTCTTTAGCTAGGCTTCTGCCTCTCCTAGGGCACCTATACCACCCAACTCTATATAAACGGCAAAATAACCGAACTGGGAAACTCCCCACCACAATGCACGACATGCCTTCCCCGATTCAGCTCATGCTCAGGCCTCGGCTTCGACCACGTCTTATACTCCGCAATGCTCGGGTATTGGCCGGAGACCTGCACACAATCGTCAGTTCTCATCCTTACTAATCCTCAACAAACACGTAAGAGGGAGGGACATACCCGTATGCTAACACTCTCCCCCTCCTCAAAGTCCACCCCCATCGCCCAGATCCCAATCTCCAGCTTGACGATCTCACCGGCCTTGACCTTCTCCTGCCTCGTGTGCGGATGGAACGGGAACTGCGGGTGGATGCTCCGTTCGGGGTCGAAGGCGCGGTGGGACGCGCGCAGGATACCAGTTGAGCCGAGATGCAGGTTTGTACTCGAATGGTCCTTGACCGGGATCTCGTCGATGGATTGCACAGGTGTCGCGTGGAAGGGGAAATTCAGGTGCATCAATGGCTTGCCGTTCTTGTCTTTCTTGCGGATGATTACGAAGACGGTGAAGTCGTCGCGGTTTGCGCCTTCGGCGGACATGTATAGGATTGCCTTGGGGAGACCGATCAGACGGGATTTGGCTGGGAAGGTATATGAGAACTCGGCGAAGCTGGAGGATGACTCGGAGTCATAGTAGATTGTTGAGTAGATCGACACGGGCTTCTCGGTCAACTTGTTCTCGGACAGGAAGAACTCGCGGTACTGCGTGCTGGGGGCGGGGAAGTCCTCGAGGACGATGTTGTCGACGGCTTCGCGGTCTCCGAACTGCAGCGCTGACCAGCGGACTTTCGGCGTCAAGGTCTCCCAGTTGTTCTCGATGCCTTTGAGGTACCGGTCGAAGAACTCGCCCAGCTCTTCCATTGACTCGGGACAGCTGTATAACTCGTACCACTCCTGCTTGCTCCCCCATTGAATCCACTTCTTGTCATGGGGGACCTCCAACCACCCACGCACCGAGCCCATCGTGTGAATCGAGCTGACGTCCGAGCCGCGAATATAAACGGGACACTTGACCTTCGTCAAGTCCGCGCGCTTATCCTCCCAGAAAGGGCTCGAGACGTTCGATCGCCGGTACATCTCCTCAAAGTCTTCGATGCCCGAACTGGCATGCCCACGGACAATCTCGTTGGTGATCAGGTCGAAGTTGCTCATTGAAAACCACCCGCCGCGGCAGAACTGTTCTCGGTAGATATCGCCTGACCCTTCCCATGGCGCAATGGCTTTCAAGGAGGGAGGTTGCTGAGCCGCGATGAACCACTGCGAGATTGCCAGCGCGGAGTTACCAGCCATCCCGATGGACCCATTGCACCAGGGCATCTTGGCCAGTGCCTCGACGACATCGTATCCGTCTTCTGCATCTTGCGCGCCCATGACTCCAATAAGTCCGTCACTGTGTCCTGCGCCTCGCGTATCGACGCTCACAATGGCATAACCCTTTGGACACCACATCGCCGGGTCGAGACCCTCGAACTTCTCTAGACCCGAAAGATCAGAGCGCGGAACGCAGCAATTCCACACGCACATGGGAAGCATGTCCAACGCGCTATACTTCTTGCCGTAGAACGACCAGCTCAAGATGGCGGGGACTTTCTCGTCGGTGGAAGGAGGGCGGTAGATGTCGGCGTAGAGACGGGCGCMATCGCGCATGACCAGCTCGACATCGTGCTCGATCAAGATATCGCTTGTAAGAGGCTTCGCATTGAATCCGTTCCATCCTGCGGGTAGGATCTCGGTCTTGCCTGGCTGAGGCGGGACATAACCGTTTTCGCCTTCCTTGGGGGCTTTGATGCGCTTGTAGGCGGCTTGGACGGGGGGTGGCATGTTGACTCCAGGTGGATGAAGGTGAGGGCAATCAAACTCTGCTGGAAATAATAGTTAGGCCTGATAATACTGTCCTTGACTCTGAGATATAAAGCATCTCTCTGCTAGAGCTGACAGCTCTCTCCACAGCTCAAGTCGCCTGCTGTTTCCCCCCACACGAACCGGACCCCCACATTCTTGCCCTGGGAGCGAGTCATGCCGCCAATGCCCCAGCTCGGGGCTCTAGCGCCCGAAGGCTCGGCCCTAAAGCGGGGTTCGGGGGCCTCCGAGCGCCCACAGGCCAAGCAAGAAGCCCCGAGATGCACAGGCGCAGGAAATGCCCAGACCATGGGCGTTACTTAAGTGATTTTCGAACGCCCACCAAGCCAGCTGCCAGCGTTAGCACAGCAACATACCTTGAAGTATCTAAGCGAAACATCACCATGTCCACCACCACTACAACCATCCAGGAAGCCGCCGCCGCGACCAACGAGTCCTTCACCATCAAGGACCTGGTCGACTTCAGCGGCAAGACATACGGCGACTGGCGAGATGAGTTCCACAAGAACGGCTGCGTCGTGCTCAAGAATGTCATCTCCCCCGAGCGCGCCAAGTACTACTGCGACAAGCAGATCGAGTGGCTCAAGAAGTTCGAGCTGGGCTTCGACGAGAACGATGAGTCGACTTGGACGGCTGAACACCTCCCCGTCAGCTTCAAGGGCGGCATGTACTTTGCGTACGGCTCAACGCATGAGAAGATGGCGTGGGAGGCGCGCACCGAGCCAGCGGTTATCGAGATCTTTGAGAAGCTGTGGGAGACGAAGGAGTTGCTTTGCTCGTTTGACGGCTCCAATATTTCTCTGCCCCGTCGCAAGGACCTGAACTGGAGCCCGTGGCCGCATTGCGATCAGAATCCCGACCGGAAGGGGTGAGTCGCTCCATCTTTACATCCCCTAAAGCATGCTAAGGTTCTTCTCTGTGCAGCATGCAAGCTGTCCAAGGCCTGCTGAACTTTGCCCCCAACGGCCCCAAGGACGGCGGGCTGATGCTCATGAAAGGCTCCGCAAAACTCTTCGACGAGTTCTTCGCCCAGAAGCGCGACGCCTATGACCACGAGGACGCGCCACCCCCAGAGCTAAAGTACATGGACCTCTTCCTCTTCCACGAAAAGGATCTGAAGTGGTTCGAAGACCGCGGATGCGAACTCGTCAAGATCAACATGGAGCCCGGTGACTTTGTCCTCTGGGACAGCCGGACGATGCACTATGCGTGCTTGCCCGAGGGAGACCAGATTCGCCACGTCCAGTATATCTGCATGACGCCGAGACGGTTTGCGACTGACAAGGCGCTAGAGCTCAAGAAGGTGTGCTTTGAGAACTATATGGGGACGACGCATTGGCCGCATTGGTATGTTCCTCTCTTATCTGTTGATAGGTGAGTGCTGACAAAATTTTAGCAACATTCGTCCCGCGACTGAGAAGCCGATGCGCAACGGCGAGGTCTGTCCAAAGTACCGCACAGAGCCGTTCGAGAAGCCTGTCCTTACGGAGAGATTGTTGCAGTTGGCGGGGGTGAAGCCTTACTAGGCTTGCGTGTGGCGGACCAGAGATTTGTACCTAGAGTTGATAAACGAATGCATAGTTTGTCTGAATCGATACCATCATTATCTTGGAACCGAAACCGTGTAGCTAGTAAATTGATGAAGAGAAGAAGCCCGGCCGGAGGAAGACCGGCGAACACTGACGGGTTGTCGACTGGCGAGGAAGGAACACTTGGCACGGCTGACCCTGCCAGTGTTGACGGTTGACTCGCACAGTCGAGTCTCTGCTCCGTTCCAGCTACAACCTCCTCGATTATCGACCACCAACGCTCAAGTGAACCACGAAGCTCTCAGTTACGCTCTGGACAGCCTATCATCACTTTTACCTATTTCGCAGTCGACGATACCGCACCCCGAGCCCTGGCCTTCCTCAGACTCAGATTCCCACCCGCCGATGCTCCAGCAGGTGGTTTCTGTCGGCGCTGCTCGGCCGCCCCCGGTTCCCCGCATTCATGTCAGCAAGCCCCGAGACCTAGCTTCAGCTCGCTAGTCTTTTCCAATGTTGCTATCGGCATGCGGGCGTATCCTGGCTCGTTCGTTTCGTACGCCATGAACGAGATTGGTCCGACGCTGTGGACACCCCCATCGGCATAGTGGGGAAACTCTGGATTGACATTCCGACCTCTTTGATTCCTTCAGTCTTGAATCCGAGTTCGCCACGAAATGTACGTGCTCGTCGTCCTGCCCACCGTTGGCACTGGCATTGGCATCCTGGGCAACACGATATATACTCTGCACTTCTGGCAATCGTTGACCAGGATAGCACCTCTTTCACAAAGCCGGCTTCATACACGCTACCAACTCTCAACAATAGTTAACATGGTGGATACGGCTAAAGCTGACATCGCCTATGTCGAAGATGTCGAGGATGGATCCATGGACGGAAAGAGGAAGACTAAGGTCATGGGCACTGTGAAGCTCACCGAGGGCGAGATCGTGTATATCCCTACGCCGACAGCGGATCCGCAAGGTATCAACCCACCTGCATTATGCTCTCTATGCAATAGCGTGGTTGCTAATGGTTGCTCTCTACGCTCAGATCCGCTGAACATGGCTATATGGCAGAAATGGGTCGTCCTCGTGGTCATCTCCATTTGTCGGTATTCTGCATACAACCTTACGATCGTGTTTAACAATGAGCAGTCTCGACCCTTGGCCTCGCCCTTGTTAGTGGCTTCGGTGGCCTGCTTGGCTTCTACATCGCGCCTTATGAGGCAATCGGCAAAGGATACGACGATATCACTCATCTAATGACCTACCCTAGTCTCTTCATGTACGAGGCAATCCAGCCACCTTTCTTCCTCCAATACTGGTGAATGTGCTAATATGACGTTCCAGGGGCCTCGGTAATCTCATCGGCATGCCTCTCGCTATTGGAGTCGGCCGCCGAATCGTCCTTTTAGCATCAACGGTGGTCCTCGTGGTAGGCGCCATTCTTTGTGCTACCCAGCAGAACTACGACTGGCATCTTTGGTCTCGATGTGTGGTGGGTCTGGCTGCCGGCCAGAGCGAGGCTCTTGTTCCGATGATCACGCAGGAAATCTTCTTTCTCCACGAGCGCAGCAAAGCCCTCATGGGCCAGCAAGCGATCCAAGTGAGCCTGACGGCCGTATGGGTTCTCTTCGCAGGGGAAATTGCCAACGCGATTACGCCCCAATGGTGGTATGGTCTTGGTGCCGCTCTTGCCGGTGCACAGCTGGTGCTAGCCTTCTTCTTCCTCCCCGAGACGAAGTACGAGCGATCGCTTGCGTCGTTCCAGGAGGGCGATTCTACTTCAGAGGCAGATGCAGAAGGGGCCGACGCAAAGGTCGGCTCAGAGGTCGTCTGTACTGAACGTCCACCACTTGACTTTGAGCGGTATGCACCGAGGACTTGGAAGAGCGATATGCGGCTATGGGTTGGAAAACCCGACTGGGTTTTGGTTTGGGATGTCCTGCGCGTACGTTTACCCCTTTTTCCTACTGTTTTCGTCGTCAAGATACCCATGGGCTAATGTATGATACGATGTCGCAGCAAACCTTCGAGCTCCTCCTCTTCCCCAACGTCTTCTGGGCCTTGTGCCTCAACGGCCTCACAATCGGCACAAACATCGCCATCGGGACAACCTACGCAAACATTCTACACGCCCCGCCATACAACTGGCCCAACAAGTCTGCGTCGTACGTGAACTGTGGACAGATTGTCGTCGCTCTCCTCGCCCTTCCGCTATTAGGCCACGGCTCCGACTGGATTGCGAAGTATCGCGCACGCAAGAACAACGGCCTCCACGAGCCAGAAACCCGAATCATCTCCCTCATCATCCCCATTATCGTCGGAACATTTACCGCAGTTCTCTACGGACAGGCAGGACAGCATCCAGAGGAGTACCACTGGTTCATCTACGTCTGGGCCGTGGCCGCGTACTACTTCTGCTTTGTGGGCGCGAACATCGTCGCCATTACATATCTCCTTGACTCATACCCGGCGCGCGCTGGCCCACTACTGGTCATCATCTGTGCGTTCCGTGGCATCATTTCGTTCGGCACGAGCTATGGTACGGCAACCTTCGTGGAGACCCACGGATATGACGGGGCGTTTGGGACGTTCGCTGGCCTTACCGCGGCCCTAGGACTCTTGGGCGTCCCGGTATATTTCTGGGGTAAGAGAATTAGGGCTTTTACGGGGAGATGGGCGAAGGGAGAGGTTGTCTCGTGATTATTCTGGCCAGACATTTTCATTAGGATTCTGGCACTTGTTTAGTTTCTCTGGTGGAGGAAGGGGGGTAAGGGAGGTCGGGTCGGGTTTGGGCATGCTTTGGGTTGTCGTGTATTAATCTCAAATATATATCAATCGAAAATACAACATAGCTAGTGTGAAACTAGAGCAAGCAGGATGGTTGATTGGCGTAGGGTTGCACCGGAAAAGCTTGCCGGGGCGGCGATATATATATCTTGATACCAACCGTTCCCCTCTCCCTTCAACAAAAACTTGCTTAAAACAAAAGAAAAACATACAATAGTATTTATATGGCGATGTTCACCCACCACAACCTCTGGCCAGTGGCTGCTACAGCGCCCTATGCGGCCTAGACATCCCATAGTCGCGTCTTGGTAAGTTGATTCGCCACATCCGACGTCGCGAGGTCAAAGAAATCATTCAAAATGACGAGCAGATGATCATCACCGAATCTTTCCTTCGCGTTGGCATACACCCAGTTCAATGTCAACGGATCCGTATTCGCCTTTTGTGCCAACAGGATCTTATTGTGGAACGTCACCGCCGCACCACAAGCAATCATGTTCTTGCTCAGCGTCGTCTGGCACTGCAGGTATGTCATCGACGTCCCAGTCTGTTTGTCACGGGCCATACCCTCAAACTCGGCGATGATGCCCGAGCCATCGGGGACAATATGCCCTTTGTCATCGTACACGTCGTACGGCCCGTACCCATCTTCCTTGAACGACATGATGAAGCGCTTGTTTTCCGCCCGCAGCGTCTCAACCGGTTTGCCTAGCTCGTCAAAGCCGCCGAGTTCCAGCGCCACGCCTTTCCCCTGCGCATCGGCAAAGCAAGCCCGGAGCATCTCCATCACCGCGTCCCGCTCCGGGTGCCCCGCGCTCGTTTGGCTCCACGTGAACCACACAACGATGATCTCGTTGCGCTGCGCGCACAGGAAGGCCACGGCGTCTTCGAAGAACGCGCGGATCGCCTGCCCCGGCAGAATCCCGTGGTGGAAGTAGATGTCGTCTAGCCCGGTCGCCTTGCGGATGTGCGGCTCCATGCGCGATGCTCGGATCTCGAAGAACCGCGCGCCCAGGGCTAGCTGGTCGGGGACGGGGTCCTTCTGCGTGCGTGAGGTGCCTTCCATGATTCCGAGGGCTTTGGATGCGCCGATGGGGCCCAGGTGGCCGACCCAGCCTAGGGGGCCGAGGAGGGGCGTCAGGATCTCGGTGATCAAGGCGGCTGGACTGAGTGTGTTGGTGATGGCCTTGCATGTGGCCATGTTGTTGAAGCCGAAGTTGTGCGCCATTGGGAGGACAAAGCGGTGGAAGGGTTTCTTTGCGGCCTCGGAGCCGGGGGGTGTGAGGGAGGTCATCCAGGCGGAGCGATCCGGGGCGACGGTAACGTAGCACTGGTGTGCCGATGGCAGATCGGCGGTTCCGTAGTTCCCGGCGTCGTAGAAGGTGTATTGGACGATTAGACCGTCGACGATGGTGATCTTCTGAGCACCGAGGTCCCTGCCCATGTTTCCGTCGCCGAGGTTGCCGGTGTAGGCGTTGATGTCCTGCCATCGGTCGACCAGCGTTTTGCCATTGCGGACGACGCGGAATTGGAACTTTTCGGCTGTCCCTCCTTTCACCGTCATCTTGGTGCTGTTCCAGGGGGTCGTGCTGGTGTTTGCTGGGGTGGCAGTGTCCCCGTGGAAAAGGTTGACGCCGTATCTCCAGTCGTTCCACTTGTCGGCGACGTGGAAGCGACGGATATCCTGTTGGCATTGGAAGATCACGTCCACCTCTGGATGGTTGATCCACACAGAGCAATGGATGTGCTTCTCGTCCCAGCCGGCCATGGTTCTTCAAAGACTATTCGAGTATGAAAGCAGGTGGTAAGGAAGAGCTATTCAATATGCGAAGTGCTACAGACCTTTGTTACCAGGATAAGGAGCAGTATTTATCCCAGGCCAAGTGGGCAGCTGTGCACCTCGTTGCTCGGCAGATTCTGCCCGAAGTAGATACGATAGTCTTGGGCTACTTGGAATACGAGGTCCTACAGTTCTCTTCAGTCGGGTAGATCCTAGTCGATCAGTGAACCATCTTGTCGTCACAAACATTGTGGCTCGGCAAGGTTTAGGTATCTGGAAGCTAATGCGCCCATTGCACGGCTACTGGAGCTGAAGAGATGGAGGACATAGGATAGTGCGCAATCATCCCTTCGAGACTGCATTAAACACCTGCTCGAACCTGTGATGGACAACTCCGCGCAGTGAGCCAACGCTTAAAATTGCCTTATTGCCTGCGGTGGCTGCAATGCCCTTCAGCTCACCGTGATACGCAGAGGCTTATTCCATACGATCTTCAATTGCTTCTCTGGTACGCCTCGTTTGCCATACGCTCGCTTGATATTGCTCCTGAGGACCGGAAAGCTGACCCAGCTATCGGGTAGCTGCTCTCCGCTGTCGGTTGTCCTGAGTTTGTGTGGCTGGAAACTTCATTCCCAGACCAGAAAGTATGCTTGAACAGCCTGAAAATGTCGCTAAGCCGCCCAGCTACTGATGTAAAGTGAAACCTATTCCCTATAGGTTAGGTATTAAAATCTTTAGTTTCACGGTTTACCCAACCCATTTGTGACTATTTCATCACTTAAGTAACTATACCTTACAATCTATTTACAGTACACTGGTATTATAACATCAGAGTACTTGATTCTTGTCCTAATCTCACATGACATACCCCTGCCTGAGCCATCAAAACCTCAAGACACCCAGACACCACGAACGCCGTTAATGCCGCAAACAGAACCCAGAGACCGAAGACTATCAGTAGAGATGAAAGTATGGACCAATGGCAGGATAAGTCCTGGAAATGCTGAGCTCGTTAGCGCCTACCTCGCTCGCAGTTGGGCAATAGCCGGATAAAGTACGATACCTTCGAGGCCGAGGCAGTGTTCGCTGCGCCATCTCCCGGTACAGATTGCGCCGCGCGTACGGTAGATAGAAAGGCACGCAGATGCCGGCTGTTAGGGAGAGGGTAACGACGAATCTGGGGAGCATGGCTCTGTGTTGGCGGCTTGTGGAAGAAAGTGGTCAAGCTGGAGCAAGAGGGCTTGGAGTCGCACGTATTCGTATCCACGGGCGCATCGCATCGCAGATAAAGGTGGAGGTGACAGGGCCTTGGCCCTCGGGGCGTGCGTGGTAATTGCGCTGCGCCGATTGGAGCCGAGGGCTTGTCATGGAGACTAGGCTGGCAGTGACTGGCGACATCCGGTGGAGACAATGCACCTGACGCCAGGCAGTGATGCCCCGCATCAGTTCCCCGTGGGGGTTGTGCCCCAGGGGTTTATCGACGCGACCAGCCGGTGCTCGGGGTGGGATACGCTGCTCAGCCTGCACTCGGCCAGCAAGAGGGATGGACCGACCACCCCCAGCGAAACGGCCGCGGCTGTCCATGGCCTGCAACACCTGCCGCCAGCGAAAGGTCAAGTGCGACGCCGAGTACCCCAAATGTCGCAACTGTCGGGTGCGCAATCAGGCTTGTATCACCACCGATCCGCAGCGACCGGGGTGTCCAGGGGTTAGAGAGTGGCTTGAGGTGCTGGAGAAGGACAAGGAGAGGACTCAGTTCGGCGCCCTAAGGGAAGACTCCAACGAAAAGACCAATGGCACGGATGCGCCATCACAGGAGGAAGCAGGCCTGGCCGTCGCCCCTTCCTCATCGCTTGAGCAGGAGAGAGCCGACGTCGAAGAAAACGAACCGTCCCCCGTCCGACAACCATTCGAGACCTCCGTCAACGCCGAGCAGGGGACGAACCGGACGAAAACCCTCGGGGGCAGTTCCTCGCAATGCCTTGCCAAATCATTGGATGTCTACTTCAAGGCCGCTCGGATGGAGCCTGTCTCGGACTTCTTTCGGCATGGGATGAGACGCGCCGTCGAGCTGGATATCCCGCTCACTCTGAGCCTTCCTGATCTCCCGGACCGAGAACGACGAGCTCGGTATTTGGAGGTCTATCACTCCCGCATTGATCCTCTCTACCCGATCTTCGACTGGCCAGCACTCACAAGGGGCGTTGAGCACCTTGCCGGGGTGTCCAATCTTGCCGCGATCTCTAGAGACGAGATTCCCTTTCTAGTGTGTGCATACCTTATCATGGCTTTGGGGATGGACGAGGCAGCGCAGTGCCCTACCGAGGAAGGGGAGAGATATTTGCATGCAGCGGCTAGTCTGCTAGGTCATACGATTGTCGTGCCCTATCAGCCCACCGTCCAAGCCCTCATTCTATTCACCGTCGCGTACCGCGGCAGGAACCAAGAAGGCCTTGGATGGCAGACGTTGGGCATTGCCATCCGTATTGCCTGCACGCTCGGCATGCATCGTTCCTCGAAGCTGCCTACTAACCTTGTCCGGACACGAATCTGGGCAACCTGCTGCTCCCTCGAGAAAGTCATGCAAATAGCATCAGGTTGGCCAACCGTCATCACAGACGATCTAATCGCGCAACCCGATTCCCTAGACGGTTTAGAGCACCGCTTCCTGCAATGGCACCTCGGTCTCGCAAACTACCAGGGCAGCATAAGCCAACACCTCTACACTTACCGGCCTTACAAAACCTCTTCTTCCAGCAGCAAAAGCCAGCAGGACACCAGAGCAACAGTGCGCCAGATTCTCCTCGACACCGCCCGTCTCGACCGGGGCCTACTTTCCTGGGCAAATAACATACCTCTCGATATGCGACCGGGCAGTGACTTGATCACGTCCAGTGCCGACTTTCACATCCTCGCATTCCTCTCTATCGAGTACCATGGGACTCTGATCGCCCTGCATCGCGCCGCCCTAATTGCGCCACGGTCGATGATCGAAGAAGAAGTGACTCGCCACTGCCCGGACGACCCGTCCCGGCACCGGCTGTCAAACGGTGAGGCAATATGCGCAAATAGCGCCAGAGCAATTGCAAAGCTGAGCATTGAGCTGGCAGAGAGGGGCGCGGATAGCGTGCTGATACCAGCGGGGACGGCAGGATTGGCATGCATTGCGCTGGCGATTTGGCTGATGAAGCATCCTAGCTCAAGGCTTCGAGATATGGATCTGCAGCTCCTCAAGGGCTGTTTGACGTATGCCAGTACGCGATGGGCCCAGTGTGGCTTTGATGCCAAGTTCCTGGAAGGTTTGGGAGCAGTTTACGAGCAAGTTAGGCGGAGGTTAGAGAGCACTCATGCAGCCGCTCTGGATGGGACCCCAAAAGTCTGTCATGGATACGTTGACCCGAGTGCCAGTGGCAAACCTGAGACTCCCCGGTATACGGCTGAGAACCTCCCAACGCCGTTAACATCGGGCTACGCGGCAGGGACGCCGATACAGCACAATCCGGGACACAGTTATCACCACCCCAGCGAAGCAACACCTACTTTAGCACACAAGGCGACACCTACATCTTCATGCTTCAATTCCACTTACAGTGGCCATGGGTTGCTAAATCGAAACAACGGTCAGAACGGTCAGCATACCAATTGGTCACAGCCACAACCAATGCATAGCTCGGACCTAGGTACCAACGCCATCACCCATGGATTTTTAGATGGGATAGCAGACGCTGAAACAACTCTCGGTGGTCTGACAAGCTTCGATGAGACATTCCCTTTCGAAGGGTTGAATGTGGAAGAACTGTGGAACTGGATGTTGTACTTTGACAGTCCGCCTAGAACGGACACGCTCTGACCATGGGTAGCGGTTGGAGTAGACTTTTTAATTTCTTGCATATATGTACAGTAGCAATGCCACTTTATCCGCATAGCCCGGGGTAAATCAGGTCGTGGAAATTTCCTGCGGGGGGCGTTCTCCGGTGGAGGATCTCCATCCTGCACTTACCCACATACCACCAGCAAATATTCATCAGGCCACTGCAGAAGACAAGGATTACCTGCAAGCCAAGAACATCCATCGATGTTTCTCCGTCACGGCATTGCATCATTGTTCTGTCCGCCGCAGAGCAGGCACGTTCCCAGCCATCCATTATAAACCCGCAGCAAAGCCAACGCAATCCGCCCTCGAAAAAGCCGAACCAAACCCATACCATACAACAATCAGATCTCCCATCTCAAGCCCTCCAGCCTTCCTACCATGGGCATTCTCCCCCTCCTCTCAACTCTATCCCTCCTCCCCCTCTCCCTCTCATCCACCATCCCACACAAACCCGCCCCCGAATATCCATACGCAGGCTACCTCCTCTCCACATTCACAGACGCAAACCCCGCGGTCTACTGGTACCTCTCGTCCGCAGAAAACCCGCTCGCCTTCAAACCGCTTAACGCGGGCAACCCCGTCCTCACCTCGACGGTCGGCACCAAAGGGAACAGGGATATCTTCCTGACGGCGAATGAGGAGAGGAGCGAGTACTTCGTTATCACCACTGGTGTGTCCTGTCTCGATCTGTCCCTGTTTTAGTTATAGGTGAGGCTGAGGTGGACGATGCTAATAATCGCCGTGGCTGGCAGACCTCGACATCAACGCGCCCGGCTTCTCCTGGGACGAGGCAACACGCCGTGGAAGTAGGGGGTTGGTGATCTGGCGCTCGAGCAATCTAATCGACTGGGACGAGCCGTATCTAGCAACGTATGTCCGCACGAGCTCCCTCCCATTCATCCCTTCCCTCCCCAACCGTTCCCCCCGCCATTATACCCTAGAGGGTCCTATCTCACACGTGCAGGATCGAATCCCCCCAAGCAGGCATGGCCTGGGCGCCCTCCGTCATCTACAACGCCACAGAAGAGGAATACTACCTCTTCTGGGCGTCGCGGCTGTACTCGCCCTCCGACACAAACCACACCGGGCCCGCAAACCTCGACCGAATCCGGTACGCCACGACGCCCGATTTCATTTCCTTCAGCGAGCCCGCGGACTACGTTGCCCTGGATGACGAGAACATCCCGCTCATCGACCAGGAGTTCCTGTATCTGGGGCAAGAGGGACATTACGCGCGGTTCCTGAAGGATGAGAATGTGCTGCATGTTTACCAGGAGACGACGACGACGGGGTTATTCGGGGATTGGACGAGGACGCAAGATGGGGGCGAGTATATACGGGCCAGTGTGTATGAGGGGCCTGCTGCGTTTCCGGATGTGCGTGCTGATGGAAGGTATTATTTGCTTATGGATAATTATGTGGAGTATGTGCCGTTTGTTTCGGAGGATGTGGAGGAGGGAGAGTGGGCGGAGTTGGGGTTTAATGCGACCGGGTTGCCGAGGGGGTTGAAGCATGGGAATGTGTTTCTTTTGACGGGGAGGGAGTATGAGGCTGTTTTGAAACGGTTTGGGTGATAGAGGGTGATCTCCACATACACCGGGACGATGCCCCGACGGGGAATTTCCTTTCTGGTACAGTGTGCCTCTCAGGTACCATAATTGAACTAAGAAAAACTTGGCTTGAGCATGTAACTTCACCTAACTGCTTATATCGGTTGCCGTAGATTCGATCACGCCCCTAGCTAATCCAGGCTTTTAAGCTTTCTGCTCAATGTACGGAATCCCCGTCAACTTGAACGTCCGCTCTGTCAGAATAGGCTCTTCGATCGGTCTTTCGCGAGCCTTGGGGCAAGGCTTCCCGTCCCTCATGGCAAGGTTCGTACCAACATGCACAGCGTTCGGCCAGTGCGTAGTGCCGAGGCGGTCTATGTCAAACTCATTAGCAACAACGTCTATGATCCAACCCAACGGACACCACAACAAAACGAAGTGCATACCCTCAAAAGCCTTCTTCTTCCTGACCAAATCCTCCTGACTCGCCTCCACAACCGGCATGAAGCACGTATAGACCGCGAGGCGATCGTTCTTCCCAGACGGCGGGAGGTTATAGTGCGGCACGCGGCTGTCCCAGATAATCAGGTCGCCTGGCTCCGCGCATACCTTCACCCAATCGAGTCCGTGGTCCGCGAGCCACTTCATTCCGTTATCTGTGAAGCCGAACCATTCCGGTGTCCAGGCGGGGATGCGCGGCTCATCGGCCATCTCGCGGTGGAACTGTTCGGAGATCTTGTGTCCACCTGGACAGACGATGAGACCACCGTCGTTCGGGCCGCAGGGGTTTAGGTTCACGAGACCTTGGAGGCCTAGGAGGTTGTTAGCGGGATAAGCGGAAATGGAGATTGGACGTACAGCGGAAACCGGGCTTTGCGGGGTCTTGATCTTGATGCGGCCATGGTTTGCTGTGGCTCGTTAGCAACCTATTCTCAACCAGTTCATCTCTGGCAGGTTACATACTTCTCAGGCATGTCCTTCCGGCTGCAGTTCAAACATGTCAGCTTACTCCACCATCACGAGCCAGAGGAGCATACTTCGCAAACTGAACATTAACCACGTCAAAAGATACAATCAAGTCGTCGTCGTCATAGACCTTAGCAAAGGTATCGACGACGCCCGGCTCGCCGCGAATATCCCAAACCCACTTCTCGTGAGTGACTCCGTACGCCAGGATCATGCCCTTCTCGTTGATGACGGGAAGTTTTGAGGGTTTCACCGTTGAGGGATCGGTGCGGTCGTAGCCGAGGTCGCTATCGCAAAGTCAGCGTCAGAGCGAGAGAGGGTATCAAAGGTCAACATACAAACCCTCCAGATAGCTATAGAACTCATCGGCGTACTTGGTCGCGCGGTCTAGCGGGATCGCACCCTTGATGACGGCGTATCCGTCCCTGTTGAGCGCATCGCGGAAGTCACCATAGTTGGTTGGTGCCCCGTCAAGGGCCATGCGCCCTTTCCGTTGAGTTCCTGTTACGGTCATGGCGGTGCCATACTCGGTGGTGGTAGTGGACATGGCGGTCTTTCTTGCGGTCGAAGTGACGTGAATGTGGATGGGGATATACACGGTTCAGTCAATTCAGGCATTTTATCTCCGGTCTGTGCTTTACCACTGACCTACGCTCCGTGAGGCCTGCCATGCTCGGTGCGTTCGGTGCTCAGACCCTCGGTGCTCGGCGGGGTTCGGGGGCCACCGAGCTTGTGGGCAATTGCGGGGGGCATTCACCTCCACTTTCGGCTCCACCTTGGCTGTTGTCTATTCCGAACGTTGACATAATGCACACGGCTCGCTACTGTGGAGAGTAGGCAAATGAAGAATGGGTTTCAGAATCATTATCGTCGGTGGCGGCATTGCTGGCCTCGCAGCGGTAAGAATCTCTCTCAGGCCGCCGAAGAGAAACTAAAGTAGAGTGCAGGCCATCGCGCTTCGACAGGACAATAGGGAGATTATTATTCTCGAGCAGTCGCCTATCAGCCAAGAGATTGGTGCCACCATCTCTCTCCAGCCGAATGCGTCAAAGATAGTCGAAGGGCAATGGGGTCTCGCAGCAACATTGAAAGAGCGCGGGGCCATGGTGGATGAGGCGTTCGAAGTGTACAATCTCGATGGCGAGATGCAGATGCGGATTCCACTCGTAACAAAGGACAAGTATGGTGCCGAGAGGATGATGTACCACCGTGCGGATCTGCATGAGGCGCTGAAGCACCGGGCGACATCTCCGACATTTCCTGGTCAAGCGGCCGTGCTTCGCACCTCAAGTAGGGTTGCCAGCTGTGATTGTGAAACGGGTACTGTCGAACTTGCCAGCGGAGAAGTGCTCTCTGCAGATCTGATTATCGGCGCAGACGGAATAAAAAGCGCGGTCAGGGGATGTGTTCTTGGAGGAGAGGTCAATGCCCGGCCAACGGGGCTGTCGGCGTACAGAATGATGATCCCCGCGGACGAATTGCAACAACAATCCGAGTTTGCGAAGGTTATCAATCCACGCAAAGGCTGCACTACTATGGTCATCGGCCAGGATAGAAGGTTAATCATGGGGCCAGCAAGGAACGGCACGATCTACAGCATTGTCGCCCTGGTGCCGGACGAGAGCATGAACGAGGATTCAAGAATCACCAGCTGGACGACAAAAGGCGACCATGAGAAGATGATGAAGACGTTTGCAGACTTTCCAGACTGGGCTCAAAAGCCACTCCAGCTAGCGAAAGGATCAGCCTTAGGGCTTTGGCAGCTTCGCGACTTAGACCCCTTGCCGACATGGTATCGTGGCCGTGCTATCCTGATCGGCGACGCCGCCCATGCGATGTTGCCGACTCAAGGTCAAGGCGCCAGCCAGGCCATCGAAGATGCGGAAGCACTTGGCGCTTTCTTTCATGAGTTTGAGAGAACAACGCCGGTCAACTCTTTAGGAGCTGTGGCACAGGTGAACGACGCTGTTTTCCGTTGTCGATATGACAGGGCGACGACGATTCAGCTATATAGTCGTCAGGCGGCTAAACCTGCCACCGAGCCCGGCAATCGCAAGGTCAATATGAACCCCGCCGAGTTCATGGATTATAACTGCTCTTATAATGGCGCGCGGGATTGGTGCAAGTGACAAGAGGTCATTTCCGTATAGAGTACTCCATGTCCTCATGTTAAAATTCCGAGACCGTCTCTTCGGTCGATTCCACTGTATGGCATCCCCCATCCTTCACAAAGATCCTGTATTCGGTAGTCGGTAAAGAGACCCAAGTCTTCGGCCATTGTACGTAATAGATTGAGCAACTCTTTTTGTTCTTGCTCATCTATCAGGCACCGCCCGGCGATATAAAGCGGCTGCAGCATATACTTCTGAAATCTTTCGCTTGGGATCGCGTGCATTATTGCGATGATCTCCACAGAATGTTTCCGGACTTCTTGGCGCAAGTCGTCGTATGAGCCAATGTCCTTATGGGCGTTTGGACTAAGGGCCACAAGCGGCTCGTTTAGTTGCTCCGTGAGTAGAATTGTACGCGACATGTGATACATAGCTAGGGTGATTGCGGAAATATCGCTCGCAAACCATGTCTCCCTCGCAAAAGAGCCGGGATTGGGGTTAAGCTCGGGGTCATCCGGTGGCCAGCTGGTGGGAACGTAGAAAGATGGGGGCACTGCTTTTTGCCAGCCGTCAAACTTCTCGCTGACCATAACCCACTGCGCAGCATCTCTGATGTCAGAATTGACCATCTGACACATTATTCGGATCAAAGCTCTGTATAGAAGTGTCTCCTGTTCCATGCCTCCTACCCCATCAATTACCAAATTTCCAAAACGATCGAGTGGCAGACCCATTCTGCACCAGAGCGCATTGTTTTCAGGGCCGATTCGAGTTTTGCGATGGGTCACAACTAGAAGAGATTGTCAGCTTAGGTAGTCCCCATATGGCATTGACGTACAGGCGTTCATTAGATCGTTGACCACGAAAAACCAGAACACCGCGTCCATTGATTCAGCCGGCTGTGGAAGGGTAGTACAGAGTTGGAAGCATGCTGATTCCGGGAGGTGAGGCCGAAGCAGACGAAACACGCCATCCAGATGCCCTGACCATGCCTGGATGGTGGCATTGACATCTTCGTACTGGCACAAAATGCAGGCCGCTATAATCTGAAGTGCGACATCGGCGTCGTCGGAATTGGTCTCCGGCCGGATGTTACTCAGACCATAGATATGATTCGGTGACATGGAGCTCGTGGACGCGTCTTTGCTGGAGATTTGTTGGGCGAGTAGCTGAATGGCCTTCTCATAATACTTGGCTCCATACCAGGTAAAGCCAAGCTTCGTGTCAATCAAGGCCTTCATCACCACTCTCTGCCTGTTCGTCCCCCGAACATGGGCTTCTGGCTGCCGCGTCTGGCCCAGTTGTTTTGCAGCCAACGCGCAGGCCGCATATCGTATTAGGGGATTCCGGTGCGCGAATATGACGGCGTTTCTGCTAAAGTAAGACTGGCTACCGCAGATATCCATCCATTTCCCGGGGCCTTCACAGAAGTGGCGGAAGAAAAAAGCGATCTCGCAGCGGTCTTGGTAACTCTCTTCAAAGTCGGCGGTCGGAACTCGGGAGCCGGCACTCGCTGTTGATAATAAATTGCTCTCTTGTTGAAAAGGCAAACCTGGGCTCGTCCATGTGCTCGTGGAGGGAGCACAATTGTTCTTGTTCGGTGGTGTTCTTGCAGCCTTACGAGCATTGGGCTGCTCTGTTTCCGCCGCCACCGGAAGCCTCTCTAGTGCGCCATTAGCTACTGTATAAGAAAGCGGTACTTGAGTAATGTTCAATGGAACGTACGTTGATGCAAAGGAGTATTTCCCGTCGATTCTCTACCAGAGACGTTCTCCCCAGCAGGCGCAGCTTGGGTTTTTGACTTCGGCGGGGTCTGGGCCAGGAAAGTGTACGAATGCGGCTTGAACAAGCTGTCAACCATACGACAGACCCGGCCAGCCTTGAGACACTGCCCACATTCGGGCCTCTGTTCATCGCACTTGATCTTGCGGCTCCGGCACTCCGGACTACGAGGTAGCAGCTGTCAGCGATTGTACCTCGGAAGTGCTGGCGACTAACCATCCTTTCCGAGATCGCGACTCGCGCTTTATCCGGGGACCCTTGGTATCCGCAGGCTGAATGGCAGTCATTGACTTGACCTGTGTCGTATGATTGCATTGTCAGAGAGACGAAGAAGAGAAATGGCAGAGGTGCGCGGGCGAGGAAAGTCCGCTCGGCTAATTTGCTCCATTGGGTCGTCGGCTCTTTTGCTTCATTCGGAACCACTGCTCCTGTTCAGGACTCTTTTTGCGACTCATTGTTGCAATCATTGTTTGGTCTGCCATCAAAGAAGAGAATTCTATTGCATCTTGCCTCTTGCCTTTTGCTGCAACCATGTAGCAAGGGTCTTAGCGTTGTGAGTTGTAGTGCTCAATGCCCTATGCCTTGATTATATATATTGTTGATAGCACCAACCTGACGTACAAGGAAAAGTCGTCTGTTAAACAACAACATCGTTTTGAGAGATTCATTCGGAGACTCTCTACCAATAATCCGCAAACAAGGCTTTTTAGAAAGCCTGCTCATGTTTCTGCTGCAAAACGCGCGTGGGGTTGTCTTGTTCATTGCCCGTGTTTGGTCCAACAAACAACATCTTCATCTCGCCGACGGACTCTTTCCCGGGCCATGACGGTGCAATACGCGAGCTGTGTCCCTGCCTTCCGATAAGCCTTCAGCCCTATTCCCTAGGCTACCACCAAGCGGCTGCCAGGTCATATTCTGGAACAATCCGCGCCATGCATCGCGCCAACTCACAATACCCTCGCTATACCTTGGGAAGTCTGCAAAGGAGGGTGACATTTTATGCGATTATGTGTGGGGTATCAGTGCCAAATTGCCCAAATTAACAAGTCAATTAGTCTGTACGCTCCTCGAGTCAGTATCCGACAAGGAGCCAGGGGAAGTGCCAGACACAGCCGGCATCATTTACTGACGACCAATTGCAGAATCCCTGACTGTACGAGGGAGGGCCGCTGCGGCAACATCTACTCATCGGTCGGCCAGTTCTACTATAATTATCACGGGATTGCATGTGGGATAGAGACACTTGCCAAGTAGTTCAGGATTGTCCATGGAAAACCAACCAGGCATCAAGCCATCATCTTGCGAGAACAGCTCCCCTAAGGGAATTGGCAAAACTTCTACCAAACTAGCCAAATCCCAACCGGAGCGCCCTTTTCTTCAATTATCATTGGCCATTCTCCCAGCCCTGAGTCTCTCGTTTCTTCTTTGCTTTTCTCCAGGCGGGGTATCCAAGGCAACGAGCACGCCGAGCGTCTCACCAAATTTTGGATTGCTCACTGACACAGTGGCCCTCGATAAACCTCTTTCGACCGTTCCAAGCCCTGGAGCATGCAATGACAATCCCTGGTGATCACACTGATCCGAATGACAAATGTTGCGCAATGGAAGATGGCGGATCATCACCGACCTATGAGAAAATCTCCAGCCACATCACTAGTTTCCTGCATCATGCAGGTTCTCTTCACACTTCACGGGGTTACGCACTGCCTTGAGATTGCGGTCAGCATGGTATAACATGTCAATCAGCGCCGTCTGATGGAGTCTTTCTCTTAACCAAAACTGTCCCCATTGAACATCACAAGCCCCGTTGCCAAAATGAACTTCATCGCGTCTTTTTTCTCCGCTGTGGCCTTGGCTAGTCTGGCTGCTGCTGTCCCCCAGACAGACCCAGTATGTTCAAGGCCATAGATCTCACGTTCATCACCATCTTGTGTCCTTGTGCTGGCGTCTTTATGTGCTCTAGGCTCCCCAGGTGACCATTTACGATAGTGTGAACTACGAAGGCGAGAGCCTCAGCTTCTCGCCGGACGACTCCCGCCAGACTCTCTTCCCGTATGTTTTCTTTTCCGCCGCAACTGCTTTTCCTCACTCATCGATGCGACACTAACGATGGCGTACCAACCAGCTGGATCGAGTCTGTTCTGATCCCTGAGGGGGAGGACATCTACTGCCAGCTCTTCAAGTATGTCTACACTGCTTACCGACCCCAGTAGCTACTTTTGAATGGACAATACTAACCGTCTACAGCAACACCGAGTTCACTTGTGGAGGAGGCCAGGTCATTATCTCCTCGCTTCCCGATGTGGACGATGAGGACGAGGTCTACCCTGGTATTGTCTGCGGAATACTGTCGTAAAGGCTGTATACGCTATTGTAGTTAGTGCCGCACACAGTCCACGGGTGCATTATTGCTTCCACAGGCCTGGCCAGGGTTCATGTCAATGCCATTGATACTTTCGTCGCCCGTTGAACAGTAAGGGATACCTATAGTTCCAGTTCAAGCAATTCCTTTCGCGTTCATGGTCTTGTCGATTTGGCGTCGCCACTATAACCCCTCTCCAAGAGAGGGGTGTGGGATTCAGCATAATCACTGAGGACGTCATTGTACGCCTGTTAGAGGAAGTGACGAGGCTTGCGTCGCGGCTATGCTCGGTATAAGGGATTTGGCGGTTTTCGAACTTCACAGCCGGCCTGTCACGTAGCTACCTCCCCAACTTGGCTAGGTGAGACAGGACCCGTCTCTTCAACCTTTGCGCTTACTGCGGAGTAATCTGATCGGCACTACTACAGTGCTGCAGGTGACAGTACGCCACCCAGGCGTTAGTATGAAGGAGAACTTTTCCTTCGGCGGTTTGAGGAATTAAATTAAACAGCGTAGGTTCAGCATTATCACATATGCATCTATACCAACATGCCAACAGCACAGAACTCGACCTGAGCCCGAAGTATCCACTGCCCTACAAGCTCGAGCAAATGGTATGCCTTGACGCTTCCCATTTGGAAAATCAGCGTCGAGAAAGGTAAGCAGGTCGGCGCAATTCATCGTCAGACGACGACGTCTAGTGAGCAAAGACAGCTTCTCACATCCCTTCCAGTCCCGCAAGTATCTAGTGGAAACTAGGCGATCATGCCAGATCAGACGCCTCAACCACAACATCCAGCAAGCGGAATTGAAAGGATCAGTCCAGGCAAAGCCATCAAAGCTTACGCGATGACGAAACAGCAATGCAAGTTACAAGGACGGAGTTATACATAGCCCGAACCGAAACGCCAGTCTGGACATCTACCCAACCTAGCCCTACCTCCATGCCTGCTGGAAAGGCTTAAATACCGTCCTGAACCCGGACCACTTCACTGAAAATCAAGCACCATCCTTCCATCTTCACCCCTACCTCAAAAGCCGATCCAACCCTCATAGTTGATACCCGTCGATATGAAGTTCCTCGCATCCTTGTCCTTCCTCGCCGCCATGGCCTCCATCGCAGCTGCCAGTCCTACCCCCCAAGACTCCCCTGAGGCCACGGCAAGCCCCGCCCTCTCATGATATGAAAACATCTAAATACGGATCGCCTGCTGACAACTCTCAGATCACAATCTACTCGGAGCCCGGTTACAGCGGCACCAGCGTACACTTTAGCAACGACGCCACGTGCCACACCCTCCCTGGCTATGCGTAAGCTGCCCCCTCGCTCCTTACCTCCCGTCTTCTAGGGTAAGGATCGAACTTGACAACTAACAATTTCCACAGGCCCATCTACTCCGTCGAAATGTCGGGCTCTGTTCAAGCTTGCATGCTGTTCTAGTATGTTTTCATTGTTCTCCGGGCTCAAGGTTGGATTGGCACGAGGGTAACACTAACGGCTCCATGGCACAGTGATGAAGAATGCTTGATCCAAGCTCTTGCTCTCTTGCAGTCTAACTCTGAGCTATCCGGAAGCCATCGCTCAATTCGGTGCCGATAAGATCTTTGCACCGTTGACGATTATCCCCCTCCCCACATTTTTTGGTGTCGTCTGGAGAGCGGGTTGAGGGGTTGAGAGGGCTGGGCTGGAGAAGCCGATATCCAGGCGGCGCGACATGGGAGTTGTGGGGACACGGTAAGATGCTCAAAGACCATGGACTTTGAAGTGGAGGATTATATGCGTTGTAGCTCAGACTGTCTGTGACATCTTTACAATTTAAGAAAGTGGACTGTTCTTTCACTGGCGAGAGAATCAGACCCTTTCGAATGGTTCCTTTTGTAGCAACGGTAACCTGTATGTTTAATGCTGGACATTGTTAAAAAACCTGGCAAAGTCCTTATTCCTCTCCGTCAATTTATGGACGGTGGTGCCACCAGCCATGCAAGCTTTTGTTGACAGCCTCATACATAGGGCTGGCCAAGCCAGAGCCAAGCTATAGCGAATCTTTCGCATTGCGAATTCAGATATTCCAGCTCGTGATTGTTCCGGTCTCCTACGTTTCTAGGGCACTGATGTAATATTTCCGGTCCGTGCGTCTGACTGCCTGGCGCCATTCCTTCTCGTGTTCTTGAAGCGGCAGCGCGGGGCCAGAGTATCGTGACATATGCCTTTTCTCAGGCCCATACAAACTTGCGACGCTTTCTTCAGCAGCCTCCAAATTGACCGGTTTAGGCTTTCAACTGCGAATCATCATTCCAGGTTTGGAAAGAAATGGGCCGCAACGAAATTGTTTATCTTATATAAACTATCTTGCTTGTGCCGCCTTAATGGCCTTGTACCCAGGATACTGGCCCGGAGTCTGACAGGATCCAGGTTCGCCTTGTGAGGGCGGTAATAATACGCGACCGGGTCTTCGCCGATTCGAATTAATTCAAAGCCGAGGTCCAGTTGACCTATATTGGGAACAGTGCGTGAGGATTATTGGCTCCTGGCCTGCATTGACCGGGGCCTGGGTGAGACTTGGGACTGGAGTACGCCAGCCTTTGCCTAGCCTTGCGTAGGATAGGCTTCGTCGGCGGCATTTGCCCTTCCTCCCTCCACCTATTTCAGCTTGGGAAAAGACCCTGTCAGACTCAGCACCGATACTCAATTGAATCTCAAGAATATAAATGGGTTGCATTCCCATCATACCCAGAACCTGCACCCTTCGACTTGTGTCCAAACTATACTTTCTCCCACCACCAAGATGAAAGTCTTCACACCCCTAGCGTTCATCACAGCCCTGCTGTCTCTGACCGTCGATGCTCAGAGCCCCGACCCCGCCGAGGTAAGTACCGTGCTGTCACAGATGCCTTCAATAGAGATGTCATGCCCAGTTCGTACTCATCATGTGTCTTCTTCGACTAGGTCACCATCTACCAGGATGCAGGGTACGGCGGAACCAGCGTCACTTTCACCGCCGACGACGGATGCCACTTCCTACCGGGGAACGTGTAAGTTATATATGGCAATCCAGGGATTTCAACCATATCACTGACATTGACCTCTCGCCTTTCCAGCGCGTTCCGCTCTGTCGAGATAGTAGGCTCGATCCAGGCGTGTGTGCTATTCTCGTGAGTAGAGTATTCTCCATGGCTTCCATCACCATGACTAACCGCTGCGTTTATTTGCAGTCGAACGGGCAACTGCGCCGCCGTTCCTCTTCGGGTTATCAGCCAGTCGGAGGATGATGTCGGTCCACGCGCTTACTCGATCCGGTGCCAATAGTACCCTACCCTATTCCACGTATGTACCATAGTGTACGATCGGACTTGGAACCAAGCTGTTATGGAAGCCGTGTTCTGCCGGAGCCTGAGGACCATAATCGGCATCCTTCTCAAAGCGGGTTTTCTCCATCCATTGCTGTTCATCGGCTCTTGAATATGTCCTGAGACCTGACCATTCATGCACATACCATATCCCATGTTCCCTTTACGCCTACCATAACGTACCAAGGAGTATGGCCGCTGGGATTCCGGCAGTGTAGTCATGCAACAAGGGCAGACGTGCCCCTGAGTCCGTTTGTGTGATCTTCGTAGTTCGCATCAAGCGCTCTGTTCAGGCCTGCATGCCGTAAAGGAATGTTGATTTCTGGCCTCGGGAGTCCTCTGCTTATGGCCAATCTCGCAATATGGCGGAACAGCGTGTCTCTCGTTAGGAGTACTCCCTGACGCGTCGCACCATGATAACGCGAGGTAGAAAAAAAGCCAATGGTCTCCACGATCGTCACGAGGATCTCAGCACGTCGGGCGCAGTATCTCCTCGGCTCAGACGCAAGACTGGAGGGATAACTGGAGGGATGTATGCAGTCAGCAAGGATGGTTGCATTCGGGCGGGAGGGGAGAGGGGAGGGAGCCGGGCGAAGGCTGAGGCTGACTTCATCGTGCGCTCTACCTGGTGCGGCGACGCTCTTTGACGACGTTATTTGGACAGGTACAGCGGGATGTTCAAACCAAAAGGCCTGCATGGCTATCGAGTTTGGCTTTTCGAATTCCAAAATCAGCAACGTCAGTATTTGCCTTTGCGGACGTCGCTACCGCGTGCGAAACTTTCAAGGATGTAATGCGGCCTCTTCACCCTGTAGTATCGATGAAGTTTCACTGTTCATATTGAAGACGCGTCTGTAGAGAGCTGGATATTAAAGAAGTGCCTGGCATCAGGCGCCTGGACAGAGGGGGAGGACAGCCCGCGCTAAACCCGATTTGGTGCTTTGTACATTTCCCCGGGTCCCTCAACACAATCACCAACACTCTTCTCTCCTCCTTCATAACCACCACAGCAGGCAAGAATCATGTCGGAACCGGCTGCGGTGCCTTATTCCAGGTATACTGAACAACCAATGGGTGTCTAGGCCGGCAATGCTAACATAATCCCAGCTTTCTCGAGTCAGAAACCGTTGTCCTCAAAGCAAGCGAATCCGGCCGACACTTGCGCATCCACCGGGGACTCTTGAATCTGAAGGGTGGGCATATACTACACGCCTTTGAGGCAGCATTAGGGGGAGAAAAGTGCGAAATCTGTGTGTTCCAGACAACGTCTGAGAGCACCTTGGTTCGGTTTATCGAATGGGCCTACACCGGTGACTACCCAGCGAAAATTAGTCCTCGACGCGCTGGCCCCAGGGCTCCTCAACAAGACTGTGACGAGTCGAAAGAGCCTTGTGTCCACATTCAGCAACTCGCAATGATCATCGATCCCGATACCGACGAGAGCTTGGCGAATCACTCACTGCTCGCCCACGTCCATCTCTACATCTTCGCCAGGGCCTACGCAATTCCAGGGCTACGGCGACTTGCACTGGAGAAAGCCATGGCTACACTCAGGGACCTAGACCAGCCAATTACCCTCAGGGACCGACTAGCTGTTATGGCCGCGTTGCATGCGTCATCAACGAAGCTTCTTCGGAACGATCCGTTTCTTGAGTGGATCGCACAGTACGCCGCGTATAATATTGAACATCTTCGCGCCTTGGGCGCTTTTGAATTGTTGTTGGTGAAAAGACCTCAGTTGGGTGCAAGCATCTTCTGGAAGATCTTAGCTGGAGGTCAGGCACCTTGGCAGGGAGTGCCGTCAACGGATGGTTCTGCGTAAGACGAATGTTGCACAGCAACCACTGTTGCCGGACACTCCCCGCAGTGGGGCGTTCGAAAAAAGATTCGCCGTTTGCCAGGAACACTTCCACCTCACAACATCATCCATTCCTCTCTTCTTCAACCCTTCTCATCGCCAACATGTCCAAAGAGCACACTCTGCCATTCTTCAGGTAAGATCATCGCTCTTCAATCACTTTTTCTATGCTTACTGGCCGCAGCTTTCTCGACTCCGAGACCGTCTCTCTCAAAGCCACAGAGTCAGGTCGCCCATTCCAGATCCACCGTAGCCTGCTCGCTTCAAAGTCCAAGACTATTGCATCAGCATTTGATCGGGGCTTTGAGGAGTCCAAGAAGAAAGTCTATACCTTTCAGGATACGTCCGAAGGAACCCTTGCCCGGTTCATCGAATGGGCCTACACGGGCGACTACCCCACCATCCTCAAAGCCACCCACGCGAATGAACCGACGATCCTGAAAGCAGAGCCTAGCCCCAACGGAACAAAAACAGATGGCGAGACTGAGAAGACCAAGTCTGACTCGCCGGATAATCTTGACATCAACCTGATCTCCCTCTCCGCGCCCGAAACAGACCTCACGCACGAGAATCACCCGCTCCTCGCACACATCCGCCTCTACGTTTTCTGTAGCATCTACATTATCCCTGACTTGCGAGACCTCGCATTCACTCGTGTAACGACAGCCTTCAAGGATCTTAACCAGCCGACTACTTTGGACACCCAGCTCGCCGTCATCGCTGCCCTGCGCATCTCGTTCCACAACCTGCTAGCGAACGACCGCTTGCTGGACTGGCTCGCTCACTACGCCGCGTACTGTTTGGGTCAGCTGCGCGTGCAGCGCGACTTTCACGATTTGCTCCAGGAAGCGCCTGTTTTAGGGTCTAGAATGGTGCTGTCGTTGTCTGCTCCTGGTACCCCTCCTTGGCAGGTGGCGCCGCCCAAGTACAATTTCCCGGCTTATGTGCCTGATTCGACGTACTCGGAGGAGGTGTGATCATTTAACATAGGGATTTCTTTAACGCCTTAGAGGCCTCACCAAGAGCGGTACTCGGATAGACTCAGCGCACTAGTGACGAGATTAATCAAAGGCTTGGAGTACCCCAGACCCTTGCACCCTGGATTGTCTAGCGATTAATCAGGACCAATTGGACCTATTTCCCACGAAGCTGCTCTTACCTTCCCCAATTACTAGCAGTAGGCACCCCTTCTCATCATTCCCGAATTATCAGGTGGTCGGGTACCGGAATCGCGTTGAGGCTGGCATGCACCACCATCACAAGCTCAGCGTCGCCTCCCTAGTGCTTACACCACGATCCTTCCTTCTAGCCGTCTCCAACCACACAACGTATCCAATCTCTTGCCGGTTTATCCGAATCGTAGGGTCACATCGTCTGTTTCTTGGTCACTAATCAATCTTATCAGATCCTGGCATGCCCATTGCCATCCCCGGGCACCGATAATCGGACGTTTCCCTACAGCGTGCTTACCATAATGAACGACTAAAGGGTACTTATACCGCACAGTTCTCCCTGAACCCCGACTGTATCTGTGCGAGAGCCTCTGCAAACGCTCTGTATACACCCGTCTGATCAACATGGCACCGATACCGGCTTCCTCGCAAACCCCCGACACCATCACCCCAGCCCCCATTCCCGCTCACACCACAACCACCGATATCGAACTCAACCCCCTCCCCATCCAAAAGCCGCCTAGCAAAAAGGAAACCACCGCCGCCGACCCATTCCTCGTCACCTTCATCCTCCCAACCGACCCCCACAACCCAAAAGACTGGCCGACCGGGAAAAAATGGGCTGTCACCGACGTCCTCTCAGCCACGGGCTTCAACCGCATCATGGTCTCGACAATCATGGCGCCAGCCCTGCCTCTAATTTCATCAGAACTACACATGAACTCCACCGAATCCGCGATGGCGCTCTCGATTTACCTCCTCGCGACGGCGATCGGACCGCTACTAATTGGACCGCTCTCTGAAGTCTACGGACGCAAACCAATTTTGCATGCGAGTAACGTCTGGTTCCTTGTCTGGAACCTGGTATGTGGCTTTGCAAACACCAAGCAGGTTCTCATCGCCGCGAGGTTCCTGGCTGGTTTCGGGGCGTCAGCTATATACGCGCTGGCTAGTGGTGTTCTCGGCGATGTATGGCGCCCTGAGCAGCGGGGGAAGAGTCTGGGCGTCTATCTGCTTATCCCGTTACTTGGAAGCGCAGTTGGTTCGTCACCCCACTCCATCTCCCATACCACGAGCCCCAACTGATGCGATGCTTGTATAGGGCCAATAATCGGCGGCTTCATGGCCGGCCGCACAACCTGGCGCTGGATGTTCTGGTCAACCTCCATCTTCCAAGCCATCATGATCGCCGTATCCTTCAGCGTCTTCGACGAGACGCACGCGCCCACAATCCTCAGGAAACGTGCAAGGCAACTCCGTCGCGAACGGAACGACGGCCGGTATAAAACGCTCGAGGAGCGTCTGCACGACCAGCATCATCGCCAGTGCCGCGCATTCACCCGTCCCCTCCGTCTACTCCTCACCCACCCGATAATCCAAATCAACGCCCTGATTTCAGCCTTCGACTACGGCATCCTCTATATCGTCCTGTCCACTTTCTCCTCCCTCTGGACCGAACGGTACAATGTCTCCGTCGAACTAAGCGGACTCCACTACATCTCCATAGCCCTCGGCGAGATCCTAGGCTCGCAAGTAACAGCCTGGCTAATGGATCGGCACTACGCGCGCCACGCATCCACATCCACGTCTCCAACCCCCAACCCCGAGTCGCGCCTCCCGCTAACCCTCCTCGGCGCCCTCCTCGGCCCGCTCGGTCTCTTCTTCTACGGCTGGGCCGCCCAATATACACCCCACTGGTCCATCGTCGATCTCGGCATGCTCATCGCGTCCTTCGGGATGCAGAGCAACGGCATGCCGATGCAGGCGTATATCATCGAGACGTACCCGCAGCATATCAGTTCAGCGGCGGCGGCGGCACAGCTGCTACGGAGTCTGACGGCGTTTTGTTTCCCGCTTTTTGCGCCGAGGATGTATGCCGTTCTCGGGTTTGGGTGGGCGAATAGTACGCTTGCGTTTGCGGGGTTGGTGCTTGGTGTCCCGGCGCCGTTGGGGCTTTGGTGGGTTGGTGCGAGGTTGAGGGGGAGGATGGGGAGTAGTTATTGACCGCTTACTCCTGGCTGAGCGGTAGGTAAGGGGTTGGGGGAGATAGGACCTGTTCCTAGATAACTTGCGGTTCGGGGTCGACTGTAACAGCTGAGTATTTCTTGCCTTGGAAAATATTCGACTGCGAGTGTTTTGGTGATACATACTGAAATCAATAAACAGAACTTGATTATACAACTGGGGTTCTAGCAAATCTACTCCCTGATCAACATTCTAGCTGTGGAAATGCTCTAAAACTAGTAACAATGCAGTGGATGGCAAGGGACCCAGCCGGACGCAAAGATAATACCGTCTCTCAATAAGCCAACGGGAACCGTTCTCCCCTAAAAACCACCAATCTCCCTCTTAATTAAAATACCACATACTCCTATCAGCAACCGGTAAATTCGCAGGCAACTCGCCATTCTCAATCATCTCATCCCTCAAGTCCAGCAGCGGGAGATACGGATGCGGCCGTCCGGGCTCAAGGGTCCGATTCGCAACATATCCCTCCCAAACCGGCATGAACCGGGGCCGCAGGCACTTCTTGAAAATCGCATCGTCATACAATTCGTGAAGCATATTCGCCCAAAGCTCCATGAACCGGTCGTCGCGCTCATAGTCGCGGCATTCGAGCCAGATATACGACTCCGTGAAACTCACGGGGTTCAAGACTCTCATCGGGTATCGACGTGACCATGGCCCCGTCGGGCCGTTTGGTACTAAACCCCCGGCATTAGGAACCGTGCTGTCCGTCGAAAGCATGACGTCCATGTTCTGGTGCGGTGCGCCGCGCGGTATATCCGGCAGCCAGAAGAGCGTTTCCGATTTCCGGAGTAGGGTGACGGTGTACGTTTCGTCGCGCCAGGGGGCGTGAAAATGTGCCGATCCGACCACGTGGTAGCGACGCCGCTCGTCGACGGTGATGTGGTCTGCGTTTGGCATGCGTGCTTCGTCGAATTCCATGCAGGTTGGGTTTCTGCAGTGGGGATATCTTTCTGCGACGAGGGCCGCGACTGCCCAGGCGGTGGCGTCGTCCGGGATCACGAATTCTATGTCCTGAGACCAAAGTTAGGAATGGGTTTCGGATGGGTTGCAGGACGTACTGGGAATTTCATATCCCTTTGCAGGAGCGCGAGTGCTGTCCAGCCCCAGAGGATGCTTGGGACGTTCACCCGGTCCAGGATCAACGCGACATGTGCTGCTATAACTGCTGCTGGCTTCTCCATGCTCAATAATGATATATCAAATATTCTGTGGGCTACCCACGTATAGAGAAAGTGTTCGATTGTCAAGGGCTCGGAATTGGAGTTCTCACGTCCCTGGCCGACATAAACGGAAACAGCAATCGCGTCATTGTCCTTCGCGGCTGCTTCGACTCGTCAGTAGAACCTTGGGTACTGTGCCTGCACTTGAAGAATGGGTAGTAGAGATGCCTGGGCGCTTCCTTAAAAGTTCTCGCCTATGCTTCGTTGTTTCTCAGGGGCCATAGTGCCCACACCACATTGGCAGTAGCCGGGACGTTTGGGATATGTACAGGAACACTTGATGCTAGGAACTCAGAAATATTTGTTCATATTTCCGTTGAATGCTATGGCGCCGAAGGAACATTTCTTAATATTCCCTGCCGAGGTTCCACATTATGTAAATTAAGGACAAATCGAGCGGCTCGGCCGTGATGTAGATGTAAAAACAAAGAAAATCAAACTTGAAGACGCTTAAAAGCATGAGCGAGACAAGGGTTGTTTGGAAAGGTGTAACAAGAGACAGACAAGGCGTACCGACAGACCTGGTGAACAAGGGCAGTCTTGAAGTATCTGCTACAGTTGCACGCAAGCGAAGAGGTTTTCAGGTAACCATGCTGAATTTCGAGTTAGGAGCCATACATTGCGAAGGATGTAAGTCCGTTACATCCATCAAGGATTCAGCGAGGCGTCGGTAACACGCCTCTGGTATGAGTCCATCGCCGTACGTCTTTTCAAGGAAGGAATCATACATTGCAAACGATGTACGCCCGCCGCAAGAGCTACGTAGCAAACTACCAATACTCTCTGCTCCAGGTAGTAGAAAGTCAGGCCCCTGAGCTGCCGTAACTGGCTTCTCGCCCTTTGCAAATCGTCCATTGATCCTTAGACTATCCAAGAGTTTGTCGTCCGGGCACGCGTTGCGATAGATGTCCTCGATGACCTCCACCAGAGACAGGACGCACGGACACCAGGTAAACTCGTCAATGGTTAAGTCCTCTAGACCGTCCGGAATTGTTCCCCATAAATGGTTATTGAGGCGTGAGTCGGATTCACTCTCGTCGAGTTCGGTCTCGTTGAGTACGGGCTCGTTGAATTCGGTCCAACTGAGTAAGTTGTTTGCCCGGAGACGTAAGCTCTTCAGGCTCGTAAACTTCTCAAACGATCCTAGGAAAACGTTGTCTTCCGGCTGTGGGTCCCAACTGCATATCTCGTGGTAAATTGCAAGTTTTTCCAATGTTTCCTTGTGGATACAGAGCGAGCGATAGAGTGTTGGAAGGTTGAGCGGTTCGGCCGATGGAACGTGCTCGTACACAAAAGATTTGAGAGCTTTGCATGCGCGTATAAGGCCCGAGAATCCGCTCTGGCAAAAGCTAGACCTAATTGTGAAATGTGTGATATTGGAGTAGCCCGAAACTCTGATTTCCGGACCCTGGTTGAAGACATCGTAGCACGAAAGCTTGCGCATTGTCGGGATTTCGAAGAACGCCAAAACGAGATCTAGCGGGATGCCAGCTCCAAAGTGCAGGTGCTCACCCGGGTTGTCCGAGTCCATCATTGCAAATTCTCTCAGTCGTCGGAGGATCGGCAGTCTGTCGAACGGCTTTTTCTTATGGAGGACGCCATCCAGAACCATTTGTTGGTGGTGGTTTGTGTCGTCACCCCGACCTATATTGAGAACTTCCACGCTGGACAGAGTCGTCAACAGCAGCGCGCACCAGCCATCATGCTGTGCACCAGGCCCGTATTTGCCGTTCCCGCGCAGACGGTTCTCCCAATCCGACAGAGCTTCTTCAGTCAAGGTCACGCGTTTCAGAGCCTCCAGTATGAGCCTCCTTTTGTACCTGAAGTTGCGAAACGGGTTGTCACCACACTCTCCCATATCCAGTATGCGAACTGCTTCGGCATATTGGGGCTTTCGTAAGAGGAGGTGGACCAGGACGCTGATCCTCCATAGAGAATGGCTTGGAGGAACTGAGATGCAGGAAAATGCTACTGGCATTAACGTCTCATAGAGCTGCTTTGAGCAACGGGCTAGGTTAAGGCGGTCATCGCGGTTGCAGATGGACTCGGCAATCAGGATGAGGATCTCGTTGGGCAAGGAGGTGAACTCGGCCATGGCTTGTCCTAGACTGACGATTGTGTTAGTGAAAATAATGAGAACACTTTTTGTGAAGAGAAATGGTGTCAAAAAATCTTGTAAATGAGGAATCCGTACCAGGCTGGCGTAGTTCAGATCGTTTGGACAATGAGAGAGGCAGAAGGCGTTACTGCTAGGGGTAAGGGCGATGCTGCCGCTAGGGGAGGTCAGAAACTGGTGTAATACGCTTCCTGACCTCGGTGAATGGAGGCAATGGCGGTGAACCCGGTTAAAGGGATAAAAAGGATTGGGATGATGACGGTGAAAAGGTGGTGATGGAAGAGAGATGAAGTAACACTGATAAGGATGAAGCGCCAAGAACTCGTCGCCTGCGGCCTCCTCATAACCGACCTCATAAGCAGGGCAGGGCATTGTCGTTCGGAAATTATCCCTAGAATGTTACAGCTTATCAATTAGGAAGCCTGTCTCCTTATCATAGAGCAGTGTTGCCCAGAAAATATTCATTGACTATGCAATACGCAGCTAATAGCAGGAACCAGAAGGTAGTGTACAGACTGCTCTCGCGGAAACCCAGAATGTACTCGATCTCATCCGCCCATGAAATCCATAGTATTTTTTCGACGCTGCATGCGGCCACCTAGCGAGCAAGCCACACGGCTAAGTGCCGCGGAAGGCATTTGGCCGATAGCACCATTTGGGTACCAAACCATTCCCATATTCTTTCAAGGCATTGGCGTCTACGATTAAGAAACACCCGCTCCCAACTGCCGTGGTAAGACGGGCACCAAGACGCATCCAGAACTCCTTCGGCGGTCCACCACCTCGCCTACCATCAGGGGTGCCCGAATGCCATTCGAGAAAGGCACCGCAGATCGTCAAACACTTAATGTCGTAAGATCCTGCGTCGGAATTGCGATAGAAATCTTCGAATTGTTCAACAAGGGCCACGGGATTCGGGGTTCTGTGACAGTCATCTATGTCGAGCAACTCGAGAGAAGGGGGTAGCACCCCCATTAGGCAATCTTCAAAGCACTTGTTCACTGAGTCCCATGGAAGCAAATTGGTGGCGCGTATACGCAGTTGCTTGAGGCGGGTAAACCGATTGAGGGAGCCAAGGAACGCATCTTCTTTAGGATCAGAAGCCTCCTGTTTGATATCATAAGAGACCACGATATGCTCGAGACTATTGACGTGGTGAAGTAAAGTCTCGTAAATTCCAGTAGGGTTGAGCGGATTCTGGCCCTCAGAATCCATTCTGTGCACGTAGGCAAAGTTCTTCAGTTCCTTGCAAGCCCGAACAATGCTGCGAAAACCAGTCTGCGAATTACTTTCCCAAAACGCCAGCTTAGAGATCCCAGATTCAGTTGGAAGCTCGTTGTCTTCGCATTTGCCGTCGTCGTATAGTTCCGTCAATGAGAGCTCACGCATGGTCGGAAAAGTGAGAAAGGGTATTATATCATCCTCCAAGGATGCGGGCGCATGCTCTAGCCATCCCCTAAGGTTGACCTCTCTCAAGTGACCCAAAACCGGCACGGTATTGAATGGTTTTTCTCCACGGGACGCCCTTGTCACTATCTTCCCACGAAGTGCCGAAACCAACTCCCCATGTATGCTGAGAACTTCCAAGTTTGGGACTAGGGTCAACAACATTGCCCTCCATCCGTCGGCTTGTCCCCAACCCCCAGTCTCGGGCTTGTCGCGCAGGCAGTTCTCCCAAGCTTCGATGTCCTCCTCATTCTGTGTCAGACGCCGAATAGCCCCGAGCATCAGCTTCCTTTTAAATCTGCATTTCAAGGGGTGATCGCACAGCCAAAATGCCAGATTAAGCGACCGGACACTTTCACCATACCGTGGATTGCGTAGGATGAGATGGACAAGGCAGCTAAGCACGAACGGGCAGTTTGACTGAACATCGATGTTGGTAAACGCAACGGGCATCAACACATCGTGGAAATGGTGGCAGCAACGGGCGAGGCTGAGACGGTCATTGCGTTCCTCCAGCGACTCGGCGATCAAAATCAGTATATCATTCGGGAGGGAGCATAGGTCCATAATGGATTTGTCTCTGGGCTAGACTCAGCAAGTCAGTAACAGAGAGGAGGGGAGTTGGCTGACTTTTGACACCAGTACCAGTGACGGACGTGGGAGACATACCAAAATACAATGTGCGTGGCGACAAGGCAATGGCGAGAGATGTAGGCTCTATTGCCGGCAGCCCAAGAAGCCAACGACGCACCAAGTAGACGAGGAAGGAAAGAAGAGCGGAAGAGCTTGAGGTGTTGGATCGTGGCCAAAGTTTTGTCGTGGTGGAGAGAGTGGGAAATGGTGGGAGTAACACTTCAACTGAGAGACAAGCGCCAAGACAAGTTTCGCGGCTTCGTAGGTACAGTAGCAACCATTTTTGGGCTTCAGAGAAGCTTCGAATTGCAGGATAAGAGCTATGCAACGTCTACAATAGCTGTGTTCAAAGGATTGAACAGTAGTACCCATTGGAAAGGAGGATCCAATTACGATATCCCTTCATATTATCCCAAACAGCAGATTAGGAAACTAGAGCATTCGGGCACAACCTTCAAATCACTTGGTGACTTGGTGAGCCACTGACGGAAGCCAATACATATGTTCGGCTTTAATCTTAGAGACTGCGACATGCTCGGCAAAATGGAACTCAATTAGTGTAGCTTTTCTCCGTTGTTGAAAGACTAATCGTGATCAAAGAAGAGATACACCAGAATTACTCGCAACATAACCAAACATACCGCGAAATGTATGTGGGAGAGTACGGATTAGGATGACCAATATCGTCATTTCACCCGTACTGTCACTCTCATCCTCTCACATAGCTGGGGTCGCAGTAGCCTGTGCTGGAGTAGACATGGGCGTTGTGGGACTGGCAGGGTCACCGTGGACACAGTAGGCGCGGCCGGATCTCAAGTTAGAGCAGTCTGCTCTAACGCTCGGGTTCCAACGCCTGATATCGTCGATGGTAATGCTGTAGCTCATAGCAATGCGGTTGCAGGTATCTCCGGATTGAACAACGTACCACTAGAACGATTAGTGTATGTTCAGCACGCTGAAATTGAAACCTACCTCGTAGCAGTTGGCAGTCGTTCCGCTAGTTGTGGGAGCCGGTGCAGTGGCATACGCTGAAGTCGCCGTGGTGGAAGTAGCTGTCTGGTTCCAATTCTCGGTGGGCGAGACGCAGTAGTAGAGTCCTGGAATAAGGTTTGTGCATTGCGCGTCGATAGCCGGGTTGATGTCCCTGAAAAGCTGATAGTCGATGCTGTATCGGTCCGCGATGGAGTCGCAGTAGTCGCCCGATTTGACCTCGTAGTATTGTCCGCAGTTCTTCGTCGTGCCGCGGGGGACGGGACCTGGTGGATCTACGATCGAAGTAGCGTAGACTCTCTTCTGCAGCGTCGACGGGGCAGGCGAGGTTGTTGGAGACGGTAGGGGTGCTGGTGGGGATACGCAGACCTCATCTCCGGCCAAAAGGTTTGTGCATCCCGAATCGAGGTACGAGTTCCATTCGAGGAGCTGTTCGTAGGTGAGGAGGTTCTGCTCCACGATGTCTTGACAAGTCATCCCAATCTCGACGGGGTAGAGTGCGCATGGTTCCGGTAAACATAGCACCTGGCCGACTGCGTCTGGATTAGCGAATATGGTCCACTGTGAAGGAAATCTAGACTCACCCCTGAGGTCGGCACAGTCCGGGCGAACTTTATTAATGGCGATTAACGAGCCACGAGGCACGCTATGGGCTGTAGCGATCTTTGCACAGGTGTCTCCAGAAACCGCAATATATGTCCTCTTCGTGGGGCACTCGGTGGGTGATTGCCTTGAGTGCAAACGACCGGCACTGCTTTGGAGGACAAGCAGCAGGGTGCAGACCAGGTAGCAGGCAAGTGCGGAGATCATTTTGATCTGAGAAGTAACGACCGTATGAGCAAATGTTGAGTGCCTTGCGTTTCAGAACAAGCAGGATTCCCGCGCCTTCTAATATACCCTTCTTGACGTCTAGTTCCTGACGCAGAGCGTCGTCATGCCATCATAGATGGCTCTAGGCCATCAGCTCTAGGCTTGCTATGGGCTGCCATACTGTAACAACAAACTAGCTTATCCCTGCAATACGCCATTTTGGTTGCACGCGTGCTAGGCTTGTGTGACGAGTATCGGGTGCAATGTTCCACAGTTGACAGCAAACCACGCGGGCGTTCGTTGAAAGTCTTTGGACCTCCATCAAGCCCCGGTTGCGCTCTTCAAGGTGTCCTTGTTGTACAGTGATTATGAGCTGACGACGGTCCAGCAGTATCGAGAGCTAGACTGGAATTTATTATTCTTGTCAGCACATTGTCGAGCGGGAGATCTACTCAACTTCCCGCCTGGTAGCACCAAAGCAATCACTTTGTCTGGGCGCAAGACGTAGGTTACTGCTCCTGAAAAAAAGTCACTGCATCTTCCTTATGTCGTTTGTCTCCTATCCCCTGCTGAGACACGTTTTGCCCGCAGAATGGATGTTTTCCCCACCTTTTGAATATGCACTGCGTCAGGGCTGCCGAAGCGCCCTCCCAGTTTTCGCGTTCGGAATCCAGTGTCACCAAAGCTCCATAAACTATAACGCTGTAATACGTGCGCAAAGTCATTCCGCACCTCCGCCTGGTCCGCGCACAGCATCCGTGATCTCAGTACTTGCAGTCTGGCAACAGTAGGACAATGCCACTCGGGGTGCAAGGTAGTTTGACGTCTGACGAAATCACCCTCATCCTGTGTCACAGCCGATCAAGTGCGCGTGAGGTCTGCCGTCACCATGTCTGGATGTCCGGCTGTCTGGATGGCATTCGCATCATGGAGGACACAGCCGGATACCACGAGGAGCTGTCGTCTGATCGACTCATTGAATGCTAGTCAGCATGGTGGATCTCGCGCAACCACCCCTACCTCTGCTAAAAAGGTCTCGTTCTCGCGCCGTCACTTCAAGCATATTTCCAAGTTCGCGGCTACCCCGGAACAAAAGGGAAAGCGGGGCATGCTAGATTTGTTCGGTTGCTGAACAGTGAACATGCCATGGCAATTTGTCCAGGTAGTCCGCGGTCTCCGCACAGCTAGGCCTAGTGTTATCTGTCAAGTCCCCACGATCTGTAAGGTCCCGCTGGATCTCTGCTGATCATTCGGACATTCCGCCACGCGTTGAACGGGGTTTCGTAAGGTATGATGGGTTCTCCTGCTATTAATCGGTCATCGCTTATCGTGAAACCTGGTCTTGATTCCACCATCAGTCAAGCTCCAGTTTCCGTCAAGGGGGATTTGCGGTGAGCTTCAGAGCAGATCCTACCTGTCGTAGCGGCGCTCGACGTCAAGTCCCCTGCGCGTCAGGGCCGCGGTCAATTCCAGATCTGGATATATATCATACAGCTCCTGAGCACCACTCCGTAATGGGTATAAGCATCAACCTCTCGGTGGAAAGCAAAACCAAGCATCTGAGCAAGCGAGCTGAAGGAATGGAACACTGTCGGTGTCAGAAGTGGGCAAACAGTCACCCCACCCAATTGGGCCTAGCGCAAAATGCCAAGTGTAGGTAGTCTAACGCAGGATTGCCTGGCAGTTTCCATCAGGATATTATATCTTTGATATCGGAGTTAGTTTTCAATGCCTCATTGGCGACATATCATCCGTCATGTTTCCGTTCACTCCATCTTCTGATAGCGAAACCGACGATCCTCGCTAAAGACTGGCGTCTGAGGAAGGCCGCTATGTACCAGGATTTAGACCCACAATCCACCTTCCAAGGGTTTACTTATTTAGACAACCCATTCTTTCATCTTTTCTCTTCCCTTAGCTTTCTCTCTATCCTGACGAAGTGTTTTAAAGAGCGTGATACTGCCAAACATCTATATGATACATCGATCCAGCTAACTCAGTACGTACACAAAGCAAAACTATCTACGCAGGTGAAGGAATGCAAGAATTAAAAAAAAAAGCCAGCTAAGCCTCGAGCTCATATCATCTTCCGCACTGCCTAGGTGCAACGGAAGCTCTCAGCCAAAGCGACATTACCGCCAACATATTCCATCTGGGAAGGATACGGGCACAGGTTGCGGTGGAGACCATTCCCGAGGGACGGGTATTCCACGCTCAAGGTGTCCGGGGCGGTGCCGTTCTCGACCCAGCGCTGCAGAGCTTTGAGGACGGTGGTCGGCTGGCCGCCGAGGCCGCCGGCGCAGTGGCCCAGACCCGGCGACTCGAAGAAGCGCCAGAAGTCGTGGATGTCTGGGAAGAGCGCCCGCGCCTTGTTGTAGAGGTACTCGGTGCCCTTGGTGGGGATGCTGGGGTCGGCCTGGGGCAAACACTGCGTCAGTTCCGGTTGCACGGTATGGTATGGGAGGGATGCGGAGAAGAGGAAGGGGGAGAGACGGACCATGCCGTGGTAGGTGAGGAGCTTGCCTCCGGCATTCTTGAAAGCATGCAGGTTCGCGTCGTCTGCGTTCCAGGAGCTGCCGTATTCGGAAGTGACGAGGTTGAAAAATTCCTGGTACTCCTCGTGGCTCAGGCCGGCGGTGTTGAAGCTGATGTTTTTCGCGACGAAGAGATTGAACCACTCGTCTTTCATGGTGCTCGTCGATGAGCTGTTGTATCCCGGTTCGACACCGAAGGTGCTACCGATGTCGGAACCTGGGTTGTATCCATACCAGAGCTGGCGGCCGTCGGTGGTGTGCGCGCCTGACCAGGCGGCATCGGCGATGAGCGCGGCGCCCTGGCTGAGCGGGATCGTGCGGTTCAAGGAGTCGCAAGTGAAGGTCTTGTTCACGGCGGTATAAGGGTCGTAGTTGCAGGCCGTCATGTTGGAGATGAGCCCATCCACCGCGCCATCCAAGGGATCACAGTGGGCGATGGCTTCGCTTGTCAGGAAGTCCAGTTCGCAGACCAGTGGGTTCACGTTATGCCAGAAGCGCATGAAGAGAGGGTAGTAGAGCGAGGAAGTGAACTTGGTGAACGATTGGGCGGGGGCTGAGGCAGCGATGCCGTCGTATGCTGTGGGATAGCGCTCGGCAATCATCATCCCCTGCCGGCCTCCCTGCGAGCAACCGCTCCAGTAGGAGTACTCGGGAGCCCGACCGTAGAAGCTGTTCACCAGGCTCTTTCCGATGATGGCTTGGTCGTTGTAGGCACGGGATCCAAAGTTTTCCACCGCAACCCAATCAACGTTGCCCGGACTGGTGAGCGCCCATTCACGGGGTCCCGTAGTATCCTTGCCCAGTCCAGCATCGGTCGTGGTCGTGGCAAAGCCTTCCCCCAGTGCGCCTCCCATGAAGAATTCCGAGAGCACAAACCGGCCAGCAGCCCATCCGCCACCTCCTGTCGCCTGCAGGCGGCCGTTCCAGTTCGCCGGCTCGGGAAGCCAGGTCTCGACGGTGATGTTATCCTCGTAGCCGGGATGGGTGTACTTCACGGTGATGTTGCAGAACTTGGCATTTTCCAGGTCGACATTTCCTCCGTTGTAGTTGAAGCTGTAGGGGATGTAGTCGGTGTAATTGGTGACCCAAGCCGCCGAAAGCGAGAGGATTTCCGCCCCGTACACGGCCGGGGTCTGAATGGCCGCAGGCGAGCAGATGGAAAAGTTCGTCATGCTGACTAGAAGAAGGGTGAAAGTGAACTGAGTGTTGCAGAATTCTCTGGTCCCAGTAGGCTTTTTATACCTCGACAGTACGTACCATTCATATTGTCGATGACGCCAATTCGGAAAGGAGTAGTGGCTACCTGATTCCCAAGAAGGATGTTCGTACTCGGAGCCCCTCAGCCCCATAAATATTTCTTCAAGGCTGCATAGTAAAAAGCCTGCCCCACTTGGATAGTATGAGGCCCTTTGTATACCGTACTAACTAGTAAAGCTATTAATTAAATATTATTAAAAAAAATAAAAAAAAAGTAAGTTATTTAGTAAAAGCTAGAGCTACCTAGGGGTTTATATAAATATTTTAAGTTTTTAAAAACTTATTAAAAGCCTAATTTTTTTATAAAATAATAAGGTATTAAGTACCTTACTTTTTTATATTAACATGGCATGTAAAGGCGTTAATAAATAAAAATTTTATTAAATTTTACTTTTAGCTAATACACCCCCTTAATACCTATTAAATACTAAAAATAAGGCTAAAAATGTTTACTAAACTAAGTATTTTAATAAATTTATAATATTATTATTTAGTAAGTAGCTTAATAAGGCTATTTATAATTATTTAATTAATAAAAGTTTATTTAATTTTAAGGTTTTTATATTAAACTTTTTATTAAAATTATAAGTTATAAATATTAACATGCTAAAATTTTAATTAATACTAAATATTAAGGCTAGTAAAAATATTAATAATTTATTTATTATTATATTAAATTAAAAAATAATATTAAAAATTAAATTATATTAAATTAAAAACCTAGTGCTATTAGTAAGTTACTTTAAAAATTTTAAATAAAATAAATAATTTTATTTTAATTATTAAAGTTATAATTAAGTGTTATTTTATAACTTTTTATTTAATTAAATTATTATATAGTTTATAAATATAGCCTGTATTAAAAAAGTAATTAAATTAATTAATAAAAGCTATATTAAAGTAGGCCTTGTAAAAATTATATACCTTTAAAATAAGTTTATTTTTAAAATTATTTAAATTAAAGTATTTAAGGGCTATAAAGCGTGTGTTATAAAAATAAAAAATAAGTTAATTTACTATATATTAATAATAATTTATCAAATTAATTAGGTATTTTAATAATTAATTAATAATATAAAAAATATTTAAATAAGTAAGCGTGCTTATATAATTAACTAAGCTAATTTTAAACCTTATTTTTTTAATTTATTAAAATATAGTAGTACTAAAGTTTAAATAAAGCTTGCTAAAAAAAAAGGTGTTTTTAAAAGTTAAATTATTATATTTAAGTAAAATTAATTTATAATTACTTTAATATAAAAGTTTTAATATAACTAAACCTTGCGCTTTTCCCTATCCTAAATAATTTAAACTTTTAAAAATTATTTTATTTTACTAAGATACTAAAGCTTATACTTTTATATTTAATTTTTTTTTAAAAGTAGCTATAGCAGCTTGGCCTTTTTTAATAAAAAAGTTTATAATAATAATATTATTTATATAAATAAAAAAAATTATAAACTTACTAATATAAAGGCACTTTTTTTAAAAAATTATAATAAATTTAAATTTTTATAATATTATAGCTAAATTAAGCTATTAAAAGTATAAAAACTTTTAAAGTTTATAAATAGCCTTAAGGGTTTTTAATAACTTACCCTACTACTTATAGTTATTTAAAAAGTAAAAATATATTATTTTTTAAGGGTAGTATTAAAAAACGCGTTAATAATATTTTTTTAATTAAAATTAAGGTTAAAAGTAACTATAAATATTATAAAAGCTTTAAAAGCCCTTGCTAAGGTAATTACTATTTAATTTTTTTTAAAAAATTTTAATTTTAAATTTTTATATATATAAATTTAGGCTTTAGCCTTAATAAAGTAGCTATTAATATTAAATTTATAAGTAAAAACCTATAATAAAAAAATTAGCTTATTTATTTTTATTTTTTATTTATTTATTATTTTTTATGCTTTTATTTTATAAAAAGCTCCTAGTTTAAAATTTATAGCCTTTAAAAACTTATTATAAAGTAAATAATTTTTAAGATTACTTTAGTGCTTAAAAAAAAAGGTAAATTATTTTAATAAAGGCATTTTTTTACAGGGTTTTAGTAAAAAGTAAAAAAGGTAAATTAAATATAATTAAAATTATTTAAATTATTTAAGGAAGCGCTTAAATCTAAATTATACTTATAATTATTAATATTATATTATTTAAGCCTGTGCTTAATTATCCTAAAAAAAAAATTAAAATTACTAGAGTTTTACCCCCTAAGCACGTTAAACTTAAAAACTAAGTAAAAAAAAAAGAAGCTAGGCGTGCTTATTTATTTTTTAAAGTAATTATTTACTAGCTAAATTAGTAAAAAAATATTAAGGTGCTTGGGGGCGTAAAATTTATTACTAAAAACTTTTTAAATAGGCTTTTAAAGCTATTTATAAAGCTAAGTTTTATATAAGCTTTTTATAGTAATAAAATTTAAAAGTTACCTTAAAAGTTAGCAAGTATAAAAACCTATTTAGCTAATTAAAGGCCTTTTTTTTACTAGTAATATTTTTAATTTTACTAATAATATTTTAAGCCTTATTTCTTACTTTATATTTATTATTATTATTAATATCTTTTTTTTTAAGATTTCTACTACCCGAGGCCTATTTATATTTAAAATACCTTTATTTTTTTTATTTAAAAAATTTACTAAAATTAAGGTTAAGATTAATCTCTTTAATTTTATGGTTTTAAAAAAAAATATTAAGAACTTAGGCTAGAGGCTCTAGTAACTTAATTTTAATATTAATAATAAAAAAAAAATTAAATTATATAATTTAAACTTATTAAAAATAATATTTTTACAGGCACGTACAAGCTATTTTTTAAAAAACTAAATTTATTAAATATTTAAGGTAATATAGCCTAGTAAGTATTTTAATAAAGCCTTTAGTTTTATTTTATAAAAACTTTTTATTTAAAATTATCTTACCCAGGTAAAACAGCCTAGTATTTTAATATTAAAAATATAGGGGTTTTTATTAATAAAAGCTTTTTATAGTATTTTCTAATTTAATAACTTAATAAAAATTTAATTATTAATATAAGCTACTACCTTTATAACCCAGGGCTATATATTAAAAAAAAAATTTATAAAAAGTTATTATTTTTATTTTTTTTAATTAATATACTACTAAAGCGCTTAACTATATTATTTTAAAAAAAAAAGTATAAAAAGTAAACTAGTTCTAAAGTATACCTTAAAATATAGTAAAGTTAAAAATATTATTATTAAGTATAGGCTTATAATTATTAAAAAAAACCTTAAAAGTAATATTAAATTAAGTTTAAATAAGCTTAATATATTACTTAATAATATTTTTATACCTATTTTTTTTTAGTAAATATAGGCCTAATAAAACTTAATATTTTTATTATAAAAATAAGTTACCTACTTTTTTTTATTTATTACTTTTTTTATAAAAATTAAGTTAAAGTAAACTTAATTAAATAATATAGTAGTAGGATTTTTAGGCCTTTTAAATATTTATTAAGGGGCTTATTTATATTTATAAGTATTATATTATTAAGGTAGTTAAAAACTAGTAATTTAAACTTTTTTAATTATAATAAGTAAATATTAAAGTATCTTATTACTAATATAGCCTAGGCGCTGGTAAAAAGCTTTAAAATTTTTTTAATATAAATTTTTTAAGTTAAGGTTTTAACTTTTTATTAAGTTAATATATTAGCTTTTTTTTAAGGCTTTAAGTTTTTTTTAAACTTCATTATTTAAAGGCTAAATAAATAATCTTTAAGATAAAATACTAGTTTATTATTCTTGGTAATTAGGGTATTAAAATTTTAAAAATATTTAGTTTTTTTAAAAGGCCTAGCTACTAGGATATTAATATAAAAGCTAGGTATAAAAACCACTTTATTAAAAGTAAAAAATATTATTTTATTATTTAAAGCCTTAAAATAAAAAAGTACTAATCCCATGCTTTAAATAATAATAGTTATATTTTTTACTTAAATATTATCTTTTTTTAATTAATTAAAAAAGGTAAAATAATTAAAATTATTATAAATATAAATAAAGGCACTAGTATTAAAAATAAAGRTATTTTAAAATATTAAATTACTTTAAATACTTATAATAAATATATAATTATAATATTTTTTTTATTATGGCTTAAGTAGCTAAAAAAGCTTTTTAAGCTTTTTTTTTAACTTTTTTTATTTTTAAAAATTTATTTATTTTTAACCCTTACCTTTTAAAGTTTCTTACTATATTTATTATTTTTATTAAAAGCTTTACTAACCTTTTTATTTATTTTTTTTAGGTTTATACCATGTCTTTTTATATAATTATATAAAGTACTAATACTACTTTACTACTTAAAAATAATTATATAAATAAAAAGGCTTGTTATTAATAAGTATTATTTTAAAAAAATATTTAATTTTTTACTAAAAGTTGTAAAGGCCACTACTTTAATAAAGTTTTTAAAAAAGTTATTAATTATAAAAAAATATTATTAATATTTAAATATAAATTAAAAATAAGAAATTAAATTAGCACCTTTTTAGTTTAATTAATTAATATTTTATTTTATATAAAAATTTAAATACTTGCTAATTATCCGCAAAAAGGTTATATTAATTATTTTATTTTTTAATTTAGGTTAATTAAGGTATTTAATTTTTTAATAGGTATTTTTATAGTTTTAAAGCTAATTATTAATTTTACCTTATTAAATTAAAGTATTTAAGGCTATAAAATAGTTACTAAATACTTTTAGTTTAGTTTTAAAATTAATTAAAATAAATTATTATTTTAATTTAACTAGAATTTTTATAGTAAGTTTATTCTTAATAAGTTATTAAATAAAAATAGTAATAATTTTTTAAATAGCTTTATTTATTTTTTAAATTTTAATATAATAATACTTAGTGTTAAGCTAGTATTTATTATATATTTTAAATTTTTTTTAATTATATTTTTAAAAGGTAACTTAAGGTAAGAAAGGATTTTTTTTTTTAATTTTTAAAAATATTTAAATTAAAAAACTTTTAAACTCTTACTATATAAATAAAGTAAAAAATTTAATTATATTAAGCTAGCTAGTTATTCCTAAACTTAAAAATAACTTTTATACTTATAATATTATTAATAAAGGTTATAATAACTTTTAAGTTAAGTATAAAAGTTAAAAATTAATTAATATTTATTTTAATTTAATAAAAAAGGTAATTAACTATAAAGGGCTTGGTATAACTTTAAAATATATATTTAAAAATATAAATAACTTTAAAATATTTAAAAAAGGTAAAAATTTAATAAGCTAAATTATTAAAATAATATTTAGGCTTATAATTATAAGGCCCTTTATATATTATATTAATTAATAAAGCTATTAATTAAATATTATTAAAAAAAATAAAAAAAAAGTAAATTATTTATTAAAAGCTAGAGCTACCTAGGGGTTTATATAAATATTTTAAGCTTTTAAAAACTTATTAATAGCCTAATTCCTTTACTAAAATAGTAAGGCGTTAAGCGCCTTACTTTTTTATACTAACACGGCATGTGGAGGCGTTAACAAATAAGAACTCCACCAAACTCCACCTTTGGCTGACAGATAGAACTAGGCTTCGTCCGGGGCTCAACAGGCATTTAGGCATGCCTTTGCACTGGGATCAGGATTTTCCTAGTCCCTGCAATCTCATGTCTCAGATCAATAACTTCCTCTATCGAAACACCTATTTTGCGGCCGAAACAGAGTACCAATCATGCATCTTATCCAGCCGGTAAGTCCTTGCATTGCTGCCACAATGACCCTTCTAATAATTCCAAGCATTCAGAATACAAAACCGCGCTGTGTCTACTGACATCTTTGGACGTTATAATGGATACACGAACAATCTCTTTCATATGCGCGCACTTGGAAAGGGAAATCCATACCCTCCAGGTGGAAATACAAAGCCAGCGGCAGTTCCTTGACCAGGCACGTCTCAGGTCGTGGGAATACCTTGAACTGGAGCAAAAGTGTGTCCAGATCCACGTGGACTTGCGGAGATGCCGAACGAGATGCGGAGAGCTGAAAAGGCTATACCTGGATTTTGTAAAAGAAGAAACTGTATGTGTCAAGCAAAAGCCTAGGTGGAATATAGAGTAATGGGACCCTATTAAGAGGATATATGTACAACAAAGAATTTAAGTGGCCGTTGCCTCTTTGAATCTGGTGCCCCAAAGTGCCCCAAAATGCTTAGAGGGCGGAAGTATGCAAGCCACAAGGCTTGTATATGCCACAAGGCTTCACTGATACTACAGCAAAGGATTAACTGGACAAGTATCAGTTCTAGTCCGATATCATTCGTAGTTCGGAAATTCACATTGGGTCAATATCCAAAACAGCAAACCTGAGAGTGGCTGATGGCTGCCTGGCTGAATCGGTAGGGCTGTGGTTGTCTCCGGGTCGGGAGGATACGAATGCGAAATTCCTGCTGCGGCTTGGTGTGGCTCCACAAGCCCTAACATCGGACCCATTTGGAGCCCCCTTTTGGTTTGGATACATGCAGGCACCATGGAAAAAATCCATAGGTCGAGGTGGTTAAGAAGAGGGATAAAAGGCGATGGACTGTTGTTTTCTTTCGTTTAACCCTCGCCAACTTCAGTCCGTTCCTTAACCCCCGCCAACTTTAGTCCTTCGTTCTTCCCTCTTTGTTATGAAGCTGCCATTAGTCGCCGCCGCGGCAGCTGGCATGGCCAATGCTGCCTCTCTGCTTCCTGGTTCGGCCGACATCACTGCCAGAGCTCTCCCTGATGCCCCCGATGGCTATACCCCCAAGGAAGTCGCATGTCCAACCACCAAGCCGACTATCCGCGACGCAGACACTCTCTCTACGCATGAGACTGAGTGGCTAAAGGTGCGCCGAAGGGCCACACTCGCCCCGATGAAAGAACTTCTGGATCGGCTAGACCTCGGCGACTTTGACGCCTCCGCATACATTGACAGACACTCGAGCAACATTGACAACACTCCCAATATAGCCGTGGCCCTATCGGGTGGAGGCTACCGTGCAATGACCAACGGCGCCGGAGCCCTCAAGGCATTCGACGCTCGGACGGAGAATGCCACCGCAACGGGCCATCTCGGAGGTCTCCTGCAGTCGTCGACATACGTGTCCGGGCTGAGCGGCGGCAGCTGGCTTGTGGGCTCCATGTTTGCCAACAATTTTACCACGATCAGCAACCTGCAAGCGAGCGACAGGGTCTGGGACCTATCCAAGTCGCTGCTAGAAGGCCCCAACCAGCACCACATCCAGCTGCTGAGCACCTACGACTACTGGAAGACGATCATCAAGCAGGTGCACAGCAAGTCCGACGCCGGCTACAAGACCTCCTTCACCGATTACTGGAGCCGCTCTTTGTCCTTCCAGCTGATCAACAGCACTACCGACGACGGCGGCGCCAGCTTCACCTGGTCTTCCATCGCGGACATGGACGACTTCAAGGCCGGCCAGTATCCCATGCCCATGGTCGTCATGGACGGCCGAAACCCCGGCGAGAAGATCATCGAGACCAATGCCACCGTCTACGAGGTCACGCCCTGGGAGTTTGGATCGTGGGATCCAACCGTCTACGCCTTTGCGCCGCTGGCGTACCTGGGCACCGAGTACGCGAACGGCAGCGTGCACGGCGACAAATGCGTGCGAGGCTACGACAACGCCGGCTTCATCATGGGCTCGTCCTCAACGCTCTTCAACGAATTCCTCCTCCAAATCGACTCAAAGGACATCCCCCATGTCCTCGAGGACGTGATCGGCACAATCCTCAAGGGCCTCAGCGTCAACCACGAGGACATCGCCGTCTACTCGCCCAATCCGTTCCACGGCCACCGCGAGTCCGGCGCAGACGAGGACTACGCGCGCACCAACGCCCTCTCCATCGTCGACGGCGGCGAAGACAACGAGAACATCCCCCTCCACCCGCTCATCCAACCGCCCCGCGCCGTCGACGTGATCTTCGCCATCGACTCCTCAGCCGACACCGCCTCCTCCTGGCCAAACGGCACCTCGCTCGTCGCAACCTACCAGCGCAGCCTCGAGGCATCGCAGATGGCCAACGGCACCTCGTTCCCGCCCATCCCCGACCAAACCACCTTCGTCAACCTCGGCCTGAATAACCGCCCGACCTTCTTCGGCTGCGACCCCAAGAACCTCACTTCTTCCGCCTCCGCCTCCATCCCCCCGCTGGTCGTCTACCTCCCCAACGCCCCCTACACCCACGCCTCAAACACCTCCACCTTCAAGCTCACCTACAGCGACGAGGAGCGCGACGCCATGATCACCAACGGCTACAACGTCGTCACCCGCGCCAACGGCACCCTCGACAGCAGCAGCAGCAGCACCTGGACCTCGTGCGTGGCGTGCGCGATCCTGCAGCGCTCCACGCACCGCACCAACACTTCGCTGCCGGCCATCTGCACTACTTGTTTTGAGGAGTACTGCTGGGACGGGAGCGTCAATAGCACTGTTGTGGACGGGTACGAGCCCACGGCGTATATTACCGAAGAGTCCGCGGGTAGCTTGGGCAGGAGCTGGCCGGGTCTGTATCGGGTTATGGCGGGGATGGGCGTGGGCGTGATGGTGGCGATGGGGATTGCGTGGTAGGGGCGTTATATATTTATTTTTTTTTCCATTTGTTCTCATTCTTCCATTCTTTTTTTCTTTCTTTTGTTCACTCCTGGACTTGCATTGGGCTTCTCTGTTTGGATATTCGGGTAGATACGGCGGTAATAGATCCCTTCGATGGTACTATAGTTTAAGATTTCCATTCTATAATCTAAATCTAATGCATGACACCTCTATGGAACCGACTCGTCGCCTCTAGACAAACCGTACGCATCAATCGGGATCAGAGCGAAAGAACAAGCTGATATGTCCCCGGCGGCAGGACCACTTCCTCACCTACTCCATTTCCATTCGAGGTCGTCCGCAGTTCACCCGGCAGCCCCGAAACAACCCCAGCACAAGCAGGAAGAACAAGCGTACAGCTAGTACTCATCGGAACCCTTACATCCAGCCGTCCATCCCCACCCACGCTCTCAAACCGCACCTTGATCAGCCCATACGGACACTCAACCTCCCCCTGCACAAGCCCAAACTCACTCCCAACCGGCGGCCGCAGCGTCCACGTCCGATACGCATCCCCAACAGCCCTGACACCCAGCACAGCCTCGTAAACCCACTCGTAGATCGTCCCCAGCATATCATGGCACTTCGAGCGACACGCGTCCTGCCAGAACTCCAGGAGCGTGGTTTCGCCCCGCCGCAGAAACCGCATGTAGCTGGGGTGCTCTTCCTGGCGCGCCATTTCCAGCACGATGTCCGGCCGGTTGACGGCCGGGTCGGCGAGCGTGTTCCACACGTACTTGAGCCCGATCTCGCCCGCTTGCATGCGGTTCCCGGATGCCGCGCACGCGGCCAGGAACGCTTGGATTACGTCGCCCCGGTACGCGGTGGGGACGAGCCCGAATTGCAGCGCGACGGCTTGCGACACCATGGTGCAGTCGTGGGTTCCTGGGTTGTCGAGGGATGTGTAGAATGCGTAGGGGCGGGTGGCTTTGTCGCTGATCAGGAGGTGCGTGTTGTAGACGGTGTGGATCCGGTCAGCCCACGCGGTGAACCTCGCTTCGTCGTCGCGATGGCCGAGCTCGGTCGCCATTAGGGCGACGTTGCGGAGACACCGGTGGTACACTGCCGTCTCGATGTTCGCTTGGTGGTTCCCGAACGCGATGTCGCGGCCCCAGTCGCCCAGCCCGTGCTCGATCAACCCGCCGTGTCGCTCTTTCGTCTTCATGTACTCCATGTACCGGACGCAGGGCTGGTATATCTTGCTGAATACCTCCGTTGACCCGTAGTACTGCTTGAGTAGTTCGGGGAGGAAAGCGATCGCGCAGCCCCAGGTGATTGTGTCGTGGAGGGGCCCGCACATGTATCGGATCTCGGGGGCCATGGTCGGTACGAGACCGGTTGGCTCTTGGGTGTCGATGATGTCGTCGAGGATCTTGGAATAGACGGCCTCCATGTCTCGGACGTACTGGGTTGCTGGGGCGAGAAGCGACGTTACCTCCAGCCAGCCGAACTTTTCGATTTGCGGGCAGTCTGTGTGGTAGCTGAAGATGTTGGAGGAGAACGACCAGTAGCAGGCATTAATGAGGTCATTTACGTCCTGTTTATCGGTCTTGACGTATCCTAACTGTCTGGCGGCTGAGGAAACGTGTCGGGCTGATACTGAGTGGATAATTGGGAGGTTGTTGGTTTCGTCGAGTGAGGCGCCCTCGATCTGGATGTATCGCGCGCTGGTGAAGGAGAAGTCGGGCGTCCAGATTTCTCTCTCGCCTGTCCCCGAAAGTATGAACTTGGTATACACGCCGTATTCGAACTCTTTGAACAGGGGATCGGGCATGAAGACGGCACCTTCATCGTCGACCGTCTCGGAGTAGCGGATAATGATCTCTGAACCTGCAGGACCACTTACTTCGACGCGCGGCATGATGCTGGAATTCTGGCCCAAGTCGAACATTGTAACCCCTGGCCGGAGTTGCTTATGCTGGACGGGGTTGAAAGTGTTGTGCAGAATGACCGGAGGCTGACTCTGATATCGAAGCTTCCCTCTCGGGCCAGTCAACGGCTTAGCAGGATCCCATGTGCTATCATCATAGCCTGGCGCATCCCACCCGACTGGATACTCCCGACGGTCGTGGTCCTCGGAAGCATAAATATTCGCCAGCGTCGTCGCGCTCCTGCGCACCTTCCAGCTTGGGTCGGAGATGATGGTTTCATGAGAACCGTCGTCGTAGTGCACATGGATCTCCGCGAAGAAGCACAGCTCATTTCCATATCGCACGTATGTGTTATCCTCGTACATCGGCCAGAAGAACCGGTCGCCTTGATCGCCTGCGTAGAAGCCATTGCCGACATGTGCGCCAATAACGTTTTCCCTGCCGTTCCACTGGCTTGTCACGTCGTATCCGACAAACTGCACGGTTCGGTGGTAGTTCGTCCAGCCGGGGTCGAGGACGTGCGGAGACGCGGGCTTGCCATTGACGGACAGGTTGAAGTGGCCCAAGCCTGAGGCGAATATGACCACTTTCTCGACGCGTTTGGGGGATGGGAGCTGGATCGATTTGCGGAGGTAGATGGGCTTGTCTCCGCCGTTTCCGATCCAGACGGCCTTCCATCGGTCGGCTTCGTTTTCGAACCAGGTCCGGAATATCAGACTTGTATGCGGCATCTGGGCTGTCAGCGGGGAACAATTTCTTCGATGAGTGCAATACGGACATAAGTTTGGTTCATGCTGTACGGTGGGAGCAGCCTCGACGAGCGCGGGTAGGAGGTGTAGAACTCATTGACCGCACTTCGCGAACTCTGCCCGTCTTGATCCCAGACCGTCACCTGCCAATAGTACGTGGTCGTTGACTTGAATCCAGCCTCGGGTTTGCATATAATGTTCCGCTGTGCATCGCTCTCAACACGTCCCGAATCCCAAGCATCTGGCCGCCCCTCGAGATTATTGCTGTCGGAGGACACCGTTATGCGGTACGCGGCTTGCTGCGCTCGTGAATCGCTAGATTCAAGGACCCAGAAGAAACGGATCTCGTCGGTATCGAGGCCGATGGTTTCGTGGAAACCGTGAATCCCACAGCGGGTGACCTCCATGTTTTCAGCGCTTGACAATTGAAGGAGGGGTAAGAGTTGCGCCAGCTCCAGCGGCTTCTGACTCCAGCTTAAAGTAACCCCAACCGGATCCACACCGTCTGACCATCGGTTTCTGATTCCCCGAGCTCGGTCACCTGCCTGAGTCGGTTGGCCTCGGAAGTGCCGAGCACAGAGGCAGCGACCCCAAGCCGGACTGACCCCAAACCATCTCCACCTTTCGTCCTCCGGTCCCGACTCGTCTTGCCGGGGTGCCCCAGACATGGAATTTGACCGTACGATAGGTCTATGCGACATTGAGCTCGGGGTATCGTACCCCGTGTGGCCCCGCAATGCAAAACGTGGTGCCAGGTTCCTGCGCTTTACCCAATGCGCTAGACGCGTGAAATGACAGGCCTGGTCTATATAAGGCCGCGGGCTGCCCTCATGCTCGACACCAGCTCGGCGATCCAGGAGTCTGCGCATACTGCCACCATGCTGACCTTCAAGACCGTGTTCTCGGCTGTCTTCCTGGCTGTAGGAGGTAAGTGCATCCTCGGCGAGGTGACCCTCTCCTGACATTGTCTAGGTTTCCTCTTCGGCTATGACAGCGGTATTATCACCTCTACCATCTCTTTACCCACCTTCATCGACTACTTCAGCGACCCAAGCAGCACTGTTACCGGCGGGATTGTCTCGTCTTTCCAAGGTGGCGCCATCCTCGGCACCATAGTGAACATGGCGGGCGCCGACTGGGCCGGCCGGAAGATGACGATCCTCGCCGGAGCTGTGGTCTCCATCCTTGGTTGTGCCATCCAGGCGGGTGCCGTGAACATGACGATGCTGATCATCGGACGCTTCATTGCTGGTGTCGCGGTTGGAATGCTCACGGCCACCATCCCAATGTATGCAGCTGAGCTGTCGGAGCCCAAGTGGCGAGCTTCACTTTCCGGTTTGCTGCAGTGGATGCTGAGTTGGGGTTTCTTGGTGGCTCAGTGGCTGGGCTATGGCTGCTCCTTCTCCACCAACGAGTTTTCGTGTAAGGTTTCACCTTCTGGACTGACACTGCTTGGCTAACAAACACCAGGGCGATTCCCGCTCGCATTTCAGAACGTGCCAGGTCTTATCCTTGTGGCCGGGATCTGGTTCTTGGACGAGTCCCCTCGATGGTTGATGGAGAAGGACAGGCACGAGGAAGCAAAGGCCGTCCTCACCCGCCTCCGAAAGGGCGCCTCGCCAGACACCGTCGAGCTCGAATTCCGCGAAATTCGCGATGTCATTGAAGCTGACCGCGCGGTTGGGAACACCTCGTGGAAGACCATCCTAACCAAGCCATCCTGGCGGCGTCGACTCATTCTCGGCTGCGGTGTCCAGGCATTTGGTCCCCTCTCCGGTATCAATGTCATCAACTAGTATGTACTTGATCATGGGACAATCTGCAAACGAAACTAATTGGTATAGCTACGGGCCCCGTATCTACGCCATCCTCGGCATCGACAACCAGACCTCCCTCATGATCATCGGCATCAGCGGTGCCCTCTCCATCGTCTACTGCAGCATCGGCCTATACCTCGTCGACAAAGTCGGCCGAATCAAGCCGCTCTACATCTCTGCCCTGTTCCTTGGCGCGGCACTGCTCGTCAACGCCGTGCAAGCGCAATACATGAACCAGGACAACGCGAACCAGCTCCGATCTATGGTCGCGATGAACTTTGTCTTCAGTCTGTTCTATACCCCTGTGGGTATCATTTCCTGGGTATGTATTGGCCACCACACCCCCACACCTAGTGTCATACTAACGCCCAATCAGGTGTACCCCGCCGAAATCTTCCCCGTCGAAGTCCGCGCGCTCGGAAACGCCCTGACAACCTTCACGAACTGGACGGTGAACCTCGTCTTCGCGCAATTCACACCCGACGCTCTGGACACCGTGGGCTTCAAGTACTTCTACCTCTTCTTCGCGCTGAACTTGATTGCGGCGGTGTGCTACTTCTTTTTCTTCCCTGAGACCAAGGGCCGCACCCTCGAGCAGATCGATGAGCTCTTCGGCGACCAGCTTGTCCCCCATGCGCTCGAGGACCCGGATGCGGCCCATGCGGCTATGGAGAAGGAGCGCGCGACGCATGTGGAGGAGCATGCAAGGGTCTAGCACTATAAAGCAGGTTCATGTTCGCTCGGTCGTTGTATACCGAGCAAGCTATTTTGCGTTCGTGATGTATTTCGCTTAGCTAGGATCTATAATATCAAGTCAGGCCTCGGATATTCCGAGCATTTTCATCGCATTCGCCACTCAAAACACTCGCTTAAGTTTTCTTCCTTTCTCCAGTTTTACCTTTCGATCCAACTTGTAATTCCGATCCAAGTAGGTAACGGCTCGGCTTCCCGTCCTCGCCAACATTGAACAGCCAGTCATCGCCCAGAGCTAAAATTAGGGTCCATCCTAGCGTGCGTGCTAAAATAGCGGCGGCCGACACTCAATCAAATGGCAAGAACGCCGCCGCCAAGTCTGGGGATGCGGGAATTCTCCGCTTTTTTCACAGATGACTTGGGGCCCCGGCCTAGAGCCTCGGCAGTCGGTGCGGTTAGGCGAGCCGATGAGATGACCGGGGTGGTTCGGGGTAGTTTGACTTCGACGGGGTGACCACCGTACGGCTTCAGTGATCACTTGATACCGGTAGCTTGGTGCACCGTATGCCCGCCCTGATGGGGTTGGCTCGTTCCAGACTTCGCTTCGGGATGTGGACATGGACAACCTGCGAAATCGGATACGAAGTATAGGTAGAGCGAAGGATTGAAGGATGCAAGTTGGCTTGCGGCTTCGTGTGGTGACGGGGTCAGATCCAGATCCGGGACATCGAAGCCTCAATCGCATCTCGGGTCCTCATCTACCAGTGGAATCATGCGCATGCGCACGAGTGCAGGCGAACTGTGATGAAACAAGACGCGCGTTCTCCTAAACGAAGGAGTGGATGGGCCGAGGACAGCGAATCCTGGATATCCGTGCTCGCAAAGCTCGCGGTATCAGGCACGGCTCGTATAGAGCTGTGGCGTCTGTCTCGGGGTATCTCACCGCGACCTTGGGATTCGTGAGCCAGGCTTGACGAAATTGTATCGTGAGAGCAGTTCTTTTGATTTGCCCTTGCGTGTGATGTGGTGGTACACCCGGGCTCTTGAATCCATCAGGACCTGGTTGGGGACGGGCAAAAGAACGGCTACGGTATACGTGGGCATATCATGGAATCTGAATCTGAGATTCCGAGTGAAGACTTGGTGTTACTCGTTCTGATTTGGTGTCAGTGGTTCCTCTGGCTTAGTCTTCTCGACTTTGTGCCATCCACCGCATCGCGAGATACAGATAATTGTTGGGATGGCGTACCATATCACCCTGCATGCTTAGAACGGTCCCGGGGGTTCCAGGGCGAGAGAGGGGGAACAGGACCTGGGCAACTTGTTTTGCGACGTAGGGGACTGGTTCACATTCAGCTTCGACAGTTCCGAAGCCCAAGATTAGAGAAAGTAGCCCTATCAAAAGGCATAAGAGATACCATAGAGAATAAAGCGGATGAACAATTTTTGCTCGTTGGACCAAGAATTGACAGGCTCGATATAGTACCGCGGCAAACCTAAGCGTCCAGCAAATGCCTCTCGAAAAGCAACCGCCAAATCCGAAACAATGGGGTAGGACAATGTTGTCCGTGAACTTGGTGAACACTGGCCGCCCCGACCAAATTGCTGTCAAAACAAAAGGCGACCTGCGTTAGACTTCCAATGGCCTACCTGGTATACCTGGTAGGCAGAACGACAGTTGTCGGCACAGTTGTAGGAGATTCCATGGACATCTTTTTTCCCCAAATCCCCTTGCTTCTTTTAATAAAGACACTGGAGACTCAATAGAATAGATATCTGCCAGATCGTCCGCCCAATCGTCCGCCCAATCGTCTGCCAGGTCGGCCTGTTGCCGGCACTGTCGTAAGAGAGTTCATAGGCATAGGCTCCTTCTCCAACAATTGCCTTGCTTGTTGAAATGGAGAACCTGGAGCCTCAAGAAGATAAGGAGGCGTCAGATAGGGTTCGAAAATGCGGTTTTGGGGGTCGTATAGTAACTGTACTATCGCATAGCTATCCGCGAGCGCAGCTCTCGCCGAACATATCTTAGAATGGAGAGGTCGGCGAACGTTGGAAACTGCCGACAGGTGGAGAAGGTCCCGGCTGAGATTGTGACAAGCACAGGACAAGGCGCTCCTACTAACAATACACCGCGATCTCATCTTCATGCCTGGACAATCCAAGAGAAGACGTACAAAATTGCGCTGACGATTCTGCGCCGCTTGACTAAGTGGTGTTGTGTTCATGAAATCGCCCTTGTTCACATCCGCGCCTTGTTCAATCAATGCCTTGGCCGCGTCAAGTTGGCCCGATCTAACGGCGGCCAGTAGTGGTGTAGTCTTTGCCCATAGACGGGTTGGTGTATCGACATTTGCCTGGCCGACGGACAGGGCGTAAAGAATAGTATCCACCTTTCCATAAGTTGCGGCCCATATCAGGCAACTACTGTTATTGTTCCTCGCGTTGTTTCGGTAAAGGAGATGCTTGCCAAAGCTGAAGAGTTTCCTGTTCGCTCGAATAAAGGCGTAGATGTCCCGATCGGTAGTGATGTGCTGAATGATAATCTGCACCAACTCGTTGGGAAGACGGATAATCGACATATTTTTGCCTTAAGAAGCCACTTTCGGCTTTATTGAAGGCTAGCAGAATCAGAGTCAGTGTTGAGTCAGTGGGAGCTAACAAACTTGGGGCACGTACCCTAATAACTCTCCTAGACTTCCATCATTCCTTACCAATGAAGGCGGCTTATCGGTACTAAATCCCGGAACTCAAACCAGTGAGACTTCCACGTAGGAGGAATCTAGTTGCCCTCTCGCGGCTCGATCCTAAAATCCGCAACCAGGCCAAAATGATCCGTGACCCAGATATCCTCAAACGGATCGTCAGCAGGGTCATTTTCCTCCTCGTCGGAATTCCGCACGTCCACCCTTATCTTCAACCCCTTCCCCATCAAGCGGAACGCCAGAGGCTCAATCCGACCAGAGAACAACACCTTGTCCATACGGCTCGGCGCAAATTCGCTCGGGCTCTGATACCCCCATGTGAAGCCCTCCTCGGCGCCCTCCGTCCCACCAACAGCGAGATATGCGTCTTCCAGATTGCATTCGCCGGGCGCGACAGCATCTTCAGGTGCAAACGCGTTCAGGTCGCCGGCTAGAATTGCCGCCTGCGGGGTAGGGAGGGAGATGGCGTCCTTGCTAGGCCCGGTGTTGTCATTGCTGCTGCCATTCGTCCCGTGCATGAACGTCGACGCGAGCTTGAGCTGGACCGGCCGTCTGCTGACTCCACTCGCAAGACTCTCTAGGTGTGTGTTGCAAAGCCGTATTACAGAATCTTCTACCTTGACATCGACAAAAAGAGCGTCGCGCTGCATCGCGGAGAGTTTGTACGGGACTCTGAAAACACGCTCGGGGGAGAGACGCCGGTCGATGAGTGTTGTTGTCCCGTAGTATGACCGCCAGTGACCCCCGGAAAGATCAGTCATGTAGAATTTCTCCCGGACCCAGGGCGTTTCGTTGATGAGGTGGAGGTCCGACGCAACCATCTCCTGGAAGAAGATCACCGTCGGAGAACCGTCGCTTTTCTCGTGCTCGGCTTGGAGGTCGCCGAGGTATTTTAAGGCTGCTGTCATGCGTTCCTCCGCAAGTGGAGTGGTGAAGTCGATGTTCCACGAAAGGAGGTGGATCTTGTCGGTTGGAACTCCGGCTGGTGGGTGAGGCGCGTTGTGTTTTGGGGGAGAGACGGGGCGCCAGCGCGGGGGATCGAGGGACGGATCGAAAAAGAAGAAGGGTTGAAAGTTGGGCTCATCTGGCCGGAGCCTTGCCATCATTCTATAGTCCATGGCTGGCTGCTTACGGCGACGACTGAAAAGGGATCGGAACATTGGGGCGTGAGAAAAGGAGAGTGAGATGAAGAGGACAATACGCGTCGCATGTGACTATTTGGCTGATGCCTTGGTGCCTGGAATTCAATGCTAAAATTTGCAGTGCGATAGACTTGACGTTTCAGAGCAGTGTAGTACCCGATGACTCCATTCCTTTTTTTCAATCTAGCAAATATCATTAACTTATGAATGGAGGGTGATAGACGCTTGGTTATTCGGTTATCCATTGTGTGCTCACAAGGGTCCGAATGTTGGCAGAAACATATATCGACGCCATCTCTAGGTGTTTGAGTCTCCTCACACATGCTTGCTCTCTCGGCATCAAGAAATTACCACCAGATATAACCCTCACGACCGAGCATCTTTACTCCCACCCTCTGGATGGCTATTATCAATCTCCAACTTATCGCTATCTTTGTCTATGGCCTTATCAGCCATAAAGCCCTAACCAGGCTTATCACAACCAGCGCGGACTTCGACCTCCATGAACCGAGTGGGTCATCTGTTGGAGTCGGCTCTCGACTAATCAGGTGAGACCAGCAAGCCCGACTATCTCAGATGATGCTGAGAATGTTGATAATGAATATGGGGTACAAATGTGGGGAATGAAATCTAGTCCAGAGTGCTATAAAGTATAAATCGGGTGGCCGAGCAGGAGAATTTTGCAAGGACATTATACCTACGATAGGTATACCATACTGTATACGACTTACCAACTAAGATGTCAACTCTTGAGCCAAGGAAGAGCAGCATTCACGATGAGCGGGAGGCGGATACAATGACGATGGGGAAGAAGAATGGGAGCATCATAGAGGCTCAGGTTGACCTAGAGTTTCGAGCTTGCGAGAAAAGGATTGTTCGGAAGTTGGACATGACGCTCGTGCCTATGATCTTCATCCTCTATCTGTTCAATTATCTCGACAGAAACAACATTGCGTGAGAAAGGACGAGTTCATTGAGCCTGGCCGTAAGCTAATATCGTTGTGGTACAGGCAAGCGAAACTCGACACGTTTATGGAAGACCTGGGCCTCGGAGGAAGTGATTACAGCACGGCTGTTTCCATTGTGAATGTCGGGTAGGAACCTGTTGCGTCCGGAAGCCTTTTATCACTGTTAGCGCTGACTGAATCACCCGACCAGATACATCCTCATGCAACTTCCCAGCAACATGATCCTCACCAAGGTCCGACCATCTCTATATATCCCCTTTTGGGTTTGCATCTGGTCGTGCGTTTCTGCGTCAACCGCCGGAACTCACAACTTTAGCGGCCTCATTGGGGTACGCATAATCCTTGGTATCTGTGAAGCGCCTTTCTTTCCGGGCGTTTTCTACCTGCTGTCCTGCTGGTACACGAAGAAGGAACTGGCTCTTCGCTACGCGGCGTTGTATTCTGGCCTTGTCCTTGCAACTGCAACGTCGGGGCTATTGGCTGCGGCTATCTTTGCTGGCCTCGATGGTGCTCACGGGCTGGCAGGATGGAAGTGGCTTTTCATTATAGAAGGCGCTGTGAGCTTCGGTATGGGGCTGTTGGCGTTTCTCCTGATACCAGATCTTCCAGGGATGAATTCCGGCAGTGGAAGGTGGTTGCTCACTGACGAAGAGAATCGGGTCGCAGTTGAGCGGATGCGACGAGACGCGGTGTCTAATCAAGACGACAACGAGTCGCTAAGGCATGGACTGAAGCTGGCGGTGATGGACGTCAAAGTCTGGATTTTTGTAAGTCGCCCGAGTCCGCACCTACGGTGCCATTCTAACGAGCGCAGTCCTTCATCATGTGTTCCAGTCAAAGCGCCTACGGCTTCAACCAGTTTTATCCAACAATCGTGGAAGGCTTTGGTCTCGGCAGCCGAACAATAACCCTTGCCTGCACTGCGCCTCCGTATATCATCGGTGCCTGCGTCGCCTGGTGCATTGCCTGGTCAAGCGACAGGAGAAAGGAGCGCGGCTTCCACATATTCTTTCCAGTTTGCGTCGCCATCGTCGGATTTATCATCAGTGTCGCAACACTCAACATCCCGGTCCGGTATTTTGCGTCCTTCCTCTATATTTCGGGTATATTCGGGGCCAACTCTGTAGTCTTCAGCTGGGCGGCAACGACTGTTAGTGATACTGCGCAGAACAAGGCGTGTGCGATGGCAATCATCAACATTACCGGGCAGCTGGGCAGTGTCTGGAGTCCGTACTTCTTCCACGAAAATGAGTCGCCGAGGTATATCACAGCGATGATCTTGTTGCTGGCGTTTGCTGTGTGCATGGCGAGTCTCTGTTTGATCATGAAAGTGTTACTCAAGAGGGAGAACAGAAAGCTGGTGGCCAAAGGCGAGGAGGAGGGCGTTGTTCCCAACCTGTACACACTGTAAAATTGGGAAGTCACATGCTGACCCCGCCTTCTTCAACTGTCTGTTAGGGGCTCAATCCAATTCGTGTTTTCTCCATCTTCGTCTGCTTTCACTTCCTAGACTACCCACAAATCCATGCCGAGCCAACTACGCGAATCCCTACTTGAATGATCGGATTGGAAGAATGAACGCCGTTGGAGTAGGAGACCCGCCCCGCATCATGAGGGGCACTCGGCCGCTGATAAGGCTCCCCTTGGCCTGTTCTGTGTCTGCATTTCCTCCTGATCGCCATCTTGCCACATAATCCTGCTTCATTCCGTCATTGCCTCCGGGCGCGCCATCAGTGCCGTAATGAGGAAGATCTCGTGAGCTACGCCAGCGAGTTGTTGCCTTTCAGCCACTGATTTCCACAGATGCAAAAGATGCCGCTTCAGAAAGGTTTCCTTCTTTGAACCTAACCAAACTAGGGCCTTGCTAAGTGGTAGGTATAGCTTCGATGCTCCCGAACCGAACCATGTCAGAGTTGTCTGACGGCAAACCAACCCTGCGAGTATCGGGAGGCGGACTGCAAAACACGGCCAGTGTCAACCGAATACACCTCCAGTCTTGAGGCTCGCGTGGCATGGCTGGAGGGTTTCATAATGGGCCTTGTGTATGCCTCTCCGCAGGAACGAGAGTCGCGTCTCAAATCGTTCACCACGACTGCTGGTCCATCCACCAAGGTCGAACCCGACAGATCAACCCGCATGTTCCAACTCGTACAGCGTCAAGCATCCTTGCAACCAGGGCCAGGAGGATCCCTCATCTATCACGGCCCGACCAGTATTCATCACAGCTGGCCGAGCCCCCCATTATCCAGGCCATTCAGCGCAGGCTCCACATCTACTCGAAATAGCAAAACCAATCCGCCATGCCCAACATCGTCCTACGATTCGATAACCAAGATAGCAGGCTTCAACATTGCGGAAGAGGAGGTAGCGATCACCAATGGGCTATTGCTCTTTTTTAAATGGCAATACTCCCACTCGATGTTCATCTACCGCGAAGCATTTCTGCGAGATCACTTCGGGGATCGACAGAACAGCAAGTATTGGTCGCCTGACCTTCTTCTGGCAATTTGCGCCCTGGGCTTGCAGATGTCATCCGATCCTGGGGAACGAGATCTAGGAAGTAGGTTTTATACCACGGCCGAGAGCGTCTGCATTGTTTCCGGCCTCACCCAACCATCGATACTCATGGTCCAGACTATTCTCTGCCTGGCCTTCTATTGCCTCGGTCAAGGCGACTTCTCGAAGAGCTGGGGGCTACAGGTGCATATTTGTAGCTACCTCTACCATGCAAACGTCCGCTAATCAAAACTAGGCATTGCTTTTCGCATGGCTCAGGACCTAGGGTTCCAGAAAGACCCTGCCGACTGGATTCTGCACGATTTTACAATTACTACGAGTGAGGATATTGAGATTCGGCGACGAATCTACTGGGGATGCTACAACTCGGACAAGCTAATCAGCCTGATCCTTGGCCGGCCAGTTCAATTACCATGGCACGATGCATCCGTCGCACAAACTGATGTGCTTCCGTACGCACTTCGCTCCCCGCGCAACTGACCCGTAACATGCTAATTGAGATCGCTAGTGACTTCCCTCAAATGCACCACTGGCTGCCAGCCGGCTTTTCCAATGACACTAAAAATCCAGGACAACTCGCATCCTTAGTCCTCTGCTTCAGAGAACAGATCCGGCTATCAAGAAACATTGAAAGTGTATTGACAGGGTTGACAATGCAAGGAGCAGCACCCGACGAAATCGAATGGGAGGGATGCGTCGCTGACTTGAGTGTGAAACTTTACAAATGGCTGGAATCGCTTCCACTTCCTGCGAGATGGAACAGATGGGAGCCTTGCTCGGCTTCACTTCTGCCGAGCATCGCGGTCTTACAGTACGCACTTCTCTCCCGGATGCGTCGAACGGAATTATGGCTAATGATTCATTGATTTTCAGCCTACTATTCCATAGCACCCTCATAGCACTCAACTTCGATCAAGCCGAGCAGGACATCTCATTAGATACAACGCGGCCAAGTAAAGCAAAGGATATCTGCCTATCGTCCGCACATGCAATAACGTGTCTCGTACGAAAATACCGACAGCAGCACGGCTTACGCTACGCGCCGATTGTCTTGGTTTATGGCATCTCGCAAGCTTCCAGGTCCCTTCGCACCTTCAGCGCTGGCCACGATGAGACAGAATACCTCTACTCTATGTTGGAAGAATGTCAGGAGACGTGGGGTCTGGCGCGAGATGGAGTTGGACTCGTACGGTGCGGACAGGGCCCGGCACAGAGGGAAGATTAACAGGTATGCTCGAACGCACCAAGCTTGGATAAAATAAAATGTTCATTGCCAGTGCCAGCCGTCTACTCAATCAGAATGCCTGCCTTGATTCCCTCTTGCAGAACCTCGAGAAGCCGATCAACATCCTCCAGATTGTTATAAAATCCAAACGACACTCTCACACCCAAACGGTACGGTGTCACCAAAACGCCTCTCTCCGTGAATAAATCAATCCACGACTTATCATGCAAATCCAGAATATACAGATGCGGCGCATGGCTTTTCCTGTCCTCGGGACCCACAATCCTCACACCGATTTTCTGGCAACCCATCCTCAGCGCGTCACCAAGACCGTAAAGATGACTTTCCACATTCTCAGGGCCCATGACATCAAGATCGAAATGCAGATATGCCTTTGCAGCCGCAGCAGCAATGAGACTAAGGTTGAGATGGTCATGTCGGCGTGCATTTGGGTGGTAAACAATCTCATCAGCCGGAACAAGGACGTCCGCTCGCGAATTAGCGACGCTGCCAAAGCCGACTGTTGCAGGTAGTGGATTGATATCCGCAAGGACATCGGGATGCACATAGAACGCTGCGAGTCCGATGGGCGTGTTCAACCCCTTGTGTAGCGAGAACGACGCAGCAGACACATTGAGTTTCGTAACGTCTACAGGCGCAAATCCGACTTGTTGCGTGAGGTCCGCAAGCACGTGGATTCCCCTCGGTCGGTAAACATCACAAATGTTCTGAAGGTCGTTCCACTGGCCGCTGTGGAACATGATCGAACTCAGACCGATAGCGATAGTCCGATCGTCAACAAATGGCGCGAACGTTTCTGCGTTCGCCGCCACCACATTCCCTGCTCTCTCGGCCTCGGCGATTGTCGGGACCTGCCGAACTTCCAACCCCAGTGGTCTCAGTGCCATCCACGCGTACGCATGATGCGGGTGCTCCGTGTCCAGAATTACAACATTATCGCCCGGCTTGAACTTCAAGCCACGGATAAAGTTGTTCAGACCTTCCGTTGTGTCCCGTGTGAGCGCTATGTTGGTTGCATCAGTGTGGATGTACCGGCCCAAAAGACAGCGGACTTCTTCAGCGGTTGCGAGCCAGGAGGGTTTGGGAGTTGGATTGTGCAGGGCTTCATGCGCGAATGAAGTGATTGCGTCGTGGACGAGCAGGTTTGACGGCGGGGCGATGGAGGCGTTCAGATAAGTTGCTTTGGAGACGAGGGGGACGAGGTGCCGGTAGGCTGCGAAGTATGGTGTTGACGATGCAGAGGGGGTCTTTGTCGATGGGGCCATTGCTGTAGAACGTTGTTCCGCGATGCTGGGTACCATGATTCTGAAAGTCGTGGAATAGCAATGGTCGGCTGATGGTAGTTCACAAAGGTCAATGAGCTTATGGCTAGGAATTTCATGGCCATGGGCTGCGATTTAAATATACCTGTGTCTTGGAGTATCTAAGTTGCTCACACTCGAATGTAAACCCATGAGCTTGGCAATGGAGGTCCAAGTCCGCAGCCATCTCCACCCAACATGCCCCAATAGTCACTAGCCTTCGGACAACGACCTCCATTGTCCCGCAAAACATGACAGAGGATCAGCATCAAGGCGAAGCGGGAAGCGGGAATTGGGAATCGGGAATGCGAAAGGCATCCCTAAGTTAACTTTTTGTCCGGAAAGCAGTGACCCGGTCACGCACTTTCCAATCTTGTGTTCCTTCCTGTCCTTGTCGCCCAGCGCTCTGAGAATGCGACACATCGACTTGCCTTGCTGTTATACCATGCCTGCACTTAGTTGCTTTTTAGGTTCTCCAAATCGACCAGATTGCCAGCGTCTTTCGGAATGATCCCTCTAGCACTGGCCCCAGTATCATACCATTAAGCAAGACCAATCTCTATCGACGAGGCGCCTAGGCCAGGACCAATATGTTGCTTTCCCCTTTCCCCGTCCGTGATTTGACTGGTATCAGGCAGAGCTACACACTCATGGGTCACAAACGATGAGATGTGAATCAACTTTCCCGGGATGGGTCTGAAGCGCCTGGCTTTGTCTTCTTTACCAGCTTTAAAAGGCCAAGTCTTCTTGTCGAAAGAAACCAGCTTGTGCAACATCGTGTCCTGGATGCTGATTCTGCTTTACGTACCGGTGCGGTAGAGCAGTACCGGCTGGAAGCGTTTTGTCGCAACTTCACTCGGTCGATTGGAGAAAGTTCTCAAACGAATAAAGACGGTCTATTTTCTCGATCCATCTTCTGAAAATGGAGGTATCCAGATGTTGTTGACTGTGATGTCCACCTGCTGACCGTAGTAACTCCACAATCTCCACGTGGCTATACACCTGCGCCAGGTCCATCGCAGTATTGCCTTTATTGTTTGGTATGTTGACGTCTATCGCGGGATGCTTGAGTAACACTTGGACATCATTTTTCCGTCCCAACTGCGCAGCAATAGAAATGGCCGTGCGCCCGTCAGCGTCTTGCGCATTTATATCCACCCGAGAATTAAGTATAAAGGGTTGCAGATAGAACTGGGACATCTCGAGGGAACGAGATGAATTGTACGATATCGCTGCCATCAGCGGCGTCAGCTCCTTGTGTCCCCGGTGGTTGACGTCAATGTCCGCTCGTCCCATCAGAAGCTCTGTGAGCTCATATTGTCGGTGACGAGCCGCGGCATTCAGAACGTGGCCCAGCTGCCATCCGCTAACTCGCGGTTCATCAACAAACATCTTGGTAATGCGGAAGTCGCATTCATCGGCTGCAATGCAGGCCGGTGCGCCTAAAGATGGGTCGGCGCCGCGAGAAAGCAGAAACGACACCATGTTCTCATAACCTGCCTTGACTGCTTGGCAGAGCATCGTATCATTATTCCGGAAAACCTGGTTGATATCTGCTCCGCGGTCCAGGAACAGTTGGACCATTTCAACTCTGTTCGTACGAAATGCATAGTACAGAGCTGGTGAACCCATTGGATCAAGAGTGCCAAGATTATTTCTCGGATGGTCGAGCAAAAAGCGGGCTGCTTCTACACGCCCACTCTGCACCGCCGCCATCAAGGGTGTACAAGGGACATATCCATACGAGCTCAGAAGGTTCGGATTCGCCGCGGGATCCGACAATAGAAGTGCCAGCTGCTTGGTATCACCCATTTCCGCCGCATTACGGAGCAAGATGTTGTTATGCGCGTCGTCCATTCGCACCTCTGGGCGGCGTATCAATCTCTCGACAATCTCGAGGCGTCCCAACAGACAAGCCAATTGGAGTGCGGTTTTAGTTGTCACTTTTGGATGCCGAAAGTCAGCGTCGAGGTTTGGGACCTTCAGCAGGAAATCGACGATATCGAGGCGGTCTTCCTTGACCGCGATCATAAGCGGTGTTTCATCATGCCAATTCACGCAATTCACATTAGCTCCGTGGTCCAACGCATATTGCATTTTGTCCAGCTGCTCGGTTTCAACGGCCCATATTAAGGCTTCACTGTTCTCGTGGACCGCGTTGTGCCGCCAGAGGCGTGGCCTTCCCAGCGCGTAGAGTCGGTGGTTTGCTTGAATAAGTGACCAAATGTCCCACTCCTCTGTGAGTGATTCGATTATCATCAGCAGGATTTCGTTGGGGAGAGCGAGGAGCGACGACATGGTGTGGTGTTGGCCCTGTTGGGGATTGCGGGGGTGAGGAAAAGGGAGACCGTGAGGCCGTCTCACTCTCGTCGTTTCCGCTGCGAGTTGATGTGGGTCGATAGCATGGCGTTGATTGGTCAGTTCTCCCTCTTCGCCTACTTTGCTCGCACCATGCTCTATGATAAATAAACCATATGTCTGCAAAGGTTGGCAATATTAAGCATAGTTTAATAAGGCTGGAATGAGCGGATTCCCTGACTCAAGGGCGTGGGCGACTCCAGTTGGGGACGTAAACGCCGAAAACGGAGAACATGCACACCTAACGAATGAATGGATAAGCCTTGCATCTTTCAGCTAGAAAGCACCCTACTGCCCCTCAGGAAAATCCGTACTCTTCCACACCTCCTCATACATATCCGCAGTGTGTTCCAAATCCTTCGCAACAAGCCTCAGTACACTACCCGTATCACTACCCAACGGCAACTTCCCCAGCTTCTCCTTCCCCTTCAACAACCCTTCATCAGCCACATACTCCCAAATCCTCTTGACCCCCTCCACCGGATTCCCCCTCTGATTCCCATCATATGCGAAAAACGCCTTCCGCGCATCATGCGCAGGCGTCCCCTCATAAACATCCAACGCAGGAGCAATATTCGTACCAGACGTCACGGCGCTCAGGAACGAGGTGCGGAAGTACCCGGGTTCCACGACGAGCGCTTTGAGCCCGAAGGGCGCGATTTCAGCGGCCAGCGCCTGCGTCAGGCCTTCCAGCGCGAACTTCGTCGAGCAGTAGATTCCGTTTGCGGGGCCGGACATCAGCCCGCCGACTGAGGAGAAGTTGATGATTGTGCCGCTGCCTTGATCTCGGAGGTGGGGGAGGACGGCGCGGATCAGGCGGAGGGGCGCGAAGACGTTGATGTCGTATTGGGCTTTTACGGCGGCGTCTCTGGGGTTCGTATCAGTTTTTCCGTCACACTTGAGAGAGAAGTGAAGGGGTAAAGACATACTCAGACTCCTCGATCGCCCCCATATACGAGTAAGCTGCGTTGTTGACCAGGACATCGAGCTGTCCGAATGCGGCGAATGCTTTCTTTGCGTATTCGTTCATTTCTCCCTGCGACCAGGATAGGTCGAATTGGAGGATCTTGACGTCGTCCCGGTTCAGGCTGTCGGGGACTTTGGATAGAGTTCGGACGGCGGCGATGACCCGGTCGCCCTCGGATAGAGCTTTGAGCGCGAGCTCCAGACCGAAGCCGGTGTTTGCGCCGCTGATGTGCCAGACGCGAGACATGGTTGTTTCCTATGGCTGTGTAGTGGGTAACTAGGGTGGATGTGGGTATAGAAGAAGTGGATCAGCTTGCGGCGGGGCGGGGCCAAAGCAGCATATTTATATTTTATGCACCGACAGCACTGTAGACCCTGGTGCTCACCGTCGTTCGTTGTCGCAATCGCATCCGCAAGGTCCGCGGGGTAGATGGCTCAACTCGAGGTCAAGCTGACAGTGAGAATCTACCCCGCTACGCCACGATTATCCCCATCCAGCATTCTTCCCTCTCGGCGAGAGTAATCTAGACTCAACCCGGGTCCTGCGGCAGGTAATGCGCCTCCGGATTCGCTGGTTCGGGTTTGCTGATAAAGCTGACCTTGACTGCGTTCGTTCAATAATACGAGCTCGCTGCGTCAACGACTGGCGGGGGACCTCCACGGGGGGTTGGTCCGAGCGTCCGGAATCGCGGAAAGGGCGTTTCCACGTACCATAACGGAGGCTGGGGATGGCGCGATAGGTAGGGTTTGGTTGGTTGGTTCGCTCGTGAAGTAGTTCTTGGTCTCTTCATCTAGAGCTCCCTAATTTGAAGCCCGCAGTGCTTCTGGTCTTCACCAGCGTATCGCATGGCTCTTCACACGGAATCGTTAGCTATCGGGGTGATGAAGCATCTATTGTGCAATGGCAGTCGAACTCGAGTACGCTGCGCAAAAGGTCTGCGACAGTAAGTTGCGGATTTACCGTACCTCGGCCGATTGAAATGTTGAAGCCCCAGGACAAGAAGCACGGGCGCTTGATAGGTAGATGGTTCATGAAACCAGATGGAATTTCCTCCTCAGCTTGCATTCCCCTTGTCGACGTTTGGTAGTGCCCTTCGTAGAATACTAGACTGACAAGCGCTCAACGATGGGCGACAAGATTCCCAACTAGCGACGCTTGGTCTATAATTATGAAGAGGCGCAGTTGTCGAGCATCGTAGATATTTCAGCTGCAGCAAACGGATGACTGGATTCCTGGAGGCTCTACCCAGAGAAATCACATGGTAAACGCGGCCCGTATCACGGATCAGGGTCATAGTTGCTCGACGGCATCCCCTCGCCTGGGATCACCCTGGCTCGCTTTTAAGCATATATCGAAAGGAACGCTCCTGTGCCTCATTTCTACAGGATTGTTCGTGCGGCGCTCCTGTGATTGGCGGGCGATAACACAAGGCCTGCCTGCGGGGTTTGCTTGCGGTTGTTCACTGTCAATTGTCGCGTTGGTCTTTGATATCCTCAATAACGATAACGGTAATTGTTTCAATTGTCGGGCGAGACCCCTATCTGATTCACGGCCGCATGTTGGTTCAGTTCTTAGGAAAGCAACGGATCGAGGAAGACTTTGCAGTCATCTGGATAATCACTTACCCCTCATCTGAACTCTCACCTGCACCTTCACCCCCACAGGGTCTGATACGAGCGCTGGTGCCTGGCTAGTGTTGCCTATCGTAGTCAGGTGATGCGGCTCGGAGGGGAACTCCAGGCCTTCCCTTATCAACACTTTCTGACTTTCTGACTTTCTGACTTTCTGACTTTCTGACTTTGGTGACGTCTCTTCCTCAACTTCCCCGCTTCGACTTCCTCTCTTTCCAACTTCATCTTCCTCGCCAGAGCACTCAGTTTCTGGATCCTACAACGACCCTCACTTCGAACTCTCCTCCCCGCATTGATCTCCTCCACGAAACAAACACAATCATGACCAAGCCAACAGCGCCCAAGGAATCACCGAAGGAATCGTTCCTCGAGGCGCTACCAGTCGAGCTTCTCGTTCACATCTTCCGCAATGCTCCCTCCTTCAAAGACGCCTCAAACTTGGCACTTTGTTCCAACCAGCTTTACGCCGTCTGGTGCCAGCATCTTATTCCAATCTGCAACGAAATTGCCCCGGCCTGCGTCCCTAACTACTCTGCCTTGCGCCAATTGCTAGCCGATGTTGGAAAGCTACCCCTACACACCCAACCCAGCACCATCGATCAAGTGAAACTCATCCTCGATCAATCATCGAGCCGCCGAAAGGGCCTGCTGCAGTGGTACAACGTCTTCGTTGACAATTACGAGCGACGCGATCCGCAAACACCGAACGAACTGTCGCCGACAGAAGAAAGGCGATACGTTGGCGGGATGTACCAGCTGATCGGGCTGTTATCAATCGACAAGACCACAAGGCAGCAGCGCATCAAGGACATGGACCTCAAGACGTTGTTTTCACTCTCCGACTACACCTGTCTCATTGACCCATACCTTATTCCGGAGTTGGATTTCACTGTCGATGAGAACCTTGGCGCGGCTGTCGAGAATAATCCGGTGTCGGTTCGGAGCCTGCAGATTGAGCTTCGTCGGCAGCGCAACAAGTTCTTCAACGAACTGTACGATCACAAATACCACCCGAAAGGACACACCCCGTACGAGGAAGGCGGGCGCTATTCGTGGTGGTGCGATTGCCAACAGGAGACGTTCAAGAGTATGTTGACCGGACGTGTGTTTAGCGAGGAGGGAGCCGTGTCGAAGGTCAGGGAGGATCTGTGGTATGACAGCGAGGCGGAGTGAAAAGCTATACTGATGCTGGTTGTGGGGGAGTGGCACAGGGTTCAATTATCGAGCACTAGCGTGGAGGTTGGTTTATCGGCGACCGGCGTTTATCGGATTCAGGGAAATTGAACAGACTGTTATCAAAGTTATCTATCGTTGACGGGGAACTCTAGTTTATCTTGACTCATGAGCACTAGCAGTGGACTGCAATCAAATATGGAGCTTTTTTGAAGAATTGTCAGTGCGCGTACGTAAGCAGCAGCGGCCCACCGGTCGGGTTCCTGACCCAAACTCCCACGACAACAAACCATCTTCTGTCCAACTCTGCCATCTCACAAGCCTCGCGACAATTGGGTAAGTCAGCTTCAGACGCTGCCAACCATCTGAGACGAGAGCTAACACGTCTGTCGTCACAGCACTCATCCCCAGATATTCCGACTCGAACCCCGACCGTACCGCAAGCCCAGACGCCATGACCAAGTTAATTTCCGCCTCGGACGCCGATCCACCCCCTGATCGCAACGCTAGTCAGGAACGAACAACCAAGGGGCAAGCACTGACCCAAAGGGGAAGAAACTCCTGGAGTCGGTGTCCACCGTCCCTGTCAGGGACCAGATGTTCGCGAGTCGAGACCGAGTGATTGGCAGACACATGGCCCGACCGTCGATGAGGCCGTAGGGCGCTGGAATGCTCTCACCCAGGGCGATCAAGGACGCAGGGATGGAATGTGCTCACACAACAGTCGCGTCAACAATGCACGATATATGATCCTTGAGGGGTCCAAGCCTTGGGGTTTGGCGTGGCGTTTCACGGGGTTCTTGTCAGAGCAACTCAAGACGGACGTCGATTGGTTTCAAGCTGGTTCATTTAATTAGCACGCCTTTAGCTCGCATCTGGGCGACTAACGATTCGATCTGGGCGCTAGGGACCAAGCCAGCGTTGCGCTGAGCATCTTCTTGTTTTTCCTGCGCACCCCCAGGGCCCCCCACTCGCTCGTCCTCAGCCTCTTCCCCGTCTCCCCTTTTATTACGCGATCCCCTCGCCCTTGTTTTCGGTTTGTTTCGTATCCCACACCAGTCACTCTTTTCAACCCCCAAACCAGCTGTTTACGCTCTTTTCTTCGGACGTTGATGTGAATTGCTCCATCGCGTACCGGCACAATGCAGTGGAAGTCACTCGTTTTTACTCTCGCCACTGCCGGATCGGCTCTGGCCCGTTCTCACGGTTCCCACAAGCACCGACACGGCGCCCGTCATGAGGCTGCCCAGGAAGTCGGCGGGTTCTACGACTCAGAGCCCGTCTACGTGACGGAGACCGCGTGGGAGTGCTGCACCACCAGCACTCTGTCCTCCATTACTGCTACCGCGCCTGCGACATTCGTCGAGATCCCTGAGATCCCTACCGAAACCCCGTCGTCCACGGAGATTCCTACCTCTACTCAGACCCCGGTCGTCGAGACCAGCAGCAGCACCAGCACCCCGGTTCCCACCGAGACCGAAGCGCCGGCTACCTCGACCGAGACCCCTGCGCCGGAGCCCGAGACCACATCCAGCTCTGCCGCTCCCACCTCCACCGAAGCTCCCACTGGCACCTCCGTCGACCACTCCGCCTGGACTAACTTCCCCTCCAGCGGCGAGTTCTCGTACAAGGGCTTCGGCGGGCGCACCTCGCAGTCCATCACCGGCAACAAGTTCACCTACTCTGGCAATGTCGGCACTCCCTGGGGTAGCAACATCCAGGAAGTCAGCGCTGAGGAGGCGGCGCAATACAAGTACGTCGTGCAGTTCCACGGCTCCAAGACCGACAAGTGGACCGTCATCGTCTGGAACAAGATCGGCCCGGACATGAAGATGACCGGCTGGTACGGCAACTCCGCCGTCTCCTTCTCCCTTGAGCCCGAAGAAATCCGCTACGTCGCCTTCGACGAAAACTCCCAAGGCTCCTGGGGCGCCGCCAAGGGCGACTCCCTCCCCACCGACGAATTCGGCGGCTACTCCTGCACCTGGGGTGAGTTCGACCTCGGCAGCGAGGTCAACGGCGGCTGGTCCGGCTGGGATGTCTCGGCGATCCAGGCCGAGGCCGCCGGCCAGCACATCCAGGGCATGAAGATGTGCGCGCACGACGACACCAACTGCTCGATCATCACGACCGGCGCGAAGAAGGTCCAGGACGCGTACATGGAGAAGGACAAGTGGGCGGATGGCATTGGCGGCAAGGTCGTGCCTGGCCCCGTCCGGATCGTTACCCACCTTGACTACGACGAGTAAACGTTGTACGGCTTAACGAACGAGTACAGACGTTGTAAATACCTAGTCTAGTCGGACGTTCCGATCTACCTTATAGTTGGGCGAGGCTGTTCAATGTATACTTAATTCTTAATTGCACATTCTCTTGGCTGGCCTGGTCTTGGGCTTGTTGATAATTCAATTGATGTCTGACTTCCTTACTTTGAACCTCACCAAACTTCCCATCTTTTAACGATCCGAGCACAGCTATAGATCTATACCAAATAACCATGGCATGGGTTGGCTACCGGTCAACTTTCAATTATGTTCGAATGATGAGCAATCTCAAAAGATATATCTCTGCCGAGCTCTCTCCCTCCCAACCAAAAACACAACCAACCACGAAGAACGGCGCAATTCACACACGATCTGTCACTCCCAACGCTCTACACCAGCCATTTATGCGAAACCGAAGAGTCTAGCCCTCCACGTCAAAGGGCGCAATGGTATGGCGCGATTGTGTCAATGGAAGGGCGCTGTTTTAGGCGCCGGCAGCAATCACGATAAGGCCCACAATGCTGCGCGATTTAAAAGCCCACCTTTCCCCTCAATCATCATCGAAGCTGCTTTGTGCCAAGTTGCGAGATTCTGCAGTCGTTCAGCAGCGGAAATGGGCGCGCTAAGGAAATCCTCGGTTGAAGCTGAAGCTGTCCCTCAAATATCGGCTTCTGCTTCGCCCGCAGTCACAGACCCAGACTCAATTGTCCAAACCCAACCTGAGCAACAACCCCAACCTCCATCAAACGAGACAAGCGGCGAGAAAGTCAACAATGGCCCTGTCCACATTACACCGCTCGAAACCCAGGAGCCGACAGAGGCAGAAGCAGACGAGGAAGCCGGAACCCCTGGAGGTCGCTCCAAGCGCCGCAGAGCCGCAATCCTAACAGCCCTCTACGTGCGTCCACATTCATCCCATCTAACTCCCTACTAACGAATACCCAGCTGGTAATGTTCATAACAGCCCTCGACCAAACCATAACCGCCACCTCGATCCCCTCAATCTCATCGTCCCTCCACTCCGCAGCAGGCTACACCTGGATCGGGTCCGCCTACCTCCTCGCCAAAGCCGCCAGCGGCCCAATCTGGGTGCGAACCAGCGACATCTTCGGCCGGCGCCCGGTCCTCCTCTGCTCTGTCACACTCTTCAGCATTGCCAGTATCCTTGCTGCTACAAGCGACACCATGCGCACGCTGATTGCGTCGCGGGCGCTGCAGGGCGCGGCTGCCGGGGGCGTGGGACAGCTTGTTATCGTGACCATCTCCGACGTGTTTAGTCTAAGGGATCGCGCGCTGTGGTTTGGGCTGCTGGGTGGGGTGTGGGCTGTTGCTGGGTCTGCGGGGCCGGTGCTTGGGGGGCTGCTCACGGAGAAATTGAGTTGGCGGTGGTGCTTCTGGATAAACTTGCCTGTTTGTGGGGTGGCGGTTGTGCTGTTGGTGTTTTTTCTGGATGTCCATAATCCGCGCACGCCGGCGAGGCGGGGTCTCCTTGCGATTGATTGGGCGGGGACGCTGTGTGTTGTTGCTGTGACGGTGTTGCTCCTGCTGGGGATGGAGTTTGGGGGGACGGTGTTCCCGTGGGAGAGTCCGACTGTGATATGTCTTGTTGTGTTTGGGGTCGTCATGGTGGGCGTGTTTATCCTCGCGGAGAAGAGACTCGCGCGGTATCCGCTTATTCCGCTTGACCTGTTCAGGAATTGGGCTGTGAACGGACCGTTCATCCTTGCTTTCGCGCACGGCATGGTCTCGCTCGGCGTGGAGTACTACCTCCCGCTGTACTTCCAGTCCGTGAAATCCGTGAGTCCGCTGAAGAGCGGTCTTTTCATCCTGCCCATGATGGTAACAGAAGCTGGGACCGACATGCTCTCCGGCGTCCTGCTCCACAGGCTAGGAAGATACAGGGAGATCACATGGGTCGGCGTGACGCTTATGACGCTGGGAACGGGGCTGTATATCACGCTTACACCCGAGTCCCCGATAGCGAAGATAATCGGGTTCGAGATACTAGGTGGCGTCGGAACAGCCCTTCTCTTCCAAACGCCCGTCATCGCAGTCCAGAATGCCGTCCGCCAGGCTGATACAGCCTCCGCTTCAGCCACCCTGGGTTTTCTGCAGAACATCGCGACGAGCTTTTCCATTGTTCTTGGGGGCGTGGTCTTTCGCGATGGGATGGAGAGCCAGCAGTCCGCACTCCTTGCCGCTGGTATCGATGAGACGATTGTGCGGAGGCTCTCTGGTTCGAATGCCGCTGCCAATGTGGACGTTGTTAAAAGGCTGAGCAGTGAGGCGCAGAGACATGTCGTCGTGTCTGTCTTCTCGCAGAGTCTGCGGAACATGTTTATCTTTTATACGGCGATTGCGGGTGTTGCGCTGCTTGCGGGGTTCTCCATTCGGCATCGGGAGATGAGAGAGGGGCATGTTGAGACGAGGACGGGCGTGGAGGAGTTGGAGAAGGCGAGGGTGGGTGGCGAGAAGGCCGGGCCCGGTGAGGTGTAGATCTGTTGATATATGGTATGCGAGGGTTTGAAAACTTGACCCGCTAAGATTGCGATATATCCTAATCTCTGGCGACCTACGACCCTGCCATACGTCTCCCCCAGTGTCCACTAGCTGCTCCGACTATATTCACGCCGCATAGGCCTGTCCAGTCGCAAAACCGCAGCCTCTACCGCCTACAGGGTTATAATCCTTTTGTATGCAGGCGCTTGGCTCAGCTGGCAAGCCTAGGTACGCCCACGCCGTACACGCAGTTCCTTGCCTGGTATTTAGATCTCAACCCTGCTCGGTAGGAAAAAGTGCATTGTCTATAGACATTGAGTCTATAGCTCGCCAGCTAGAACGAACAACAAATGCCCTCCAACTACCTCCCAAAAGTCCCCTAGTTCACATTCTAACCTACAATACACCTAAACCTCCCCAAGCCCACGGTGACTCTCCCCCGCCTTCCAACCAACCACATCCCCCTCCATACCAACTCCATCCCTGGACCCATCACGCCGGGACTCATCAGGCCCAAACCCCTCATCCATCCCAGGCCACAGCGTCCGTCTCGTGAAATACGCCCACACATGCGCCCCGGCACACGCAACCCACAGCGTAACCTGGATAACCGTCGCCGCAGGCCCAACCCACCGGACAGCCTCCGAGTCCAACAACTCCCCAATCTTAATCGTTGCCAGCGCGAACCCTGTGTTCGGAAACACAGTCGCCCACCACGTGATGTCGAACTTCCACTCGCGTCTTGCGTCGAAAATACTCAGCCACCCGAGAGCCCAGAAGAAGAAGGACAGGATCCAGAGAAAGATGGAGATGAAGAGGGTTAGCACGACTAGCACGTCTGGCACATTGAGGCTGCCGGCTGAGGCGATGAAGCCGGTCCCAAACTTTGACGTCGCAACCTCTGCCATCCCCATTAGTTCTACGGCTGTGAATGCGGGCGGGCCGATGGCGATGAACATCTGGGGACGCCGGCGCATGGGCGGGAGACCGCCGTGGTGCAGGCCGTGGATGTACTCGGCCAATATGAAGAGGGAGATCATGAAGCCGAAGCCCTGCAGGGCGGTGCCGGCGATGAGCATGGGGATCGCGTAGTGCGGCGGGTGTGCGGATATAAGCAGGGAAGCTGTTGTTCCTGCGAGCATGGCGGGGAATGAGGGCAGGAGACGGACGAGCCAGAAGGGCTGCCTTGTTGCCATCCTTGTCTTGTAGAGATGCCAGTTCAGACACACGGCTAGACAGATTGCGATGGCGACGTAGACCCAGAAGAGCACGAGCTGTGTTTTGACTAGCCAGATGCCGCAGGACGGGACGCCGTAGACTTCGATGCCGAAGAGAATTGTTGCGAAGCCAAGTGCGGCGGTGGGGATTAGGTAGGCTTCTTCGGGGTCGTGGAAGGTCGCGCCGAAGGCGTGTGGGAAGCGCGTGAAGCGCGTGATGAGGGATGTCCAGATGGAGAGGTAGGAGATTATGTCGAGGAAGAAGAAGATCTTACCGATGACTAGCAGCCCGGTGAACTTGTGAGGTGTGTTGTAGAGGAGTGTCGCGATGCTCCCCGTGCTCATTGATATCGAGAACCAGCCCCATGTCACGCGGCATATCCGGTCGACGAAGGTGAGGTTTGCGTAAACGGGTTTCGCCATCTTGAAGAGAATGATGAGCAGAGAGAACGGAAGGAAAAGAATGAGTTGGGTTTGGGAAGGAGCAGGAGACTCCGGACGAAGGAATAAAGGAGCTCTCCAGAGCCCATGGAACGGAAGGCTAGGTATTTGACTGCAACGCCCCCTGTCCGGCGACATGGCCGAGCAGGTGCCGGCTCATCCGCCTACAGTCTCCATACCAGGTTAGGGGCGATGTTGGGAAGATGAGGCGTCCATCCCATCACCCCAGGCACCTTGCCTTGTCCCTTGTCCAGAGTCTGGGCTCTCTGTCCCCGGAACCCCATCCGAGTCCACCAGCTCGAATGACTGCTGCCTAGCTATCATAATCCATGACGTGCTCTGGTACAGATAGGTGAGGGATTTTCGATACGCGCATTGTCCGATGCAAACGCCATGCATACAGGCCAGCAAGATGCGATGTCTTGAGCTCTGAGTTTTCGGGTTGTCCTAACCTGCATGTGCGGTTCCAAACCAGTTATCGGGATCCATTAAACCTCAGCACTTGGTGCTAAGCATCGCCCGGCAAAGCTTGGGATTGCCACATGCCGTTGTGATTATATAGTCGGCATGCCGAGTCGGCCGGACTTTGTCTGTCCGGCAAACTCTGACCGGGGATTCGGTAGTCCGCTGGCAACTTAGACAGCCGGCATTGGGACCCTAAAAAGCTCCCACTCAACTGCATGGTCCGAAAATACCCTTGTAACACCGCATCAACATTGAAAGCCATCCTGGTCACCGTCAATATCGGATTGGAAGCGCCTGGATTACCGTTGGGATACAAAGTCTGAGCTCGAGGGCGGGACTGATGATATTCATGTTCCGTGATATTCCCCGGAGCATATATCGAGAAGCATCGGATGCAAAACGGGGCATTACACCGAGTTGCCGACACGACGTGGGGTCTAGAAAACGTTTATATATCTGCTTGGCTGTGGCCATAGGGTTCAGAACGCGTCGTTGGTGCCTCGGCGTCCCTCGTCCGATGAGAAACATGCGTAAATGACACGACGGAGCAAGAGCTTTAAGCACATATTTGCATGGAGGAGGTTCAATCGATATGTTCGGGTAGACTGGGATCATGCACAGGGAGGGGAAATGAAGGACTTGACATTGGCGCGCGGCGTCGGTTGTGGAGAAGGCGCCCTGATATTGCGGTGTGAGGCGATGGACACAGCGATAGATGAGAGGTTCTACTCGTAGTGGTAGGTATGGTTGGTTGAGTTCTGTGCTGCGATTTCGAATCAGACAAGAGGCCAACTCCTCCTAGATTACTCTGATTTCGAAGGGGATGAAAAAAAGACTCTGGGAAGCGCGAAGTCGCCAAAGTCCTGTCTTGACCATTACCAGCAACAAAAACCTCCGCAGCACACATAGTGAGATTGTACATGAAATCATGGCCACACCCACTCGACCGAAACGCTGACTACTGGTTCCACATCATGGTTGCTGACCAGGATATCCCGAGACCATCTCATTACCCATATAAATAGCCACCGGATCCTGCATGCCATCAACGAAAACCGAACCTTGGCCGAGATCGCAAAGACGCGCCACGCCACCTCTAACGGCCGCGTCCCGAAACAATTTGACCTGCGCGTTGATGCCGCGTTCCGTCAAGGTGCGGACGATCTGATCTAGCTGACACGTAAACTCGGGTCGACCATCAATGCCGGGAGCCGAGACGACCGCCTTTACCGGTTGGCGATGGAAGAAGAAGTAGTGGTTTTCGCACTCTCCGATTACCCTCCTCGTTTGTGTTTCCGCATAGCGCCTTGCAGCGTCCGGGTCACGGCCGATCATATCGTCTGGAAGGAGTCCGAATTCGCTTAGAATGGCGCCGAAGGGGGTCACGATTGCTAGGACGTGGCCGTTGCTGAGGTTGCGGGTGCCGATTGCGGCGACGGGTCTGGTATTGGGGGGTAGAAGCCGGAGGTTTGGAAACGGGATGAAGTGAACGGATTGGGGGAGGACCTCGACCATTCGGCCGCGGCGGTCTGCGTCCTCGAGAGGGGATACGGTTTGGCGGGCGAGGGCCATAGTCTGGATGCAGACGAAGGGGGTGGCTCTATCGGACAGACGGGACTGACTGATGTCTGGTAGAGAGAGGATCACGAAGGAGCATCGAGTTGAGGTGGTGTCTTGCCCTAAGACCGTACCTGCCTGCATACTGGTTGACCTTCCTTGCCCCTTCCTCACTGGCGACGGCCGAGTTTTGTTTAATCTAGAAGGAAGGAGCCAGATCACGTCAGTTCACCCAACGGCTGCTCTCCGAGACCACGTGTGAGAGTATCGAAGAACGCAGTGTCGAATCCCTGGAACACCCAGTCATCCATTCCAGCCGCTGCATCGGGAAACATTCGGTCTTCTGGAAGGGAGTAATCCGTAGGCGGCAGCTCATCCACGCTCTGTGGGCCGATGACTGTGGTTGGTACATGTATAGCCGGGATATCGCAAGTAGCGCCGGAGTTGCAGTTATTGGTATGGTGTTCTGAACTTGGAGGGCTCGACAAGCCCTGAACCCGGATCGACCCTATCCCACCAATTGTGACGCCAGCGCCCTCAGTGGGGTGAAGGTTGTGTCCTATTTTGGAATGCGGCATGAATGTAATACCTCCAGGGGCAATTCTCACCATGCCAAGGTGTGGCACTTGAATGGAGAGCTCAGCGCGGTCATCTTTATCCGCGCTGCACGCACGGCGCCCCTGCGCTGCGGCTGCCTCGATGGCCAACAGGTCCTTGAGCATGACAGCGCATTTTGCGGCGAGCACATCTTCATGCAGCTCCGACATTGACTTCATGCAATCTAGAGCTTGTTCAACCCTCGCTCGGTCCCGTAGGCGTTCGTGGATAAGTAGGCTGCCGTTGTCGACGTCTTTATGGCCATGGCTAACAATATGAATCAGCATCAACGTCATTCCCGCCGTCAGCGCGAGAAAATCCCCCATGCGCGACCAGGCGGTAATTGGGTTGAAGGTACGAATTGCGATTTGCCGGGCCAGGATCTCGCGGCTGGCAGTCAGACAGGACAGTCTGGAGTATATAACGTGCGGGGTGTGGCTGGGACAGAGGACATATGGCAGGTGCAACTGGCTTAACAGCATGTAATAGCACATGTGGTCAGTGGCTCGCCGTGCTTCCCAGAATGCCTCGGCTGAATCCATCTCGAGACCGGCGAGGGCTGGCGGACGCCAGAATGAGGATGGCAGCTGCTCGGTCAGCTGAATGAGCTCTAGATCGATTTCTTTGGTCAAATCGCGAGTGGACTGTTGAGAGGCGTCGAGTTGGTTGCGATGAAGGATCCTGGACGTCATATGAACGACGAGTGTATGTATGTTGTCATGTGTGTTTCGCACTTCGGGAGTGACATCGCCTGTACTAGTCGGCAGCCCGAGAAGCAGAGACATGGCACGTTCCATAGAAACAATGCAAGCCCACATGATAGCCGGGTCAAGACCATTCCGGTCGCTGATGAGTTTAAAACGATACTGCCCCGGATGATGCAACCCCATGAGTTGAGCTGCCATGACAGCACGACGCATTGTGATCCACGCTCGTCGGATGTTGCCGCTGTCAATGTGGTAAAAGGCTTCAAGGATAATATTTTCTAAACCCTCCAACGTTCCTAGCAATTCATCATTCGTGGTCACAGTCCTAATTGTCGTCTCCGCCAGTCGTTCCATAATCATCCGATGATGCTCAGTGAGACCAGGGATTGTCGCAGTTGGGGAAACGTGCTGTAACGCCGCTGCGAATAGAAGCATCTGTCTTCCCAGCAAGACTGGGTGCGATTCAGGATGAAGCAAGCTCGGTATCGAGATTTGCTCCCTGAGCATCTCCGTCGGGGACGAGGTCTTGAAGTTTGACTGTTAGCAAAGCGTAGAATATCGGGAGACCTTTCCGAGCAACAGCTCAATATCTTCAGGGCACGGGAGCGCCTGGAGCAAGACATTCGTCGTATTTGCGCGGATGGCTGGCTCTGTGATGGGAATTAAACGAGCAGACACCGGCGTCGGCGGCAGGCCTGGGCTCTCCAGCCGTCTCCCAAAACCGACATCTCCTTGACTGACGCACTTTGTACCCCGACGACGGCAGATGATGCAGACATCATCATTGGCAGAAGCAAAGATGCATTTTACTTTGCGGCGCCGACATTCCCTGCAACTGTGCGTCCCTTTGCGAACCTTTCGCACCTTGGCTGCCGTTTCGCCCGAGCGCGCGTCCATGGCGAGAACAGGATTTACGCCGGAGAGCTCGTCCGCTTGAAATGCCACATCATGCATACATCCAGAACCCAAAGAAACGGATCGGGAATTCGATGATTTGAATGTCAGGAAACCGCCGGGGAATGATGAAGGAGAGGTTCTCTTTGGTGGGGACGACAGCTGAGCCAGGCTGACAGATCACGTGCTCAGGCCGGGGTTCGGCATTCGGACGAGCCAGCTTTCCGTCCGAGCTGGAATCTTCCTCTCCTCTTATCTCCGGATATCGTCATTTGCAAGACGCCGGCCGTATGATCGGACTCGCTATGCTACTCAATTCTCCAATGCGTGAGTCGCGAAACGGAATGTATCCCAGCGGAATTGACGGCCCAAACCCTTCTCGAATGCACGATGCGCGACAATGGCCCATACTGTGTTTGCCGGTCCAGGGTGCTGTAAAGATGCCCCGGTCTTTACGTGCCGCCCGCTAAGGCCACAAACAAGCAGATATTCGGAATCGTCATATTTCCTATACATTATCTTGAGGGGTCATCCGAAGACGGGTTCTTGGTCTCAGCATCAATCCGATATGACCTCGGACCAACCGCTATCTAAGCCAAGCCTCGGACGAATCTCACTCGCAACGTCAACATCCTGAAGCTGAAGCCCGAAACTATTTGTCAGACTCGGAGATTACTCGCAATTATCATTGCATGTCTGAGTCAAGAGCTATAACTAGGATGGCGGCCTGCACTGACTCCTGCAGTGAGGAACAGCCAGCTATTCACAAAGTCTACCAACAACAACAACCCTCTCTTTCTCTCATCACAATGTCAATCTCGGATTCCAAGTCGAGCGCCGGAGAGGAGTCAAGTATGGAAAAATCATCCCCAGCTGCTGCCACCGATGAATATCCTCACGGAGCCCGCCTGGGTGTGATCATCCTTTCACTCATGCTGGGCATGTTCATGACATCCCTTGACAACGTATGTCTATCTCTTCAGGCCAAGTGCTCTGCGGATACTGACTATCGCTTATTGCTAGACCATTCTTGGTACAGCCATTCCCAAGATCACCGATGAATTCCATGACTTGAACAAAGTCTCCTGGTACGGGTCCGCATACTTCATGACGCTCGGAGGCTTCCAATCCACATGGGGAAAGCTGTACAAATACTTCCCAATCAAGCTCTGGTTCCTCATTGCCATGTTGGTCTTTGAGGTCGGGAGCCTTGTCTGCGGAGTCGCTCAGAACCCTACCACGTTGATCGTTGGCCGAGCCATCGCCGGGTTCGGTGCCGCTGGCATCGCCGTTGGAGTCTTCAGTATGATTGCTTTCTCGGCTCCTCCAGAACGGCGCCCAGTGCTGCTAGGCTATGCAGGGGCCACATACGGTATCGCCGCGGTGCTTGGTCCCATTATCGGTGGCGCCTTTACGGACAAAGTGACCTGGCGCTGGTGCTTCTACATCAACCTACCCATTGGTGGAGTAGCTGCTGTGGCCGTCTTCTTTTTCTTCACGACCCCTGAGAGTGCAAAGCCCGTGAAAGCGACGTTGAAAGAGAAGTTGCTGCAGATGGACTTGGTCGGGGCCGGTCTTATGATGGGACTCATTATCTCATATATCCTGGCGCTTCAATATGGAGGCCAGACACACTCGTGGAAGAGCAGCGAGGTCATCGGGCTGCTGGTCGGATTTGTGCTTATGTCGCTCCTCTTCGTTGGCTGGGAAATCTACCAGCAGGAGCGCGCAATGATTGTTCCCAGACTAGTAAGTTATCCCATCTGGATATTGAGTATGATACTTACAACATATCTAGTTCCTGAAGCGCTACGTCTGGGTCGGTTCCATCTTTATGTTCTTCTTTGCGGGGTCATACTTCGTCGCCCTCTACTACATTCCTATCTATTTCCAGAGTGTCTACAACGCCAGTCCTATCGGCTCCGGTGTTCGAATGCTTGCGCTGATCATCCCGCTCACCTTCGCAGTCACTGTGCAAGGTCTTGCCCTGTCCAAGATTGGCATTGTGCCGTTGTTTTGGATTGTTGGCGGCACGCTTGGCACGATTGGTTCTGGCTTGCTCTACACCATGGACGCTGATACTTCAACGGGCAAATGGATCGGTTACCAGATCATTGTTGGCTTTACCATTGGATGGACCTTCCAGGTCTCTCTTCAAAACGGGCAGGTTCATGCGGCGCCGGAGGACATGTCGCAGGTTACAGCTATCATTAACTGTAGGCCCCTCTGTCTCCCTCCCCAGTCACATACCAAGAGACTAACAATTCAACCTACAACAGTCTTCGTAACTGTTGGCGGCGCGTTCTTCCTCTCAGCCGCTCAATCCGCCTTCAACAACCAGCTGCTGAAAGAACTGGCCGCTACCCTGCCAGAGCTTGACCCCGCGACCGCCCTTGGAACCGGTGCGACGCAGATTCGTAACGCCTTTTCTTCCGACCAGGTACCACTTGTCATCGATGCGTATATGGTTGGACTCAAGGCTATTTTTGCAATCATGATTGGTGCTTTCGGAATCGCCACGCTCATTGGCTTTTTGGGGAGCTGGAAGAGGCTCCATGGGGATTCATTGGCGAAGGCTACTGGGGGAGCTGCATGATGGTTCATTATAGACATGTATTCAGGTCATCGCGTGGCTAGGCAAATTCGGCTGAGTCGCTCTGCTTGATTTGGGGTTTTGGTGCCTCCGTCCGTTAGGGATATATTTGAGGCTGCAGGTAAGTTCGATTATAACGAGGTGTAGGTAATAGAAGTTAGATTTAGATTGCATGATAACTTACGAAATCGCGAGGGAAATCTTATCGATCATATTCACATACGTTCCTCTACAAGATGGCGGTCGTTCCTCTGAGGATGAAACTCTTAGCAACAAACAGCTTATGAAATTGAATTTCTATCCCTCTTGGGGTCAGGTTTAAAGGGCTGATTATTCCCAACACCCCACTGTGTACACCAGACCTGGTCGTCAGGGTCCTCATCCAGCTGCCCAAAACCACTTCACCCTGCTCTGTTCCGTTGAAACGACGAAGATGGCAGCGAACTTATACCAAACCCCTCTAGGAGCCAACCTTAGCCAGGCCATCCATGTAAGGAGATGCTTGATACAACGAGACCAAGAAACTCGCCATCCGTGTTTTCGTCGTCAGGAGACATCTCATCCAATGTACGCCTTATAAAATCTCCTTTTATATTTCTCTTTTAGAAGTCCATAATTTCTCTTTTAAATACCTCGGTCCTTGTCCCCAGCTGGCGCTCCCTACCCGAGTGTCTCATAAATCCCGCAATGGACGTAAATAGAGTAAAAAAGATACCGGCCAGGGCAGGAATCGAACCTGCAACCTTGCTAAACTATCCAGGATACCGTTACAGCTTGTCTGCACTGGCTCCACCGCCCAATCGGGCAGCCGGAATGGTGTTCTGACGATATGGGCAGCATGAGAGCAACGCTTTACCATTAAGCTACCTGGCCTTTTGTGTTAGTAGTATGGTAGAGTCTTTGGAGAATATAGTAACTAGGTAGTGTATTAACTGTAGAGATAGGTGTTCGTGCCTGTGCCAGGGCGACATTATGATCAGACAAGAGCAAGGGCTTTAGAGCCCAGATCATGCAAGCCTTACGGTTCACCACTGCGACGCCTTCCTGGGTAGGGTGAAACTGTCCATCCTGCGGTTTCTCTAATATTGGAAATTCCTACTAGTAATCGATACATGTATGGAGGTCTGGCTTCTTCGCTTACTCACAGGTAGGTCCCTGTTGGGTAAGTAATGGCAAATGAGAGCTAGGATTGTAAAAGGATCAATAATAAGGACTGCAGCTATGGAAGGAGACAGACAGATGGGACTTAGTATGGAATCATACGGCAGGCCGTGGATGATTTGCCCCCCGTCTCCCGTTTGCGCAAGGGATTGACCACAAAGGACCAAACGCCAGCAGTTGCAACTCAGCTTGGAATTCTGGGGTAGGTATCTTGATACAGCTTCCAATTCCAGGTTCTTCGCACTGCCCATCAACATTCCTGTCGTTGATCTAGACGCACCACGCGCTCTCCTCCTGTCAACCAAAACTCCAGCTCACTGGTTTCCGGTCTACTACGGTCAAAATGCCAGTACTCTCACCGATAGCCCACTGGGGCCCCTTCAAGCTTGATGCGCTGGGCATTATAACCACGCTGGGAGCAGAAAGCGTGCGTAATGCCGTCGGCCGCATGGTGTTCAGCCCTCTCGCAGAATACCTACCCATCATGGCGCCCCAAGTCATAGCAGACAACTCCATCGCTACTCCGATTCCTGGATTCCGACTCTACAATATCTCTGATGGGATCTTCGCGACACATCTCGCCGCTTGGTTTACAAGATGGCTACTCGCTCAAGAGCTTAACTGGAGCACGACGGCGTTTACCCTTACCATTGCCGATCCCGCGACCGAACGGCCAATACATCAGGAACCACTTAGGAAGCATCTCAGGTTTCTCAGGGTGCCCGACGGACACATCGCCGCACTCCAAACGTATCTCAACTATTTGCCCGAACGACAGACTGCAGCAAGTGTGGCGCTCCATGTTCTCCTCGCCATCTTACCGATCCTCCTGGGAGACTGGTATGGCGTCGCGGCCTCCCTAGCTCTGACCTCCACCGTGATCACACGAGTCGCCATACTATCTTCCATGAGAACGGCAATCCACACACAGACTCGCGCAGCGCAAACCGATAACAGCAATCAAGCAACAGCGAGACTCTTTGTGATCCTGCCCAACGGCCGCGCCGCAACGATCGTGACAACCCGCGGCATAGCGGATAACTGCCTCCTCGCCGAGCCTTGGGCTCAGAATAAGCAGCAGGAGCAGGAGCAGCAGCACACGGCGCTCCGGACCATCAACTCGGCGGCCTTCTGCATCCTCGTCGTATCCCTCGGAATGGCGTGCCTAGTGATGCAGCTCGTCATTGTAACGGTTATGCTGCTCGGCACTGCGATGCTGGTTAGTCGGATCGGATGCGACGAGACACGCGTCGCCGGACGGCTTCGGTTCGACCGCGCGCCCGAGCTGGAAAGTGACAAAGACACCAGGACGTGGGCGTACGTGCGGCTGGATTTGTCGGAGGATGAGGAACGGACTATGCTTGCGTGGGGGCTGTTCCCGCCGTTGTCGAAGGTGTCCTGGTGGAATCGATATAGGCATTTTGAGAACAGGGCGACAATGACGGATATGGGGATTCGGGACCATCGGGACCTGGATGCTGATGAGTCACTTTACCGTGCGATTCCGGGGTTGAGTAGGGCTCGAGCAGGGCCGATAGAAGCGACGGTGTGGCTGGTAAGACCTCAGCGCAGGGAGCTGCTCGGGAACGTGTATGAGTGATGGATGGTTGTGTTTGAGAGGATTCGGTCATTCATACCTATCTATTTGATCTATTTGTTTGCTAAATAGATTGGACCGGTGAATAGCTTGCCTGCCATACAATGATGTCGCCATCTAGTCTTGATAGCCCTATAGAGAAATGTAGGGTTCCCAGCCGGGGACTGGGTAGCTGTTGACCTTGATGTTTCGGCCGCTGTGATACTTTGTATAGGCCGATGTGTGGATTGAGATGCTCGTGCACTTGATTAGTCGGCAAGATCATATTAGCTAAGAAATGTCCTCTGGTTCTTTCAATGTAGAGCCGTGGTGGCAAGTATGTTATTACAAGGTTGAAATGCCAGTATGTACTTTGCCCTAACCCTAACTCCATCAGTTTATTTCTCAACGCTTGTTTTCGGGTGAGCTTTTCTACCCATACATTGAACTTTTGCCTGTAAATTTCCGCTGGAAATATAGAACTTTATGGTGATTTATTCTGGACCTTGATAGATAAGGTTATTAGTCCTTGGTTGCGTGGGAAAAAAACAGGGGTGTATTAATAACAAATCTCGAGACGCACTACCCCTGCGGCCGCTACTGATACAGGCGGTTTATTAGCATTTCCTGCACCAAGAGTGTTCAACGGTTTTTAACTGAAGTTCTATTGCACTTTTCCCGACAGGAAACCCACATGAGCCAAAATGCAGGTACAGTTTCTACAATCTAACTCGTGGTGGATGCGCTACACGCGTCGGTGGTTGAGGTGCGTAGGTGGTTAGGGCTATCCATTTTAGGCAGAAGGGGGCCAGCCCTGGAGGTGGGGAGAGTAAGATTTTCGACTCTCGAGTCTCCATCCCTTGGCTCTACACTAATCCTAACCTGGAGATTCCCCCGTATTCTATGGCGATCCCCGTGGCCTTGTTCCAACTCCGAGCTCGGACCAGCTGGACAAGCAGCCATATATAGGTGGGTCATCCCGCGCCACCTTGGAGATTGCCCGGATTTTTGACCTCAACGATACCTACCATACATACCTACCTGGTAGAAAGTACGCTGCACACCCGCACCCCACTGCCCATCCTAGACCGCTGACGGAGAAGTAGGCAAAAATGGCCGCATCAACAAAACTCGTTTATCAGCGTTTCATGGAGCGCATAAATCACACATCCAAAATCATCTCGGTCCGCCCAGTCTCAGAGCTCCCGACATCTGATCAAGGACTCGTACCCGCCAACTCTGGCATCGAGCATGCAATTGTCACCGACTCCACCATCTTCTATGTCCAGGGTGGCGGGCAGCCGTCTGATGTCGGGGCTATCACGTCGAATGTGCAGTCCCCGTCTTTGTTCGAGGTGAAATCAGTCCGCCATCCAGCGAGCGGCAGCCAGATCCTGCATCTAGGCCGCTTCGTCCCAATCGGGACACCCGGATTCAACCCAGGACAAGAAGTCGAACAAGCCATTGACGCTGAAACACGGAGCCTGCACTCCCGTCTCCATACCGCCGGGCATGTCATGAGTCTTGCGATTCATGCGCTGATTCGCGAGGGCGTGATTCCTCCACTTAAGGAGTCGAAGGCGTCGCACTATCCTGACGCTGCGTGGGTTATGTTTGAGGGCACGATTGAGGGGAAGCATAAGGATGCCATCCAGGCGAAGACGGATGAGTTTGTGCGGTCGGCGAGCCCGGTGAGGATCCATTGGTGGTCGATGGAGGAGTTGAAGGAGAAGTGCTTTGGCGTTACGGAGGATTTCAGGCTGCCTGAGGGAGAGGAACTGGGGAGAGTTGTTGAGATGGAGGGTTTGGGGAGTTATCCTTGTGGTGGGACGCATGTCAAGGATTGTAGTCTGGTGGGCAGGATTGTGGTGAAGAAGATCTCGCGCTCGAAGGGCGTGAGTAGGGTGTCTTATACTGTCGAATAGCCTGGCTATGTGCGGTATTTGGGTATATGTGGCTACCCTTTTTTAAGATTGGCTATGATGTGTCATTTGCACTCAAGATGGAATGTATAATGAAGTCTAAGAGCGCCTCTCCTCTGAACGGGTCTGCATCAGACATGTACCCAGGCCCTCATGCATGCACCGTGAATATCCTGTCCTTGCCCAGGTGCTGACTGTATCTTAAGAGCATTGGCAATGTGAAGCTCCGACTTCTTGGCTCCAGAGGAGACAATCTCATACAACCCATAAGGGCCGGGTAGAATCCCAAGTGTTTACATACATATCCATCCAATCAAACAAGATCTCTTACTTTCTAATTATCCGGCGTCTTCAGGCGTTTGGTACGCAAACCTTTCTGAATGCCCTCTGGCCGGTTCTCAATGCCCAGGCCGTCCGACGCATATCCCTGATTGGTCGCCGTCATCGCACTAGCTAGGTCTATATAAATTGCGTCTCTACAAGGCCGTAACTTACCGGCGCTGCTGCGCGGTATCACAGGAGGCATAAACTAAGGGTTCATAGACATCGACTCTTCCGACGGCACTTGTTCCCGTCTACTCACCCAACCCTAATCTATACCCCGGAACAGCCGCAACCCTGGCCGTGCAGGTGGTACCTTCCAAGAAACCTTGCATGTGGAAGGCGCGGCTCCACAGCGGGACGGCAGGGGCGTGCCTAACGGGCCGGGACTCACAAGGCCTCCACCGTCCACCAGCCCTCAGGGAAATCTACTGGACGTCGATATCGGACTATCGTGTTAGTTGAACTAGTCACTTTACATAATCTAACTAGAAGCTGAACGTCTCGCTGACGTGTCGAAATTCCCAAGAGAGACGGACACTATTCACAACCAATCGCTCACGGTATCCTACCCTCATCATGGACTCCAGTGAACACCGTGTTGCCATTGTCGTCGGAGCAACTGTTAGTCCAGCTCAGTCACAGATAGTTGAATAACTCACTGACATACCCGCAGTCCGGCATCGGCGTCGACATCGCCCGTGATCTCGCAAAGCGCGGATGGAAAATCGCCTGCGTAGGCCGCCGCATTGAAGCAGGAGAGGCCATGCTTAGGGAGCTCTCACGGGCCGGCGACAACGTCCGCTTCTTCCCAGCAGACATATCGAACTACAACCAGTACGCAAATGTCTTCAAGGAAGTCCGCAAACTCTGGGGTCGTATCGATGCACTATGCGCGAATGCAGGCATCGTCGATACATCGTCTATCTATATCTCCGACTGGAAGAAAGAACATAAGAGCGTTGACGAGATTCCGCCGGCACCGGAGTTAGATGTTGTGGACATTAACTATAAGGGCGTGGTGTATGGCACTCAACTCGCGACGCATTTCATGAGACATAATCCCCAACCGGGCGGTCGCATTGTGGTTACGGGGAGCATTGGCGGTGTTTTTCCTCATAGGACGTACCCTGTGTACTGCGGTACCAAGGCAGCTGTTAACCAGTTTGTCCGTGGTGTTGCGCCGCTTTTGAAGGCGAAGGAGAATATCTACATTAATGTTGTCATGCCCGGTGCCGTGGATACGCCGATTGTCCCGCCTGAGATGACGGCTGCGGTTACGCCTGAATGGTACGTATACCATATTTATTTTTAAGCTTAACGAAGTATTCAATATGCCAGTCTCACTCGTTCTGAATAGTTTGACGCCGGTTGAAACGGTCCTCAAAGCGTACCGGACTTTCCTCGAAGACACCACTGGAATGACGGGCCAGTTGCTGGAATGCTCCGCCGAGAAGCTGGTCTACTATTCTCTGCCTGAATATGGCAATGGACATGTCACCAAGCGGGCTGTCACGGTGTGGGAGCCGCTGTTCCGGATGTTACATGGCGAAGACTCGCAGCTGCCGGATGCCATTCCTTGAAAGGAAAGAAGAACCTTGGTCAAGGGACGGCACAATGCGTATGGGCTGACTAGCGGTGACTGGGGTTACTGTGTTAGCAAGCCCCAATACTTGCGAGCGTCTTACATATTATCTCCTGCCCGAAACGGGAGGCATACCTTAGGCAGCTCACATAAATGATATGTACCGGGGCTTTGGGAAAGGGGAGTTGTTCAGGAGTCGAAAGCAAGTATAGTACATCTACCTAGATATTATCTTTCTGTACAGACGAACATTCACCACTGGCCATGCCAACTCGCCTGAACAACGCAATGCTATAAAAAACTAGCCAGAAGCTAGCGGTTTAGGCCCGATGTACTTCCACTGCTAGAATTATTAAAAAAATATCCATACCGAGCCCCAACCCCTAAGAGGACATATCCCTCTGTCCATCCTCAACCGGCACAACAAACTCCCACTCAGCCTGACTCTCCTCTTTCCAGTAATCCGTCCCACTAAGCCGGAACCCAAGTTCCCGCAAGACCTTCCCACTCCGCGAATTTCCCTTCTCCGTCTCAGCAATGAACCTCCTAACGCCTCGTTCCCCGATCGCCCAGGAGATCACCGCTTCCGCCGCCTCCTTCGCAAGCCCCCTGCCCCAGAACTCGGGTGAGATGCCGTAGCGCACCTCGACCATCACCTGCCAAGGAAGGAAAGGCTCGTCTCCTTCTTCCCGTGGCGGTAGGGACGTCGTCGTGGCATCGCGGATACCTGCGTATCCAATCCATTTGATGTTTTCCAATTCAGCTGGAGTCAGGGTATTATTTCCGTGCAAGACCACGAAGTCATTTCCACGTGTTGACATCTCTCTCGTGCCAGGAAGCAATCCAACCGCAAAATCGCCGAACCCGTACGGTTCCCAATTTCTTGCGATCTCGCGGGCAATGATGGCCCGTGTCTCCTCGTCGGACCAGTTCCGCGCCGGGAAGTGGGCGCCGAAGCCCATGGTGCAGAAATCGGTGTTGGCGTGGAGAGAGGCGTACAAGGCACGGTAGGGAAACTGGTTTATTGCGATTGGGGTCGGGATGAGGATGAGTCGGGGTGTTGCAATGGAAAAGGGCTGGAAGGGAGACATTGTGCTTGGGGATGGAATTTTGCAGGGTTCATGTAGGTATCGGGATTTGTGTAAAGGAAACGACAGTTGTTCATGTGCCTGGCGTGTTGGAGTAGAATATTTCCGGTTGTCAAAGCGGCGGGCCATCGAGCTGAGAAGGGACGCCGAGCTTTGCTTGCTTTTGATTGGCCCATGGGTCACGAGGTAGGGTTCGAGTTGATTCAAGAAGCATGCAACGCCATGGACATAATTACTTGGGTCATCCTATAGGAAGTTTGGTTGCCATGGTATATGTATTATTGAAGTTGGCAGAATATAAATGTACAACAGCAGAAGTAAAACCCCCCTCTCGAATCCCCTTTAACTCATGGCCACCGACACGCAATCAAGCAGCCAATGTCACCAAGCTTGAGAAACCTAGCACTCAGCGAGCTCAGAGTAAATGCAGTAGTCGGAGGGACCGTCGGAGATCTCCTCGGGCTCCTCGTCGTTGTCATCGGTACCCTCGTACTCAGCGCAGATGGTCTTGACATCAGTAGCGCAAGTGGCGCTGTCAATGGTAGCAGTGTCGCCGTAGTTGGAGTTGATGCCGACAAGGTACTTGCCGTCGACGGCAGTGACGCCCTCAAGGACAATGTGGCGCTCGTACATGGAGTCGCAGTTTCCGCAGGAGCGGTACAGCTTGCCGAAGTCGTAGACGGTGAAGTCGGAGACGGTGACGGTACCACCGCCGTTGTGCTGGATGACCTTGTCCTCGGCACCGGTGGCACCACCGCCGACGACGTTGAAGGGGCCGTCGCCGGTCTTGAGGGAGAGCGCGTCTGCATCTTATTAGCAGGTGTTTTTCAAGGTTAGGGAGAGTAGGATAGGTGCGTACCCTCGCAAACAGCCTCCCACCAGACGTTCTCGATGGTGCAAGAGCCCTCGCAGTGGACACCCTCGGTCTGGTCGGCGCCGATGATGACGTTTTTGAGGGTACCGCCGTTCTTGACCATGAAGACGGCGTCGGAGTCGCCGCCCTCGGACTGGCCGGAGCAGTCGACGCCACGGCCGTAGGTCTTCATGCCGCCGTCGAAGGTCTCGCCGTCGACCTCGTAGGTCTCGTCGAGGGTGACGGAGCCCTGGGAGTCGGGGATGGGGAAGGAGTAGCGCTTGGAGAGCTTGGAGGAGTCGACGATGCCGTGGGAGCGGGCGCCGTGCGTGGCCAGCACGCTGGTCGCCGTGGCGAGGGAGAGGAGGAGGCCGTTCTTGATGAACATTTTGGTGTTGTAGGGGAGTTAAAGAGGTGTTAGGATAGAGTAGGAGAAGCAAAGAGAAGGAAGACCGATGATACCAGATCAACGTTGAATGGAATGAATGCGATGGATGATGGCGAGATATGGCGCGGAGGTGACGGCTTTATATCCCTGTCCCTGGCCTCTGGGCCTTGCAGGTTCTGGGCGTTGGGAGCTGCGTGTTTCAACGGTGCCCCTGATGACGGCTTGGCTGGAAAGCTTGGAGACCTTTTGGCGCTTGGCACAGGGGGTAGGACCTGTCGAGTCAGTAGCGTGTGCTTGGCAGTTACAGCTTTACATAGTCGTGTCTCCTGTCTACTTGGAGCTTGGTGGTGCCATGTATCACTCTGCTAGCACTCCTGTTACTGCCGATAGAGCCATCTACGAACCGAGCAGGGTTCTCTTTCCGAAGCAAGTCCATAGATATTGTCCAGAAGCTCAAAGGACAGTCAGTATGAAGCATAAAGATAAAAAGATAGACCCAGCCCAGCAAGCCCTAGTGATGCTGCAAGCATCCGGCTCATCCGGCCCATGGATCCGCCAAGCCCTAACCCATCCCTCCCAGCAACGATCTACAACCAACCGTCAACCTGAGACGTCAAGAACCCTTGGCACGCTCCCGGCCTTGCAACCAATTTCCGCCTCTGCACTCGATAGGCAGAAGATACGAAGCCCCCCACAACCGCAGCCTGCTAAAACGGCAACCCGACACGAAAAGTGGAGACGGAGCGTGGCTGTGCCGTTAGACCCTGTCTCATGTATAAGAGGCCGCGTCCTTCCGCAGGCTCCGAAAGGACCTGTTCGCTTCACTTTATCTATCTCGAACGCTCGGCTGAAGATCGGCGAATACGAGACCCGGCTTCGTTTAGGACCCTGTGCGTGTTCGGTTGCGGCGTTGCTACTTGCTACCGGCGTTTTCGGCAGATAGCAACGGCTCTTATTATTAGAATAGTCTGCTGTGATGCTTGACAATCTGTTCCCATGATGGGTTCTTCAGTTCATTGACTTCGACGCCAAACAGCAGTCTAGTAGCAGAAAACACGTGGCGATTCCCATCGCTATTATTCTTCGCGGAGAAGGAGCAACTCGTCAAGGCAGATCACAACACTCGAAAAAACCTGATCTAGACCGTCGGCATGGAACATGCCAAGAACAACTCCTTAATATGCTGCCCGGGAGCTTGGGCTTCATGAGTCGGAGCAACACCACCTCACGCCACATCTGACTCGCCACGCCTGGCCGTTGCAGCTCCCTGCGTCCGTTTACTCTTAGCCTTTAGTTCTCCTTACTTCGCATTGTACCTCCAGTAGAGCATTCTATCTTATACGGAGTACAGCAGCCATGAGCCATCAACTTTTGCACAATGACTGCGTTACGATGTCGCGACATGGGGCCCAGACACCGAGTCCCTGTCCAGGGTGAGGCGTAATGTAAAACTTGTCAGACACACCCCGGGCCGCGCCGGGAATCGCCCTCGTTATGGTGCGGATCAGCGACCTGGTGAAGAATGGGAACCCGTTGTTGATCGTCATTTCGGGGTGTCGGCAGAAGCCCTATATTCCACGCACAAAACCCCGTACCACATACGGAGCAGAAACACCGAATTCTCATTGTGACAGTTTCTCGTTGCAAGGGACTAAGGCCAGCGCAAACATCCATGCAGAGTGTTCTCGGCTAGCATCTAGATATCAACAGGCTTGAACAAGTTGCTTTCCCCCTGACATCGTAGACAGAATCCAGGCTGGGAAGGACAATACCCGTGAAACGTCCCGAATCGAACAGCGAGTTCCCGCCACTTGAGGAGATCGTATATCGACAACAGTAAAGGTATACGGCTTGGGAAGTGACCTGCCCTGCGATGTCCGGCGACCAGAGGGCAGGATACAGTGACTTTCTAGGCTCTTGCCTAGGTCGCGTCCCTGAATTGCCATGGGATCAGAGTACCCAGGCACTGATTCTCTGATTCAGAACGATGGAAGGATCTTGAACTGGTATATTGAAGCAACTGCCTGGATTCTCGGGTTCCATGGAGGCAGACCGGGGATGGATGAGAATGGGGATAGAGCATACCTCTCAGGTGCCCATAGTTCCCATGCTTCGAGTAACCATTCCAATTCTTTCCTTGCACGGGTAATGAGCGAACGTAATCAATTCTGATCCTTGCCTATCTATGGATGTATTCTCTACAATCTTAACACTCTGTAATCATCCATCATCACCTGCCTCCCCGTACCACCATCCCCGAGATTAGAGCTTCACACCCCCCTTAGCACAACACCCCGCACCCTGCTCCTTCGGCGGATGCAGCGTCGACTGGTTGAACGATTGCGAAGACTGCGGCACATCGAGCGCCGGATTCTTGGTAAAGAACCCATCCGGCTTCAACATAACACTCACCCGCTCAACCGGCATAACGGGAAAATCCTCAATGCGCGGGTTATGCGTGAGCCCGAACGTATGCCAGAGCACCAAATCCTCATTCTCGACGTTCTCGTTCCGCGCAACCCACCCCTCAACGCCGGTGCTGTTCTTGGACTGATTCGTGAACTCCCCCGCGGCAAACAGCTCGTCGTCGCGGTACCGCGTGACCCAGATGGGCTTTGTCGCGAAGACGGCGCGGCTGTGGCCGTAGGACTTGGGATCGGCCAGTAACATCTGGGCTGGGGACGCTTGGAGCTTGTAGGAGACGGGTTTGTAGGTGATGGGGTTGATGATGTTGTCGTTGCGGATTTTGAAGACGCGGTGGTTTTCCACGCTTGTGTTTGCCGAGGACGAGCGTCTAATGATCTCTTCCTTCGTCGTGTACCCCACTAGATACGGGTTCGTGGCATCAGCAGCCATGGGCACGGAGTCCTGGTAGATAACGGTGTTCTTGTGCCCGTCAATCGCCGGGTCGATTCGGAAGGAGAACATATGCTGGTGGAAGGGGGCCATGACGCCCGGACCGACGTTCGTCCCCCATGGCACCGTCGTGCCAGGCGTCTCATTGTCAAACGGGACCGTGCTGAGGATCCCCGTCGCGCGGACCTCGAGCTCGATGTTCGCTGCCTGGTCGAAGATATACGCGAAGATATACTCGTAGTTGCTGACGGTGCAGATCATCTGCACGACGAGCTGGCGGTTGCGGACGGCGGTCGCAGCGCCGCTGCGGTAGTTTGTGTGTTTGTGCTGTAGGCCTGCGTCTTGTTCGTGTAGGCAGATGACGTTCTGTAGGTGCACTGGCGCGCCCTTGCTGTCGCAGCGGTACCCGTTGAAGTACTTAATGTGGCCGAGGCAGTCGCAGCCGAGCGAGAGTTGGTTTGCGGTTATCCCGAAGCCGACGTCGCCGACGTCGAAGGCTTGTTTGCGGTGGAAGGGGGCGCGGGGGTCTGCACTATTAACATTGTCCTCCGCTTGGGGGTGGATTGATAGGGTTGGATGGGTGGGTGGTGGCATACCTCCATACGGAACCGTCATCTCACTCATGGACAACCTATAAAACACACTCCGGCCATCATACGTGATATTATGAATAACAAGCCCCTCCCGACTGTTGAATCCCACCCTGAACCGCCATTTCTGCCAGTACACCTCGTTCCCAGCGACACTGAAACTCGGGCCCTGCGGCTGGCTCACAAGCAACGGCTTCAGATCCGTGCGTAAACTCTCAGTAAGAAGCTCATGCGCGTACTGGATCGTCTCAACCGGCTTCCACGGCTTCGTCTCGCTCTCAACACTGGCGTCACTCGTAGCTGGGAGGTAATCCATGCGCACGAGCTCGCGCGTCAATGCATCAAAGACGGGCGAGAACTTGCAGGGCACGGAGTAGTGGTTGTTCTGCGGGTGGTCCGTGCCGACGATGTACATGTAGCACTGGAACAGCCGGCGGGATTCGTTGGCGTCATCACAGCCGTAGATCCAGGGGTCGTTGCAGACGGTTACTCCGGCGGGAAGCTGGAGTTTGGCGATTTCGGCCTTCACGGCCGGGTTGGCCAGGCAGAGGGCTTCGATTTCGATGAGTTCGTCGGTGTCGACGGGCCCCTGCACGTAGGTATTAACATTGTCCCATCTGTCACGGGGCAACTGGGGAAATTTAAGCTACCTGAATCTCCTTGGGCAGCTCCTTGGCATAAACAACGCTCTTGGTATCGGCGTTCAGCAACCCCTTGAAAAAGGCGCCCGTGTCCATGCGGTGGAAGAGGACTTGCAGGAGGCGGGTGGGTTTTCGGGGGAGGGGCTGGCCAAGACGCTCGGCTTCGATGTAGGGGACGACCTCGGCCTTGATGGGCTCCTGCAGGTCGATCTTCTTGTAGCGGAGAGGGACATTGGGGAAGGCGGCGGCGAGGATCTTGGTGGCTAGGGTGATTTCGCCCGGGGTGATGGGGTCGAAGGGGTGGAGGGTGGTCATGTTGGGGGAGAGGAGTGGGTGTGGGTAGAGTACAAGACGAGAAGGACATGAAGGGAAAAGAAGCCTTTATATATTCTTTCTCTGGAGAAAGTCTTTATCAGTCCCCGCTCTCTGGGGAAGCGACCTTGGAGTTGGAGAAGGAACACGGGCGTTGATTGGCTCAGCGCATCTTTGACTGTTTACGGTTTAGCGTTGCGCTTATCTTATCTGGCCCAAGATAAGCTCACCCAATCCGATTCCGGAGTCTATACATCCAATACGCATACTGATAGGTCTTCAAGAACCAATAGTGAAAACAGCATCATTGGTCTAGTGGTAGAATTCATTGTTGCCATTGATGAGGCCCGTGTTCGATTCACGGATGATGCACAAAAGCAGCAGAGTGTTCTTGCAAAGCTGGAGCTAACTAGGGGTTTTTATAGACATCCTAAGAATCCATATAGACATACTCAGAGTGTCTATATAAACCCCTAGTTAGCTCCAGCTATGGAAGAATAGCTCGCTTCTTTTTATTTCCCGGCGGCCGCCCAGTGGAAAGGGCTCCTGGGTGATAAGTTGTTATTAGGTGTTTGAATGCTTGAAACAAAATACATACTATTCTTCAATGCCACGTAAGTTAGCTAACGTCTGTTCAGGGAACTTAACCCATCAAGGTACTGGTTCCTGGCCATAGCTGCGAAAGTAGGGTAGGCATCCAGAGAACAGCTTGGCCTAACTTGTCTACCGGTCACCCTAGCTAGTTTAGTCACGTGACCTAGCTTTATAGCTTACTTAAGCTTATTTTTAAACTTTATTTATAACTTTAGTTATAATTTAAATATAATAGCTATTAATATAATAAAGTCTTATATTACTTTTTAAATAATATAAATATTAATAATTTTATTAAAACTTTATATTAAACTTTTTTTTAACTTTTTTTTACCTTTTTTTATTTTTTTTATTAATAATACTTTTGCCCACCATGCTAACCATAAAATTAATAATAAAAATTACTTAAAAATTATTTTATAACTTATTTTTATAACTAATTTAAGCCTAGGTTATTTTTAAAAAATACATATAAATTTTAAATAATAAAATAGTTTTTTTAAAGCTAAAGCTAAAAATAAGTAAAGCTATTATTATTAAAAAGTAAAAGTTAAAAGTACTTTTAAATTACTTTTTAATTTTTATTTTTTTAACTTTTTTTAACCTTACATGCATCCCTGGGAAGTACTTTAAAATTAATTATTTATAAAATAATAAAATAGCCTATCTTTTTTTTAAAAAAGCTTTGCTATTAAATTAAAGGCTATTTTAATAAAGTAAGTCCCTTTAGGTACTTATAAAAAGTACTTTTTAACTAATTTAAATAAGCTTTAATAATATTAATAACTTCCATGGTTATTACATGTCAGGGCCAACATTGATCCGGGTCACGCCATCAAGCAATGCCTAAGGCACCCAGGTCATGCCATTATAAAGCATTAATATTACCCGTGCGGGATGCCTTAGGTATTTATTTAACTTAGTAAATTTTATTACCATAAATTATTATATAAGACTTAATATAATATTAAATTTAATATAATATTAAATTTAATATAATATTAAATTTAATATAATATTAAATTTAATATAATATTAACTTTAACTAGAAACCTTAGCTTGGGAACCTTAGGTTTTAAATATTATTTAAGTAATAAATTAAAAGCATGCTTTATATTAAATTGTACCTAATAATTAAAAAGTAGTTATAAAAAATATAAATATAAAAATATTTAAATATTACTTATTTTTTAAATAAAAATAGCTTAAAAAATTATTTAAAGGCCTTAGGCCTTTAAGCAAGGCTTTTATAAAAAGGCTAAAGGCTATAATATATTTAATTTTTTAAGTAATTTTTTTAATTAAATTTATTAAGGTTTTAAATACTTTATTTTTATTAATTAAAAATACTTTATTAAGCTTTATTATTATTAATAAAAAATATTTAAATGCCAGGGCGCCCTTATAATTAAAATTATTTTTTTATTAATTTTTAAATATTATTAATATAATATTTTAAACTAAATTTTTAAATAAATAAAGGTAAATTAAAGCTATTTTAATTAAGATTTTTAAAATATAAACTTAAGTATAAAAAAGCTTAAAACTATTATTTTTACCTAAACTTATATTATTAATATTTAATAATATTTTTATTATTAAGGTTGCTAACTTAAATATTAAATTAAATAACTTATTTTTTTAATAAGTAAGGCTTAAAAAAATTTTTATTACCTTATTTTTTTAAAAATCTTATATAGTATATTAACCCTAAATATATTATAATAAGTATTATTTTAATTAAAAATATTATCTTAAAAATGCCTATGGCTAGGCTATTTATTATAATATTATAATAAAACATGCTATTAAAACTAAAGCTTAATAAGGGTAAGTAAATAACTTAATAAATTAAAGGGTATTAATAGCTAAATAAGCCACTTTTACTTACTAAAAATTTTAAAAAGCTATTTAATTTATTAAGCTTAAATAATAATAATAATATTATAAATAAAATATTACTTAACCAGGACTAAGTATATAAATAACCTTAAATATTTATTGAAAATAAGGTTATTAATATATTAGCATGGTAATTATTATAAAATAAGCCTAAGCTAAAAAAACTAAAGCCTTTAAATATTAAGATTTTTAATAATAAAAACTTAATAAAACTAAAAATATTTTTTAATAATTTTAAAAATATATTTAATAAAGCCCCTATATAATATGGCACTAAAATAAGTAAAGTTATTTATTTAATAAGTAAAGTTAAAAAAAAATATATAATATAAATAATATATAAAATAAAAAAAGGCTTACTAAGCCACCCACGTGGGTAATATTTAAAAAGTTTATATATTAATAAGTTAACCTAAAAAAAGATTAAGCTAGTTAAAAAATAAAGTATTTTATAAATAAATAATAAAATAGCTAACTACTAAAAGTATAGTTAATAAAATTTTAAAAAATAGTTTTTAACCCCCTCCGGGGCACTCCCAAAAAGGCTATTATTTATATTTATATATTAAATAAGCTATATTAATAATATATAACACGCTTGTAAAATTTTTTAACTATTTTTAAAAGTATTAAGATAAAAATAACCTAATATAAGTTAATTTTAGCATGCAAAAAGTAAAAAGCACCTAAAAATAATAACTAAAAAAAATAATAAAAACCCTTTTATTATAAAAAACAAGAATCTAGTAAAAGGTACTAATTAAAATTAAAATAAAAATATTTTAATAAATAAAAAAAACTAAAATTTATTAAAATAGCCCTTAAAAAAGCAAGGTTAAAAAAATTATTATAACTTTAAAAGTAAAACTAGTAAGTAAAAGCTAGTGCAAGTTAAGTATTAGCTCTTGCCTAAAAAAATAAATAAAAAAAAAAATTATTATTATATATATAGCGCGGAAGGGCATTTTATAAAAAATTACTTAATTAAAATAAAAGTAAATAAAAAATTAAAAACTAAATAATAATTACCAGGCCCTAGGCTATTAATTTTAACTAGTATAAATAAGCTTATTATATTTTTTATTTTAGTAAATTTGCAAGTTTAAAAAAATAATTCAAATAAATAATTTAAAGCTTTGCTAAATACTAGGGCTAGTATAAATTTTTTTTTAGTTTAATTTTTAAAAAAGTAAAAAATTAAAATAGCTATGGATTAAATATTATAACTAGTTTAGTATATTAATAAAAAAATTACTTTATATTATAGTTAATTTAAGGTTAAAATATAAATCCATAATTTTATTAGCAAGATAAAAATATTTAATATAATATTTTATATTATTAATCTTGTTTATAATAAGTACTAAGCCGTGCTTAAATAGCCTTAAATAACTAAAGTAAATTTAAATATTTTTTTTAATTACTAGTTAATAATATTAGCGGTATTATACCCCATGTTTTTAAATTAAACTAATAAAAAAATTTATTAAAATAATAAAAAAGGGTTCTATACTTTTAATTTTATATAAATTAAAAAAAACTAAAGGTATACTAGTTATAGTCCTGCCTTTTTAATATATTAAATAAAGTTAGGTCTTTTTTAAAAAAAAATATCTTAACTTTTAAGTAAGAAAGTATGCCATAAAATTTATTTAAAAAAAGGTAAAATACCTTTTTAGGGGCCTATTTATAACCTTTTTTATTATAAATTATTAACTTTAAAAAAGTATTTTAATAAAATATTAGCAAGGGGTTAAATATAGCTATTTTAAAATTTAGTAAAAGTATTTATTTTTTTTACTTAAAAAGTAAACAAATTTTTATGTTTATATATTAATTATTAAGGTTTAAATATAATAACTTAAAAAAAAATTATTATTTATTACCTTATATTAATAAACTTATGAATTAGTTAGTAAATATATAATACTTTATTAAACTTAACCTTTATAACATGTATTATTATATTTATATAAAGCAAGGAAATAAGTAAAAAATAGTATTTTAAACCTAGTATAGTTATTATAAATATATAATTATATTATTTAATTTTATTAATATACCTATAATATTTTAGTTTTATATTAATATAGTAATAAGCAAGGTTCTTAATAATTTTTGTATAATTTACCTAAATAATATCCTAATTTTTTTAAAAATTAAAAAAAAAGTATATTTAATATATTTAAAAAGTCCTGGAACGCTTGTAAAAGCATAATTTATATATAAAGTTATTAAAGTATAGTTTTTATTAAAAAAAGGTAAGTTTTTTTAGTTTTATTATTAGCTAGGGTAAAATATTTATTAACCTAGTATAAAATTAAATAGTTATTAATTAGCTAGTATTAATATTATATTATAAGTTATAAGTTTTTTTAAAATTTATAAACTACTTTAAATAATTTATTAAAAAATATACTAAAGTAACTTGCCTTATAATATAATTTTTAAAAAACATGGTTAAGGGGTGTAAGAATAGCCCCTTTTTATAACTAAATAATATATAA